TGCCGAGGGATCGAATACTCGGGTCCGCTGGGCGTCAGCTGATCTCATAACGCTACAGCTCATTATTCATGGAGAGAGACTTACCCCGCTCATACTCCACGCCCTGGAGGACGAGTTCGAGCCGATCGAGGTCCTTGACGAGCTTGGACTCTGGCGTCTCCCGCGCCTCGTACTCCTCCCAGAGGGACCTGAACCTCTCCCTCGCCTGCGCATTCGACGGGCCACCGAGCATCTCGTCCAAGAAAGCACTCATCGCCTTCTCCTCCAGCTCGTGCTTCACAGACGCGGGTACGCCCTCGACGGGCGTGATGTCGCCGACGTAGGCTTCGGCCAGGTCGTGCACGAGACACATCTGGACGCAGCGGCTGATGTCGAGCGGCCGCTCGGCGGTCGAGGGGATCATCATCGCCATGAGCGCCATGCGGCACATGTGATCCGAGATGCTGCTGTCAGCTTACAGACTCTGCACAGCTTGTCTGTGTGAGATCAAGGGGTACTCGCGGACGCAGTGCCCTGCACCCACAGGGGGCCACTCACGACTCGGCCTGCTTCACGCCCTCCCGGATCCAGCCTGAGCGTTTCTCGAGCTTCAGCTGCTCCAGCATGTGCAGGAACGCTAACGTGTCCTTCGCCTCGTCGCCACAGGACCTGCTGTCAGCTCACGTGCCTACGAGCCAGCTCACTTGTAAGGCTCCGGGAGGACCTTGCCGCCGGCACCCTTGATCTGGACGTCCTTGACGGCGTCCTTCACGACGCCGTTCGGCGTCTCCTGGCTAGCCATGTCCGTCTTGATAGGCATCTGTCGCCTGGCACTGGTACTGAACTGTCAGCTTGACCTCACTGCGACAAAGCTCACTGAAGAGGTGCAGAGATAAGAGCGTTCGAAAGAGGTGATGTCGTTGATATCCGTGACTCGAGTGTCGGTCGCAGCGGTCGTCGCGTTCGTCCCAGTCGCGTCGCCAGTCTCTGAACCTGTAAAACCTGGGGTAATGGCTTGAACATGAAAAAGGCTGATTTGTTTATCTCCCCAGGACATCAGGAGGCAGGCAGGCAGGCGCCCCCCTTCGCATCGGTGTTCATTCCAGAGATTTCTGATTTGTCCCCGTCCCCCTCATCTCCACTCTCGCGTCGTCGCCACCTGATATGTGATCTTGTCACGTGACGGATGATTGGACCTCCACTCAGCTCGACATTTGCTGGCCTCCACCTGCGCTCTGCATCGATCGCACGATATCCGAAGACAACGCCGCCCAACGACGACACTGGCAGAGCGGCTGACCTGAGCAGCTGGCGACACTGACGGAGACGAAGTGACTCCGGAATACGAAGGAAAGAACGTAGTCAGGAAGGGCTCAAGAGGACAGGAGAAAAGAGCACAACGTCATGTCGATCATCCGTCCGTTCGAAGCGACGGACATACAGAAGTTCCACACCGTCAACGCGGACCCGTGGACGGCGACGTACCACAACGGCTACTATGCGCAGTACCTCGCGCAATGGCCTGATCTGTGCTATGCAGCTCAAGGAGCATTCGAGGACAATGTCGGGGCATACAGTGAGTGAACACACCCCTTTCCCCTTTCCTTCCCTCCAGAGATCATGGCGGCCGATGGCAGCTGCAAGGTGGGCCCAGAGCTGACCTCCAGTGATTGCCAAGCACGAGCCGCCCCCGCCCAACAAGGACCACCACGGGCATCTGACCGCTCTGTCGATCTCGCCGGCGTTCCGCGGTCTCGGCCTCGCACGCGTGTTCATGGCCATTTTAGAGCGGTTGTCGTCGGACGGCACGGCCGGCTGGGCTCCCGAGCCCGCGGACGAGAAGGAGAAGCAGGAGCTGGGCAAGGACTGCGTCGACTCGTTCTTCGTCGACCTGTTTGTGCGTTGTAACAATGGCCGCGCAATCGATATGTACGAGAAGCTCGGGTACAGCGTGTTCCGGAGGGTTGTTGAGTGAGTACTGCGAGCCAGGCGACGCATCAACCGTCTCCATCCCCTGTGCTTTTGCCTAGCTGTTAGGTTAGATGATATGGGGAGACCGGAGACTGGCGTATTCAGCTACCGGGATCGGCGTCATAGCTAACACGCAGCTACTACCACGGCATGGAGGGTGTGGGCTCAACTCGCGACGAGCTCGACGGATACGACATGCGCAAGTCGATGCCGAAAGACAAGAACGGCGAGTACGTGCGCGAGAACGGGAAGGAGGTGCTCGTCACGCCGGCCGAGGTGTGGGCGTAGCCATTCTGCACGTACGAGGAGGTGTCGGCGTTGTATCATAGTTCTCTGCATTGCATCGTTCAAACAGCGGTGAGACAGTGGCGTCTGAAAAGTCTCTGACTGGAGCTCTGGGCGCAATCTCATCGGCCTCGCCATTACTGTGTTTATCTCAGCACAGCAACAGACTCAGACTCAGGCTCAGCGTCGCTGGTAGAGAGCACGGAAACTCCTCATGTGGAAGGAACATTGGAGGAACGTCGAGGGCACCGCGAAGGAACACCTCTTTCTCAGCGTGCCTTCACCCAAGCATTAGAAGTTCCAAAACGAGAAAGCGGTATCTTATGAAGGCACAGCACAGGTCCACGACCCAGACTCTTTCACTTCGTTTCGGTCCGTTCATGCCGTTGCGCCACTGTCGCGCCATTGCGAACAAAAGTCGTAGAGTTCCTTCGGCCGTTCCTACTCTTACGCCCGACCCACATTGTCGGCTCAGCCTCCGCCAGCCATAGCAAGCCTTTGCCAACTGCGAGCAAGCCTGAGCAAGCTTGACGCAAGCTCAAGCACTCGAGGGGGCATTAGGGTTTGTGAGAAACTCCGCCGTCGTCGTCGCCAGGTGTGCGACGAACTTACGGCTTGATGTTCCTGTATCAGAGCTTGTTCTTCCTCCCCCTGTCGTTCCTCTTTCCTTCCCAACTTTCCTCATCAAACCTGGTCACCTAGCCTTACGAAGAAGCTTTGTGTGGCTCGAAAAATCTGCATGCAAGAACAAACAAATCCACATGGGCGCTCTGCGCTGAGCCAACCTTACTTCTGACGTTTCCTTATCGGCTGAACTACTTCTGATAACGGACAAGCTCCAGTTTCGAGCCGAACCGAGTCAACTCTGGCCACCAAAGTGGGTCGCTAGAGTTACGCGTCCGGACTCCTGGAACCGCCCTCTTTGCTGGGAACGCACGTTCCAGCGAGCGTTACGAGCTCGTTACATGTTACAGCTCAATCTTGAGCTCCGTCTTGAGGGGGAGGTTTCGCGAAGAGTGCGCGCCCCAGAACGTGAACTCGCCCTCGGGAATGTGCCACTCCTGCCTGACCACGTCCCACACGGACAGATCCTTCTTGCGCAACGGGAACTCGACGACGCGCTCCTCGCCGGGGCGCAGGAAGACCTTGTCGAAGCCGCGGAGATGACGAGGGGGCTGGTCCTTCTCGCTCTTGGGGTAAGACATGTACTGGAGTCAGCGTCTTCCGCTGGCGGAAACTGGGTTTGAAACATCCGGTACTCACGAGTTGCGGAACTTCGGCCGCGTGCACCTTGCCAACGTTCTTGACCTTCACGCGTGCGACGTAAAGCGTGTCGTACAGGTCGTACTTGCCCTTGTGCTTCTCATTGGTCTGCTGCACTGTGTCGCGCACAGGGCGGTACTCCTTGTCCACCCGCAGGTCGCTGAGTTTGAACTTGGAGTACGTCAGGCCATAGCCGAACTCGAACCGCGGCGCAATGCCCTCCTTATCGAACCACTTGTAGTCGATGGCGACGCCCTCCTTGAAGTACACCTTCGGCGGCTTGTTCTTCGGCTGAGCATCAGCTGAGGCCCAGAGTGGCAGCTTACCGTATGGCGCATGATGTTGTCTGGGAGATAGTCCTTCTCCCGCTTTGCGATCGTGAAGGCCATTTTGCCACTCGGGCTGACGTCTCCGAAGAGGATGTTAGCGAGGGCGTTGCCGCTCTCCTGCCCTGGATAGCCAGCGAAAATGACGCCTTTGATCTTGGGGTGGTTGATCTGCGGTCAGTTTCAGCGCGAGGGCCGCCAACTCACCCATTCCTCCATGACCACAGGGCCGCCAGCGTGGATCACGACGACAACATCACCCGCGCACTGGTCCGCGACATACTTGATGAGCTCATCGCCGTTGTTGTCGAGCTTCAGGTTGTCGCGGTCCCAGCCCTCGACGAGGAAGACAGACACACTGACGATACACATCTGCACGCTGTGTGCCAGCTTCTCGATGACGGGATACTGGGCGGGATCGTTGCGGAGCACCTGATCGATGCGCAGGCCCTTTCGGCGGCCCCGGAGCGACAGCGCCTCGATGGGTGGGACAATGTATGTTGCGAAGGCAGCGCCGGAGCCGCCGCCGACAGTGACGGTACCGTTCCAGCGGAACCTGCCTTCCTCGGGAGGACAGAACAGGTCCTCGCCACAACCGGCGATCGTAGAAGGATAGTCTGCGTCAGAGCCGAAGACGCCGATACGGCGGATCTCGTTACTGATCGGCAGAGCATCCTCTTCGTTTTTCAGCAGCACGTGAGTCTGCTCGGCAGCGCGCCGAACAAAGTCATTTGCGTCGGGCCGGCGGTTGTCCTCGTGCAAGTTGAGGAACGTCATACCGTCGATCACAACTACGTCGTCGAGGTTCCACCACGTGTAGCTAGGCGAGCGCCAGCCATCAGCTTGTCCGAGGGCGATCCACGGTGTCAGAACGCGCCTCGTCATTTCATCCAGACGCTCCTGCTTCACCTCGCCCTTCTTCAGAGCATCCTTGAGCTTGTCGCCATACCAGCACGTGCGCGGCAGTTCCTGGTCCATGCCAGCGTTGGCAGACTCAGCAGTCGAATGCGTTGCGCCAAAGTCCGACAACACGTAGCCCTGGAAGTTCAGCTCCTTCTTCAGGATGCGGTTCATCGCGTCGTCCGACTGGCATGCAGGTGTGTCGTTGATCCTGTTGTAAGAGCACATGACGGCGCCGGCGCCGGCACGGACCGCCTCGGCAAACGACGGCAGGTACAGCTCCTTGACGGTCTTGTCGTCGACCATGGACCACGCATCCTGGCAGTCCTTGCGGCCGCCATGTCCGTCCGGCGGTCCGTTGCATACCGGACCCTGCTCGTAAAGGAAGTAGTGTTTAGCGCAAGCGATAAGGCCAGTCGATTGCGTCGCCTTGATGGCGATATAGGACATTTGCGAGGACAGGTACGGATCCGGTGTGAACGCTGTTGCATGCCGATACGGCGTGGTTAGTGTCTGTCAATGAGATCTGGCGTGACACCATTCTCACCTTCCCAGTTGCGTCCAGTGTACGGCCTGGCATTGTGGTCAGTCTTCTCAGTCCTTATCCTGAACAAGCATAATCCTTACGAGCGGCCCAAGGGTCCGCCGGTTAGCTGGATGTCAGAGTCATTTTCGCCGGAATGTCCGTTGTGCGAGAGGAAGATACGGCAGTGTCGTAACGATCAGAGTTGATGGGTGAGGGGTATGTGATCGTGTGAAGCTTGTGGAGGAAGGCTCCGAATTGTGGACAGACACGCACCGGCCCGAGTTCTACATTGACGCCCTTCGCCTTGTGCTCCTCGGAGATGCGCTCGGTCAATTCTTGAATGAGCTTTCGGTCGAAGGACTGGACGGTTGTGAACTGAGAAGGGTATTGGGTCACAAAGTCGGTATGACGTATTCCAGCCGCTGAGACAGTCAGTACAATGGTCGACGTATACACACGGCTGGATCAGATCCCTGTGCCGATTCCAAGTCGGCGCTGCTGGTGAGCACACTCACGCCCATCGTTGTAGCAGAAGCTAGGAATGCCGAGTCGTGGAACGCTACCGGAGTTGGCCTGGCACGGTCCGAGACGTCCGGATGTCACGTTCAGCTTCTCCTCGAGGGTCATCTTCTCCACGAGCTTCGCGGCGCGATCCTGGGCCACTGCCCAGGGGACAGGCGTCGCGGGAGGGGTTGCGAGACCGGCGGCGAATGGAGCCTGGGCTTGGAGAGGAGGAGTGACATCTTGGGTGGCGACAACGGAGTAGTCCGAGACTCCCAACGCAAGAGCATTGAAGACCCAGAGAGCCGAAGACGCGCGCATTATGGTTGAGTGAATGCACCGTCTTGATCAAGTGGATCGAGGACGTGATTGAGGTGCGTGGTGAGTGAAGTGGATGGAGGAAGGAAGGAAGGAAGCCGATTGCGGCAGGAGGGGACGGTGACGTCGATGTCATCATAGCGCCTGTGACTCCAGCGGTCCATTGTTGCTGCGCACTCGGTCTTCATGTGATGCATGATGTGGTCATGAGATCGTGCACCACATCCGCTAACACTAGCGCATAGCGCGCAAGCGGGCACGAGCGGGCACCGCGCGGCTCTCCACTGCTCCGCTCTCCGCTCGCCAGTAGTGTCCGTCTCCGATTCCTGTCCTCCACACGGCACTCGGCACCCGGCACGATTCACCGATCCTCGATCCACGCACTCATGCCAGCATCACGAGGAATGCAACATGCCCAGGCCCTTGCGTCCTCACTCCAGCCTGCGTGGCACGGACGCCTCACTCAGAACCACAGGGCAGTGATCGTAGCGAGGTGGGCGCCGGCACTCACCGATGGGTTGGAATTGCTGCACTGGGACTGACTCTACTGCGACGGCAAGATCTTCACACGAATTTATCAGCTCGACGGCCTCTGCAAGATTGCTCCGGCACTCCGGCCCGCCGATCGCTCCGTCTCGCTTGTCCTCAGCCTTCCTCCTTGCCTGCTCCAACAGTCTCAGAAATGCGGGTAGGAGCAGGTGGCTACAGTGCAGCCCGGTCTGTGAGGTCTGCATCTGCACCGGCCGGAGACCGGGGATACCTATGCTTTCAGCACCCTTGTCACGTCTATTCACTGGCAGAGCTTCGCGGCAATTGTTACCGTTTCCCAGGTCCGCTGCTGGGAGCCCAGGCCTGCGCATCTCAATCGTCGACGGTGCAGAGGGATTGGTCATGAATGCACTCCAGCAGGCTCGAGCAATACAGTTGCTCGGAGTCCGTGGACCCGCTCTGCGCAAAACTGAAAGCAGAACTGCTATTCAATCATTAGCTAATGAAAGGAGGAGTGATAGGAGCGCAGCGCATGATCCTGCGTGCTCCTGGCCTGAATGTGTTGTCTGAGCTTGTGATGCCCATTGTTACAACCTTCCTCATGCGCAGAACTGGGGTCAAGAAGGATCACAAGTTGCGGGCAGCAATAGGAGACCGCCAAAGAGCCCACTTGCTCATCCACTTGTCGAGCCAGACACCGGACGCGAGGTCCGCATCGGGTTGTCCGCTGAAGTCGGGTTGCCAAGCGGAGACGCAGGTCTCTGTCTCACGGTGCCTTGGAGGCTCGGTGGAGGTTTGAATTGCTGTCTCTGTGGGCTTGAAGGCGTTTAAGCTGCGAGGTCTAACTCTGCTTGCGCCGCATGCTGGCTGATGCCCACTGTAGAGATATTCCTATGGATGAACTCTGAGCGAGGTCAAGGGATGCCCAAATACCAACGCCGGGTTGGGTAACGAGCAGAGGGCCCTGTCGTCATGATAGCGAACTTTATTCCGCCCTCTGTTCAGCGTCGCGAGGATAAGCTCAAGCTGCAGACGACTGGGATCTGCCGTCGTCGCCGCAAGGATCGCAGGATCGCAATTCCCCCGATTGGGCACAGTTACTGCCGACACATAGAGTTTGACCCCTGTTGGACCTGGCCGGCCAGCTTTGCTGTGTCGCGCTCGCGCTCGACCTCGCGTCCGTGTCCCCTGTCAGTTGCTGCTGTCGAAACTCGCTTTGGCCATCGGCAGCGAGGTCTCAAGGGCATTCTACGGCGGTCGCCGTGTTGCTGGTCGCCCACTGCTACAACCCTCTACAACCCTGTACTGCAGATCCTGGAGGGAAGCATGGGTCGAGTTTCGGAGATCGCTGCAGAGCACGCAAGCTTGTGCGCATATAGGCATTGTGCTCTCGTGCGTGGGATCGTGCGCTGAGTGGACGCCGGCTCGCTTCTGGTGTTGGCTGCCTGCGCCTGCGCCTGAATCGAAGACGCCCCAGCAATTTTAGCAACTCACCGCCCGACGCCTGTCTGACAACCTTTTCCTGGCACCAGTCGATCTCCCTAGGCTCCATGCCGCCTCCTAGCGCCCCGCTAGGCGCTAGCATCGGTGCTCCGATGATCGATGAGCGCATCGATGTCGCATTGGATGAGCGAGTCGGCACTCGCGAGCACCAACGTATCAGCGTCATAGTCGCACCCAAGAACACCCTGGTGCTCCCTGTCCACCCAAAATAATACAGTCAAGAGGACAGAGACTGTTGGCCAAGAGCCTGAGCAACAGGGTGCTGCTGGAGCAAGGGTGCGAGTGGTGACAAGGCACAGAGACTCTCAGCAAGCTCCCAGGACTGAAAGCTTGTGGAGCCCTGGAGACCCGGTCGACCGCTGGTAGCGACAGTGGCTCCGCCGACCGTCGCTGGCTGTCTGACGGCAGAGGAACGGCAAACGGCCCGACGACCCACTCTGTCATAGGCATCTGGCCTGAGGACAGACATGATAGCGTTTGCAGCCAAAAGTTGCCCGGATCGGTCAGTTGTTGGTTCCTTGCGCCCTCTCAGGTTCAGGGCTGCATCGCTACAGGCTCTGCAGGATCGCAGGTATCCTGCGATCCCTGTCCGTTGTCCGAGAAAATGACACCACCATTTATTAGTGGCATGTGCTCGCAACTGTGTGAGATCAGTTTCCCTCGATCTGATCAAGTGGTCCTCTGCTCGCTCGGTACCACCGACATTGATCTCTTCTCATTATCATCATCTCCATCTCCATCTCCATCTCCGTCTTCAACGTCTGTCCTTCCTTCATATCATTCACAAAAGCCACCCGATACCGAACGGCAGCCACCCATCATGGCATCCACCGACATGTACTCCTACAGCAGCGCCATGTTTTTCGCCCCTCCCACCCACAGCAGCTCCGGCGCCGGCCCCTCTTCTCAGCGCGACGACGGCCACCGCCTTATCGCTCACGTCGGTCCCTACGGTGAGCTGACCTGGTACAACGACTACGGAACTCCCCAGCCGCCGAGCGTCGCCCCGCAGGCTGCTCAGAAGCGTCCTGTCCAGGCCGTGACCCCTTTCTACGGACACTACCCCACTCCTCTGTAAGTGATGACCGAGTGGAGTTAGCGGCGGGGCAGTGCTGACCTTCAGTGAGCCCATCCTCGAGTCTCACCTTGAGGGAGAAGCGCACTGCGACCTTCCCCCGAGGCCAAGGCGGCGGCAGGCTGTCCAGCGTGCAGCGACAGCTTCGCCCACGAAGAAGCCCGCCCCCAAGCCGCGGACGCACACAAGGAATCTGAGTGATACGTCCCTGTCCTCTCAGTCGTCGACAGAGGACATGAAGGCGGTGAACAGGCTGGACGCGCGCCTTTCTGACCTCTCGCTGTACTCAACCCCGAGCCTGAGCAGCTCCGGCCCGCCCAGCCCGAACTCGCCTGGCATTCAGACGCCTCCCCTCTCGCTCGCGGCTACGGTGCCAAAGGATCTCGAGATGGACTACGACGCCGACTTCATCGAGGACGTCTACGCCGCCTTCGAATTCGCGAACAAGGACTCTATGCCCACCTTCTAAGTTTTCCCGGCCTTTGCTTCGTGCCGAGGAGAAGAACGCACAGTCCGACAGACTGTGCGGCGCTGTGCTGGCGTCGAGGCGCCAGCCCTTCTCCTGTGCATCCTGCGCAATCGCAAAACTGTGCATCTCGCCATCGCCTCCAATCCCATACAAAACTCGCCAGCGGGGGTCACCCCTGGCGATCTGCGCAACGACGCACTACCAATGGACAATCTCTCTTCCAGGTCTCCTCAAGTGAGGGGTGTTTCAACCCCACACCCAACTTTACCTTACACCACTGTTATAACCCCTGTCACTGTCACGCATACAGCATCGCATCTCATAATCTAGATACTACCCACCATGTAATACTCCTCCATGTCTATCCATCTGCCCACTCGACTCGCTGGCAAGTCTGCTCATCGCCCGTGCAAGGATCCGAGGGATACCGAGGCTGTACAGGATGTACAGGTTGTACAATTCGGCCACCCGTGATCGTGTGAAATGGCGTCAGGATTGTGCCTGGAGTACCTGGGGGACGTCATAAAGTTCAGGCGAGTTCAGGCAGCACTAGCGCTCGTTGATAAGGGGATGGGCTGGATAAGGCTGACCCTCCGCTGGATGTTGCGGGGGCTAATTCCGAGAGACGTCCGAAACACCGAGGTCAGCTGGAAAGATCGGCCCGATCGCCCACGTGGTCTTACCTTCCATAACTCTTGTTACGTAAACTGATAGCGACCTGAGGTCACTGCGACTTCGCGTCAGGCGGCACGAAAACAACAACAAACCACACACCAGTAATCACACACGAGCACGACCGACGGCGCTATGGCCCCATCTCACCCGCTCCGGCGTGTGTCGACCGGCTCCCTCAACTCCCTCGCACGATCAACAGACCGCCCTCAGTCCAATGCTGGCCTCGACGTGCTTGCGCCCGCACTGCAAGACCTCGCTGACGAGGTTGCCGCTCTAAGCACGAACACGCAGCGTATCAGCGCGCTGCATGACGCTCTGGGCCAGTTCAACGAGGGCTTCGCCGCCTATCTGTATGCACTGAAGATGAACGCCTTTTGTGTTGAGTGGCCGCAGGCGCCGAACGACTCGACTCTTGCCCGATTGCAGCAGCTTGGCGGGCAGCTTCAGCCCGACCCGGAACCGACGCCTTCCCCGCCACCACAGCCGGCATCGCAGGTACAGCAACGAGAAGACGAGGACGAGAACGCCGCGGCGGACATGACTTATGCTACTGCGTACAGCCCCGAACCCAAACGCTCGGCGCCGAGTCGGTCGCGCGTGCCCCCGCCACGAGCTGGAGGTGCCGGAGTGCCGGTGAAGAAGAAGCCGGCAGGACCAGGACTCGCGGAGAGAAAGGCTGCCGCAGCTGCCAAGAAGAAGCGCGACATCAAGATCTCGAAGCTGATCGACTCGTCTCTGCCGCTTGAGTACCGCGGTGCGAACCGGGATAACAGGATCACGATGGAGGGCGTCATTGAGCGGTTGATGGTGGACTATGAGAACGACGGCGACGGTCTGGCCAGTGAGTACACTTCTTCCCACTAGCGTCCCGTAGATCGCATTCAGTGCAACTTGCTGACAGGCAGTCGCCGACTTTGTCAAGCCGGATCAACCGCACCCGCGCGTGAACAAGTGTCTGATCGCGCTCGTCGCGAAGAAGCTCGTGACGAAGCGGAGCGAGAACGTGAGTTCGTCATGCTTCGACTGTAACTGACGTCAGGGGAGGACGATATACGTCTGGGCAGGCGTCGAGTAGTCTGTTGTATGATACATGTACGATACGATTTAGGTGACCAGGAGGCATCTACGGGCCGCGATCTCGATGCTCAATCGGAGGAAGGACGTGCCCATTAACGAGACGACTGATGGCTGATGGGTGACTGTACTGTGCTGCGAGGTAGGGCGCAGTGCTGATGCCAGGCTGGCGGATCTGAGGGCGCAGATCGTTAGGACGAGGACACCTAGGACAGGGCGCAACGACGTTGAAGCAGCGATCCGTCTTTCCCCTGCACGCCTTGCATCTCGTTGGTGCGATCAGCTGAGAATGACTCGCTATAACGTCCCCGCACCTCGCCTCCTTTCTGCAACTGTACAATCACTACAACTCATCCCTCCAGGTCCCACAACACCATGTCCGTCGTCTCCGAGGCCACGACCGAGGACGACGGCGCGTTCCACCCGCGCTTCGCGACTGGTGGCGACATCACCCTCACGGCCATCGACAACACCAAGTTCCGCTTCACGCTCAGTACCCTTCGTAAGTTGCCTTCTTTCCAGGTGGAACTAATGTCAGTGAGCTACTCCGCCCCATCGTCTGCTCTGCACGACATGATTGACCTGCCTGGTGCTGTCCCCGGCCCAGATCAGATTCTGCCTCTCACACATGCGCGCGGGCCGACCCTCGCCTTCCTTCTCGATTGCATCAACGAGGCCGAGAAGAGGAAGGCCGACGGCGTTCTGCCTCCTGGCAATGCTCCTGCTTCCGCGACTGCCACCGGCGAGGAGGATGAAGACGGCGATGACGACGAGGAAGATGACGGCGACGACACTTCTGACGCCGAGGACGAGAATAGCCCCGCTGACGCCGCTTTCGCCGCCGCCATGGGTATGGTCCTGCCTGCCCTTCAACCCCGCAAGAAGGGCCCAGCTCAGACCGCCCCCTCCTACAGCGGTCTTCCTTCCGGTCGCCACCCGCGCCCCCGCGCCAAGGCTGCTATCTTCGCTCGCGCCCCAATCCTTCCCCGTCTCCCTGCAACGGGGCAGGCGATCGAGCGCTCGAAGATCCTCCTCCCTACGCAGCCGCCTGACGAAGACGAGTGGGGTCCGAGTGGGTCGGTGTCCCCACCTCCCGGTGAGGTTGCGGATGATTCACTTCAAGGAGGCGTCGGTGGCGAGGCTTTCGGATTATCTGGTGGAGGAGACGTGGCCGTCGAAACGTCTGACGATGGAGGGGGCGAAGGTGGTGATTCGCCCGGCCAGGACGCGAAGAGTGGGAAGGAGGGCGACTCGAACAAGACTGACACACCTCGCGCCTCGTCCCCTGCGCCCTCTGATGCGCCCTCCACTGCTTCGTTCGCTGCTTCTGTCAGCGCTGTGTCCGTCAAGTCCGTCAATTCCACCAAGTCAGCCAAGTCCGTCAACGTGCCCGAGTCTGTGGCCGCGTCCGAAGCTGGGTCTGAGGCGACTGTCACCCCAACGCCGCAGCCCGAGCTTCATGCTCCCACCTTCGAGGAAGTGCACAATGTGCTGGACGCATTCGACTTGAGTTCGCTCAAGTATGTCGTGTTCGATGCGCTCAAGGCGTCGTGCGAGACGCACCGCTCCGATACCGAGGCGCCTGCGCACGCCCTTTCGGTGGAATATATCTACGCCTTCGCGTGTCTGTACTCGATTGGGAACAAGAGCTACTGGGCGACTCGTTGCCTCGCCTCCGCTTGGCGCGCTGGTCTCGTCCCTAACGCCACGCCTCTTGATCGCCCGCGTGTTCGCTTTGCCTCCTTGGACCAATATCCGCTCACGCTGCTCGCCGAGGACGACCTTCAGGCGCTCAAAGACATGTTCGGCCGCTTCAACCGGGCGTTCTCGATGTTCGCATCTCACTTTGTCGGCACTCCGCCGAGCGACCGCAACCCGCGCTTCGGTCGCGCATGTCGCCAGTGCCCCGTCAAGACCGAGTACGACGAGTGGCCCAAGTTCAAGAGTGCGCTGTTACGCGAGCATCTCGCGCCGATTCTCATCATGAACCCTCAGTTCATACGCAAGAGGAACTGGCTGACTGACCAACTGAGGCAGTACATTACCTGCCCGCGCTGCGCCGACCGTATTATCCACTTGGTCCTCAACCTGTGGAAGCGCGTCAAGAGCAACGACTGGAGCTTCAACATCAGGAACCGCGGACGCAAGCCTCGCTTCGTTCACAAGCGCAAGCTCTACCATGCTTGGAGCCACATGTCGGCCGCGCAGCAGCAGGCCGTGCAGGCGCACCTGCAGGCCCAACTGCAGGCCCATCAGGCTCAGCAGCAAGCCCAACCTCAGCAGCAGCCCCAGCAAGCGCAGCAGCAGGCTGCCAATCTTAGTCTCACGTTCGCCAACCCGGGCGTCACGACCACCACCACTGCGACTGGGACGGGCTTCACGACTGTCTGGCAGCTTCCCGCGACCGCGCCAGGTGGCCCCGTGAGCTTCCAGGCATGGACTGCGGCGCCGCCCTCGTTCGTCCCCAACGCTACCGCCGGGCAGGGTACAAACACGACCGCACCCGCCAGTGCTGCCAACCATGTCGCGCCGGCTCCTGCGCCTATCCCCGCGCCTGTGGCTCCGACCACCCAGCATGTTGCTCCCCCTGCCCCAGCTGCCCCGATCGCTCCCCCCGCGGCGTCGGCCGGGAACACCTCTCCCGCTCACACCGGCTGGGGTGCCCCTCCCCCTCCCCCCGCTTCCGCGAGCGCGCCGCCTGCCTCTCACTCCTCGTCGAGCGGGTGGGTATCGGCTGCCTCCAGTGCCTGGGCGACCAGCGGCTCGACCGGCTGGGGCTCGTCGGCCCCTTCGCCCGGCTTTGGTTCTGGAGGCACGTCGTCCGGCTGGGGTTCTGGTGCGGGCACATCGTCCGGCTGGGGTTCTGGTGCGGGCACATCGTCCGGCTGGGCTTCGAGTCCGGCGTCGGGCTGGGGCGCGGGTCCGTCTGCCGCTACGCCTGCTCACGCCTCTGGGTGGGGTGCGCCACCTCAGTCGGGCACCAACAACACGCAGTCGAGCTCTAGCTCGCACACGGCGATGAACGACGCGCAGGGCTGGGGCGGCCCTCCCCCCGCGAACGACGATGGCTGGTGATTGTGTAACGGCGGAAGTTTTGTGAGGAAGATGAAGGAGCGAGGTCAGAAGTCCGTACCGTATCCAATATGCTCTGTGCAGTATAGCCGTTATGCCCATGAAACCTGTGAGAATTGTTCTGAACATTGCATCTGGGAATTGGTACAAACACTTGGGTAGACAACTAGATCACAACTTACGTCTCTTTCTCTCCATCATTCTTCTCCTCGTCTCGCAGGCGCCTCGCCGCACACTCAAAGGTACAGCGTCTGCGCACCCTGCTGCCCCGTCTCGTCAGGACAATACGGACACTTTGCGCTCTTCCGGTTCCCCTTAAGGAGCCGGTTGAAGGATTCCTGGTTGATGACGTGCCCGCACGAGAGCATCGTGGGCGGGTTTGTGTCGCTGGCCTGCTCCTTCGAGACGGGACACACAAAGACAGAGTGGTACCTCCGGTTCCGGGGGAGATGAACCTCCATCTGGTTGTCAGCTTTCGACAGGTATTCGGAGCTCGACCCCGCAGACCCGTAAGACTTACTGGCAGTTCCGGCCACGTCCGCACGTTGCCAAGCCTGTCGCCCATGACCTTACGCGCCTTCTCGATGGCGTTGAGCGCGCCTCCCCTGCTCCCAAGGTCGACGGCGACCTCGAGCGGGTCCTCTCGCGCCCACCCGTGACAGCGACAGTAGTCCGTCCTGAACATCTGCGCGAGTGGCGCATTCTCGATCTCGTACGGGCTCTCCTTCGTGCCCATGAACAGACGGCTCGTGACCAGCTCAAGCACAGGCTGAGTGGCGAGGTACTCGAACATGTGTGTGCGGGCGTACTCTACCGCCGCGGCCGGGGTGGGCTGCGCCAGGAGCATGGCGCGGTGCAGGTGATAGGGCAGGGGAGAGGGGTGCGGGCCCGAGGAGAGGAAGGCGGCATTCGCATGGCACCATGCCAGCGCACTGCTGAGGTCGCCAGCCTCGATGTCCGAGACAATCTCGGCCAGACGGGCAGAGAGGTCACGCTTGGACGCGTCGTAGGCGAGGTCCGTCTCCGCCTCGAAGGCGAGGACGGCGTCCCACAGCCCACGCCGGCCGAGCGAGTCGAGCACGACCCGGTCGAGTGCGGCCGCAGCTTCAGGTTCAGTAAAGAGGGGCGGGTCGTCGTAGGCTGACGATATGTCCGAGAGGGTGGGAGGGAAGGCCTGATGTCAGCAAAGTCCTCACACGATCCGACCTCCACCCAACTCTCCACCCTGAACTGTTCACAGGTACGCAGCTCGTTACACTCGCAGAACTCACCTTCTGGACTGCTTTGCCGGTGTTTCCAAGCGCAGCGTACCACGTCTTGAGTCCGCGCTCAACCTGCTTCTTCGCCTTGGCAATGTTGGTCTGCAACTCGGCAATGACGTGCTTGGGCGGCGAGCCGGCGAGGATGCGCTCTCGGGCGACGGCAAAGTGCTGCTCGAGGAGCGCATTCAGGGGTCCCGACGAGCTCGTCGCGCTAGTGCTCGCAAGCGCCTCGAGCGCATCCAGCGCGGCAGAGACGTCTGCTGTCGACATTGCGTGTCGTCGATGGGAAGGAAGGGGTGGGTGATGATTGCGGTGGGTGGCTGATCGGTCATGAACGATGGACCCGAGCCAGTGCGGAAGCAAGTGACGCGGGGCCGCTGAGCGTGACGTGGGGGGCTGATAAGGAACCTCCACCGCCACATTAGCGGGGCCATTTGCCACCAGCACGCCAGGTTCTGCAGTCTCGACGTGCCTCTGCGCCCACGCATCGCCTGCGAGGCCGCTATCTCGCAAGCCAAGCCTCCTTTCGGACGTGTCAGGATCAGAAGAAGAGTGAAAAGACGCAGTAGACTAGCTTCCAACTTTTCGCCGCTACGACTCTCCTCGCCGGCCGTTCCTCGCTTCTCGCTCCCGATGCTAGCTCCATCCATGCATATCGTGCTCCGCTGCCACCTCTACGCCCCTCCGTAGCTGCATCCGACCACACCGGGGCGGTTGCGAAGGACTGGCATTTTTCGGGGGATTTTCACATATTTCCTCGACTATTCAGGATTCGCACTGTCCGTCACGGGGCCTCGGGGTGGAGCACGCATGCATCCGCAGGGGCCACGTCACGATGTCCGTCGGCTGGATGACGCAGCAGAAGCTGATGCACAGCAGCGAGGACGATGGACACTGGCTAGCCTTGGTTCGCAGCGTTCGGGTCTGCGGCGCTGGGCATGGTGCGACATGTCTGGGTGCTGAATGGCCAACGACAGTGGCACGCACGCCTGCGCCCGTCCGTAAGCGCCGTACGCCTACCATACCGACGCCCGAATTCACAACTGCCCCTGTTCTTACTCGGACCGGACGTAGTGTCCCCCGGTCACCTCAGATCTGGCCGCAGACACCGACCACATCGGCCGCTGCTGACTGCATGAACGATAGCCTGTACACATTCTCGGACCCGGCAGAACCCCACAGTCCCCACCCGACCGAACCTTCCCACCGAAACCCTAATGCATGCCATTGCCTGTCGCTTCCTGCCTGCGCTCTGCTCGCAGCGTGCATAATTGTTGACCATTTTCGTGTATTATTAAGGTTGAGTGCAGCCCGATGCATCACAAGACGCAGGCGGTGTTGCGCCCCTTGCACTAGCACTTGGCACGCCGTGTCGGCAGCTGGGGCGCCGGTATGCATGAATGCAGGGTCTGCAGCGCGCTAACGGCTATGCAAGCACAAGGATGCGAGTGTGCAATCTGGCATACGGGGGATACGGACGAGGAAAACGCCATGTCGCGAGCTGGATGAGGCGGCCAACGGCGGCGGGCACAGCTCAGCTGGCAGACGACAATCAACATTCCCTTGGACCTGGCCGCGAATCTCGCGTTCTATTTCTCACTCTTTCTCTCAACACCCTCATCCATTCGTGCACCTGCATCCGCGCACGCACACCCCGCCATTTCTCCCTCTTCCCACCGCTGCACCTTTCCCCCTCCTGTGCTTTTCAGCACCAGGTGCATCCCCCTGCATTTTCCAAAAATACCGTATACCCAAGTTGGCCACTCTGTAATTACATTATCACCCCCCATTAACCAACGAATTCTGAATTCCTGTGAGTTTATCGCCCATTTTCTGGCAACCACACAACACAACATTGCCGCACACCTCAGCGCGCGTCACGCACTAACTCGGTCCAACAGTCCTTTCCACCACTTTGCGTATCCCCCATAAGGCCGACAGACCGGCAGCGGCGTGCATCGCCCTCATCGACTGCCTGCATTACGCATTCCGCCCCTCCACCCCAGTCAACTGTTCGCGCACTAAATTGCATCATATCTGCTATCGCGCTTTTCATTCCTTACAATCAGTTTCGAATTCAACAACCCACAACAAACCGCGTCGGCACAAGCAACAACACCTACCACCATGCCGCGCGGTCTGCAGCCAGCAGCTGCGCCGCAGGTGCAGCGCAAGAAGCGTAGCTTCTTCTCCAAGAAGTCCACCTTACCGCCTCTCCCCATCATCCGCACCCGTTCCCCGCCGCGTTCAGTCCCCTCCGCCACTGTACTGCATTCGCTCGAACCCGACATGAAGGCCGTCACCGCTGGCAAGACGTTCATGAAGACGGAGATGGGCGAGGACAAGTGGGAGGTTGCTGACCGAACTCGCGTCACGCGCGCCGCCGCCGCCGAAGCCGAAAACAAACCTATCGCCAAGCGCCGTGTCGGTGCGTCAACAGCACGGAAAGCTCCGATCGCCAAGGTCACAGCCAAGCACGTCGCGGTCGGCCCACGCAGTGCGCCAGCTTCCGCTGCCCAGTCTGCTAAGGCGAAAGCGACAGTTGCAGCGACGCGCATCAAGCTGAGGACGCGGCAGTCGCCAGGCGAGGAAGACACTGCTCCCAGCAACGATTCGTCTGCCTCCGATGTTGGTGCCATTGAGGATGTCACATCAGCCCTTCCCCAGCCGAACACACCAGAGGATTCGCCTGCGACAGAATCTGCGCAGTCCGCCCCGCCTGCGCCGGCCGCCCAGCCTGCCCCTACGTCGAGCCGTACCCGTCAATTTTGGTCGACTACAAAGGCACCGCCATCTAAGGAGGCACCGAAGGAGGCGCCCCCACCACCTGCACCGAAGGAGTCACCCACGCCGCCAGCTCCCAAAGAAACTCCCACGCCTGCACCTGTCGAGGCGCCCGCCCCCAAAGCACCGAGGCCGACGAGAAGTACGCCGGCGAAGCAGGACAAGGCTATCAGCAGTCCCGCCACCCGCGCAAAGCGCAGGAATAGTAGTGATGCCCCCACTTCCAGGTCGACACGCCGCAAGAGCAACCTCGGCCCTAGCACCGACGCCGGCCCTAGTGACCAGACTGAAACTCCCATTAACAATGTGCCGATCGAGGAAGCTGGTCCCAGCAGTAGCACCGCTGTTACCGAGGACGCTCCGCGTAGCGATGCATCGCCGAGTGCGGTTCCCAGCAGTGCAGTGGGACCTAGCACCGTCACTGTCTCTGCTCCCCCGGAGACCCTGGCTGCCCCCGTCAATCCCGCCAACCCGTCACAAAAGAAGGAGTACCTCTCAGCGGGAATGTTCTGTGATGAGCCCGTGCCCCCTCGCGACTACCAGTTGGTCAACCGGGTGTTGGCCACGCGGCAGGACTCGAAGAAGAAGAAACTCAACAATGATGGAGAGCTGGATCGTCGCTACGTTTCCGACGATACGTCCTTCCCTCCTCTTCCCGAGCCCAAGGGCATGGTCGAGCTGTTCGAGAAAGAGCACGAGTTCAAGCTGCCGTACGATTTGGTCTGGGAGAGCGAAAGCGGCATCTTGGACGACAAGAAGCGCCCTCCTCAATACGAGATGATCACCTCGAGTGAGTCGATCGAAAATTCTCGAAAAGATTTAGCTGACCTCAGACCAATTCCTCGAGCGACCCAAGATCCCGGTCTCGGACAAGGAGGTCTGCCACTGCGTTGTCGGCACTGGGTGCGGCCTCAGCTGTACCAACCGCCTACAGGGAATCCTGTGTGGGAAGAGCTGTCCCAACGGGCCGGATTGTGGAAACCAGGCGCTGTGTCGTCGCCCGGCCAAGGCCATCATTGTGGCCCTGTCCTCTCTCCACGGTTATGGCGTGTTTGCCGCCGAGGACATTGCCGCTGGAGAATTTGTGGTCGACTATCGCGGCGAGGTCATTAGTGTTGACACGTTCATCGATCGCATCGGCTCACACAGCGAGGACGACAGTGTCTTCGCGATCGCGTACGACAGGGACGAGATCATTGATTCGAGCTCGAAGGGCAACAGTGCTCGTTTCATCAACCACTCGTGCGACCCGAATCTGGTCCTTCGCAAATTTGATACGCTCGGGGACGGTCACGAGGAGCACGAATTCGGTCTGTGGTCCCGCAGGCCTATCAAGGCTGGGGAGGAGCTTACCTACGACTACAATGCGGAGACGTACCCCGTGTTCACTGACGGACCCGACACGCGTGTCCCCTGCAACTGCGGTGCTAAAAACTGCACTGGCGGGCTCAATAGCAAGCAGGGGGTTCGCCCGCAGCTGATGGACGTCCTCGACTCGTCCAGGGCGAACAAGAAGGCTGAGGCGAGGAAGCTCGTGCACTGGGCAGGCCCTGCGTCCGCGACCCGCCTCGTGCTGGGCAAGGACGGCAAGCTGAAGCGACCTGTCGGACGCCCTCGCAAGCACCCTCTTCCTGACCCGAACGGACCTCCTCCAGTCCGCCGCCCCGTCGGTCGCCCCAGGAAGCATCCTTTGCCTGACCCTAACGGTCCGCCCCCTATTAAGCGTCCTGTCGGCCGTCCCAGGAAGCACCCTCTTCCCGACCCCAACGCTCCCCCTCCCCCTCGCCGCCCTGTCGGTCGTCCCCGCAAGAACCCCCGCCCCGACGACGAGAAACCCTCGCCAGCCACCTCCCGTACCGCTCGCGGTCGTGCCAGCCGTGCCGAGTCGATCGCGACATCTTCCAACGCTGATAGCGCCGACGAGGACCAGTGGGACTCAGACCAGTCTGAGTCCAGCAAGGGCATGTCCACCTCTGAGTCTGAGGCTGAGGTTGACGACTTTGACGCCTTTGAGTCGACCGAGCCCGCTGAGACTCCTGAGCCCACTGAGTCCGTTCCGCCCACCGAGCCTGTCCCAGAGGAGGCTGTCCCCGAGCCCGAGCCGATGGAAGTGGAGCAGATCGAGACGGTCGTTGATCCCGAGGCCACTGAGTCTCAGCCTACGCCTCAACCTGAGCCCGAGGTAGCTCAACCTGAGCCTGAGGTTGTCTCCGATGCTCCTATGGTTCCTAAGGTGCCCAAGGCCCCCAAGGCTGTCAAGGCTCCCAAGGCCCCCAAGGCCCTCAAGACTCCCAAGGTCCCCGCCCCGCCTCCAATCAGCCGCGCTGGCCCCTCTTGGGCGACTGGACCCTCGTGGGCCACCGGGCCCGCGCCGGTCCGCTCACCGACCAAGACCCCCGAGCTGCGTTCCTCCTCCGTTGTCATGGATGCCGACGAGGAGATTGAGATCAAGCAGGAGCCCGAGGATAACATCGGTCCCAGCCGCCGCGACCGCATTCCCCGCGGACGCCGCTCGGAGCCCTACCCCCTGCCGCGCAGCAAGGCGCAACAGGAGGTCGCTACCCCTCAGTCTGTGCGCGTCATCCGCCGCCAGTCGCGCGGTGCGTCGACTCCGCGCCAGGACAGCTCCCCCGCTCAGCCCACCGGACGCCGCCGCCAATCCTCTCAGGGGGGTCCTGCTCTCGTTCCCCGTATCCGCCTAAAGGGGCTCACGAGGACGCCGGAGGTAGACGAGCGTGCCGCGAAGGAGGCAGAGCGCAAGGCAAAGCAAGCGGAGCGTGCAGCGCGAGAGGCCGAGGAACGCCGCCAGAAGAAGGCAGAGATGAAGGCGAAGCGCAACGGCGCTCCTGCTGGCTGGGCCTATATCGTGGAGCCCGTCGGCGGACCTGCCCCCGAGCCCGAGCATGCTCCCACTGAACGCGATGCACGCGCTGCTCGCTTGGCCGCGAGGCGCTCCCTGGGTTAATAGTGCTGAAACGCTGTTGTCACGACCTATGCTGTTCGATGGCCGTGTGGGCCATCCCCCAATATTCAGATGAGCCAAGATGTGGTAAGAAGTGCTCTACACTAGAAGAAGATGCCCGAGCACGGGTTAAAACAAGTCCCAGGAAGTGTGCTGGGCAAGAATTCTGTTGTTCACCTGTGCTCCGGCCAGGCCATTCGTAGTGGGCTCCGCCCTGCTCTGTACCATATTTACATGCCATGCGTTGCAGTTGTACCTGTGAACAAGAGAGTGCTCGTGCCACATTGTTTCAACGATCGCTGAAGTCGGTGAGATCAGTGATGGTGAGCGGAGAGTCAGCAGCGCCGAGCACCAACAGAGCGGAGTCAGAAGGTACCACGCAAGCCTTTGAGTGGCCAGACCTCAGCCGCGCCAACAAGGTTTGCACATTGCGCTTTCCTCCAGGTGCCAGGGCGGGTTAAGTTTGCACTACAGCAGCGACTGGGCGAGTGACTTGACGGCAATAACGGCAGTTGTTGCCCCATGCCATGCATCCCATACCTTCCACCAGCACAAGCAACTTCCAATGCGTAGAACTCTAAGACAGTGTGACAAGCCTCAGCAGGAACAGGAACAGCATGGGGGAACGTGACGGTGGAGTCATGTTACGTTGTTTCTATCTTGTGCCCACTGAGCGTGTAGAGGCACGTACTTGAGGTGTCATTCGAAGTCGTACGGCAAGGCGCGTCAAGCTCGAAGGGAGGGGATGACATAAGGCGCGCCCGAATGCTCGTCGTCAGTGCGATCGACGTATTCCGAATCACTGGACAGTGAGCTGCCGCCTGGCGGGCAGCAGCGTGTCCCACCTCGCTGATGAACCCACCGACAGAGGTATGCATGGTGAGGCTGGGGCAGTGATATGAGACTAGAGCTGGTGGAGCAAGGCCCTAATCACAGTTGGCAGCTCGAAACAAGCACCGCCGCCCCCACACAGAGACATTAGCAATTGATTGCGTCCACTGGCGCGCATAAGGCACGCGCCTTGCTCGCCCCTCTTCCGCTGGCCTGGTACGTCTGGCTGACGTTGGGCATCTGCTCAGGCGCTCATATTAGACTCGCTTGCCCACTTGTAGTCGCCGCACTGAGTGACCTGGGGAGTCACCCAGAGTCACCTCCCAGCAAGATCGATCGTCTATGCCAGCACAGACCGCACTGCAGCGCAGAGCCGAAGCCCGAACAGGGCACGGCCCGGGTCCATTGACTGGCGTCTTTCGTACTCCCGTTAATTCTATGGACCCAGCGGCCAACAGTTCACCGCAAAGGAGTGTCTGAGCGCTCCTTTGGATCTCCGTTGGATGGCTCATTCCAGCACTCGACTAGGCCCATTGAGCGGTGGCGTCTCCCGGCCGGCCCGACTGTGGTCCATCCTGGACGTTCTGGCGACTCCTGTCTGTTCTGGTGACCGGCTGCGGATGGAGACCATCGAGCAGATTGGGCGGGATATCTTCGGCTAGACAGCCCTGCACTAAAGTGCTTTTCCCTTGGACTTCCCTGGTCTTTCCAGGCTTTTCGCTGGGTAGGGATCCTGAGGAGATACCCTGGGTGCTTTCCGTTCTTTTCGATGTGGATGGGAGCTCCTGCTGCGCCTGCAGCGCCGTGGCGAACGTATGCATACATCCCGACCCACTGTGGCCACTGGGCCACTGTGCTGGCACCAGTCAGATGGACACTGCACACTGGCGCGCGCTCATGGATACGTGGAAGCCTCGATGGCTTGGAGGAGGGCGTGTGGATGATGTCAGGCGGCGTCCGGGAGTCACCACGATCGATACACACACACACAGCAGGCGTGTCTTTGGCCTGCGGGTGTCACTTGCAAGCACGGACATGCATCAGTCCGCATCAATTGCAGAGAGCGAAAGAGACATGGCTGAGTCGCTTGCCAACTTTAATTTGCACGCCTGCGGTCGTCCCGCCCCGGGTCGAGCGGGCCAGCAGGTCAGCGCAGGCCGTGTTCCGCACTCATGATGCCGCGTTTGCTTCGGCACGGGGTAAGGATGCGACCGATGCGGGGGACGGGGCCAGTGGTGATCTGCACAAGAGATCATCGACTTTGACATCCGACTGCACACCATCGACGCAACCATCCTGGGAGGGAGGGTCGCAAACTTACTCGCGCACATTACGTTTTGCCGGATATTCTTATTCAACTCGCCATCCCACGCTCATACGCTCTGGCGATCGACCGCTCACCTTTGCAACAAAGAACCAATCAGTCATCAATCGAGGGCGTACCCTGGTTTCCTGCTTAGTTGGATCAATCACTCAGTCGATCAGTCTCTCCAGCGACCACTACATACATCCTTTTGTCCTCCAACAACTACAACCACCGAGAGCACAGTGGACGGGGACCATCCGCCATCACCATCATCTCGCCGCTCGCGACATTACTCGAACCACCCATCCGACGTCCATCCCCAAGCCCAGGCCCCTCAACGAGCTAGGCTCCGTTCCCCCCTATCCCCGTTCCAACCATACCCACCCTTCGGCCTCTCCCCTCTCGGCCCCTCCCTCCCCTCCCTCTCGCGTCCCCCTCACCGCGCTCCTTGCCCTTTCAGCAACAAGAAGGAGATCGCACCGATCACCCCGACCAACTAGCGCCGCAGCCAGGCCAGATATCGCCTATCTCTCCATCCACCGCGCTACTGCCTCTCCCTGGTACTAGCCCCACTCTGAACACGCCCTCATCAACCTCGGCGCCATCGGCAGCGACTTCCACCATTCCGCCATCACCCTCTTCTCCATCCACTCTCTCCTCGCCCCGTTTCCCCTTGCCGCCCAACCATCCTCCGACCCCGCCCCCGCGACGCGTCAAGGACAAGGACTTTGACCCCGCCGCGACCCCCCGCCGCAGCGCAAACGACGTCGTCTACGTCCCGTCGTCCGACCAGGACCACTCGGAGCACGTGTCCACGTCAGTGACGCCCGCGACGCCCGTGGACGAGTACGACGGGTACGAGCGAGAGCAGTACGAGCTCGCGGACGACGAACTCAGTCACGAGCACGACTCGGCGCTCGCCGCGCACGAACACCTCGCGCAACAGTCTTCGCCGCCGTCGACCCCGCCCCGCTCCATGCTCCCGCGACACCGCGACCACGACGACGCGCTCGACGTGGAGGGCGACAACGTTCCCGGCTCGTCGCCGCGCAGCGTGTCCTCGTCTGCTGCCCGCCAGCGCCGCGAGCAGCGTCAGGCGTCTGCCTCCTCAGCCACCGACGAGAACGGCAACCCAATCCCGGTCCCTGGCGAGAGGCGTGAATCGTTAGTATCCAACGACTCGACGGGACGCAGCTCAACCCACAGAGCGCAACAGCGCAAGATGATGCTCGCCCAGCAGATGAGCCTGGGCATTGACGGTGAGTACCCTTTTGCATGCATGCAACGGTCCGAGTGAATGCTTTAGCGTGTTTGGAAAGCGTTACTTTTTTCCGCTCTGGGCATTGGATGTTACGCGGAGTCTCGATACGCTGCGGGGACGCCAGGGGTACATCCACCTGGCCACCTGACGCCCCGAACACAACAGCGGTCGCTCTCTAAAAGTGGTCCGAGCGCCGGAACGCTCCTCCCATCCATCCACCTCGCAAGGATCACTTCTACGAGCCATGGCACACCGCCGCGCCGCCCCATCCTCGTAAAACAACATCCTACGCCATCATCACCACCACTCTCCTTTACTCCCCCGACTAAATGATGCGATGGCTTTCGCTAACTCAACGTTTAGCTGAAATCAAGGCCGAGGACGCTGCCCAACAACCCAAGCGCCGGTCCATCTTCCGGACCACCGGCACCGCCAGCACCCCCGACCTGACCACCTTTATTAGAGGTAAAGGAAAGCCCCAGCAGGGCAAGCAGGCCCAGAAGAATTCCTCCGCCGGCAACGTGTCCCAGCATGCCATGGGCCAGGGCAAGTCGTCGACCCCCGCGAGCTCGACGACGGCCGTTTCCTCCCAGTTCACGACGCACCACATGTCCGGATCCACTAGCTCGCTGACCCGCGGGCGCAGCCACGAGGCCCCGTCCGACTCTAGCGCGCAACGCGGTGCCTGGCACGGACACAACTTCCCAAACGACTCGCAGCGACACATGCAGACCATCGCCGAAAACGACTCGCTCCACCGCAAGCAGTCCTTCAACGATGATGGAAAGGTGAGCAATCTCCAGAACACGCTGACCCCCAGCGCAAAGGCAAAGGCGTGTTTGGTCGCATGTTTGGCTCGTCAAACAATAAAGACCGGGACTCTCCACCCAACCTCAACTCGCCCTCGCAGTTGAGCCTGTCGGCCAGGTCCAACGCCGAGGTCAGTTCGCCAAAGTCCAACGTCTCTCCCCAGCTGCCGTCGTCATTCTCGCCCCAGTTCCCTGGCAACGCCCAGTTCACTTTCGAGTCTCCCCAGTCCAATGGCAACGCGCGTCCGCCTCTTCCTCAGCGCCATTCCGGTGGCTTGGTCCCTGGTATGGCTGAGCCGCACGAGCCAAGCCGCATCTCGATTTCCTCGGCTCACTCCGCACAAGAGGTCATTGTCGATCCGCAGGATCCCGGCAAGGAGCCCTCGACCCGGGTGCATAACATGCTCCAGCGCGGCGCCACTGAGGAGCGCTCGTCGTCGCGTCGCTCCACGGCAGAGGCAGAGCCGAAACCGCCACGTCGAGCTAGCACCTCGTTCTCGGACGACGTGACTGGCCTGTTAGATCGGATCAGCCACGGCGACCCCCCCGTCGGAGTGGGCATCAGGACCCAGGAGCCTGAGACAACAGAGCACCTGCAGGTGTCACCTGACCCGTCCCGATACTCGCAGCGCTCCGCCTCGCCCTTGTCCCCCGCCAATCAAGACAGCACAACGCTTCCGGACGCTGCTCCTGTTCCGGTCTCTGGCAAATCTTCTGCTTCCTCCACCCAGTCAAGCCGCTACGACGACGCCCAGGCCCCAGAGGGAACTACCGTGCTCGAGTCTGCGCTTGCTGACAACTCGGACACGGACCTCGTGCCCCCGCCGGTCCCCGTCAAGGGCGAGCCGACGATCAAGATGGTCCCGACCCGGCACGACGACGGCATTGCGATCGAGGTGACCCAGTCCCCGCACCAGTCGACCACCAGTCTCGATGATTTACCGGCAGACGAAGAAGAGCGCGCCCACCAGCTCGCGCGCGAGTTTTACCAGGGCGACTCGGCGCACGTGTCCACCGACAAGGTCGCCATCTTCCTCGGCGGCCCCAAGCCCGTCAACACGGCGACGCTCCGGCACTACATGCAGCATTTCGACATGCGCGGCAGCAAGCTCGACCAGGCTTTCCGTTACTTGTGTGCCAAGCTGCATTTGAAGGCCGAGTCGCAGGAGATTGACCGTATCATCGAGGGCTTTTCCGCGCGCTACTTTGACTGCAACCCGAACACGGTGTTTGGCACGCCCGGCGTCGTCCACACGGTGACTGCCGCCATGCTCATGCTGAACACGGACCTGCACATTGCCGAGCTGCAGAAGCACATGTCGCGTGCGGATTTCGTCCGCAACGCGATGCGCGCGATCCAAGAGTCGATGCCAGAGGATCTTGAGTCACACAATGACAGTGGATCCCTGCGCGGTGTTGACGGAACGTCCACCGCGGCTCAGTCGACGACGTCGATCACGCGCCTCCGCCAGCCCGCTAACAGCCGCAACGCGAGTGGCACGCTCGCGCCGGCATCCGAGCTGTCGTCGCCTTCGAGCCAGGACCTGCGGTCGCGCGCGGCTTCGTCGACAACGGTCAACTCGTTTACGTACTCGAAGCAGTGGGAGGTGGAAGCTGAATCGGCCCTCAAGGAAATCTACAGCAACGTCCGCAACGAGAAGATCCTCCTGCCCATTGGGTCAGCCGACAAGTCGTCCCTCTCTCTCAACAGCTACAATCGCCGCGGAATCGGGCCCCTTAAGCGGTCCTCGGTCAAGGGCAACTCGCCGTACAACGGCAGCGGCGTGTTTGCGCACTCGGACGGGAGGTTGTCGCCAACTCCGTCGTACGCAAACTCTATCGGCGAGGTAAGTGGAGTTGCAGCGCGTGTTTGCCACAAGACTCGGGCCACTCAATAGTCTCCCCAGCGCTGACATTAGCAAACAATCGCCCCCGCTATCGGCTTCGCTGGCAACCTGTCGCACACGGTGATCCGGGAACAGGAGGACGAGACGCACAGCATCAAGAGCAACCAGTCGACCGTCACGCTGGAGCCGCTGAATGACGACGAGCTCGCGCTGCTCGGTGCCCCGTGGGCCAAGGAGGGTCTGCTCTCCCGCAAGATCCAGGTCGAGGCCGCTGGCAAGAAGCACCAGAAGAAGGACTGGAAGCAGTACTTTGTCGTCATCCAGAAGGGCGACCTGCACATGTTTGTGTTTGGCGAGAAGGGGTCCAAGGGCCCGAGCATGGGCATGGGCGGCATGGGTGGCGGTAACTGGCTGTCAAACGCCAAGACGACCGGCGAGTACTCGCTCATGCACGCCATGGCCATGGCGCTGCCGAAACCGGGCTACAGCGCTTCGCGGCCGTACTGCTTCACGGTGACCTTCCCGACCGGCGAGATCAGCGTGTACCAGGCGGGCACGGAGGAGCTCGTGGCTGAGTGGGTTGCGACGTGCAACTACTGGGCGGCGCGCAAGTCGCGGCAACCGCTGGTTGGTGGCGTGTCCAATATCGAGTACGGCTGGACGCGAGTGCTCGACGAGAACGGCGACGGCACTCCGCCACCCGAGGCGCCCAGCGTCATCTCGTCGCGCTCCTCGCCTAGCATGACCCGTCTCGGCGCCATGCGTTCCCGCGGCTCGCAAAACCTCGACAAGATGACAATCGTCGAGTGGAAGCCGCCGCCGCATGCCACGATGCCGTCAAACCTGGACGAGGAGGCGCAGCTCGAGGCGCTGCTGATGTACGTGCAGAGTCTGAAGGAGGAGCTGGACCAGCATAAGAGCATCGAGGAGCCCATGTCCAGGCTGTACACGCCGGGGAGCAAGAATGCAGTCAAGGCGCGGGAAAACTGGACCGCGAAGTCGCGCTACATTCACTCGGAAATCTTCAAGTACGAGACGTACGTCGAGGCGTTACGCAACGCCATCAGCCTCCGCATGCTCAAGCAGCAGGAGCGCAAGGCCGCCCAGCCGGGCAAGTGAAGCGAGTTCAGAGGTGTGCTCGAGTATATGTGGAGTCTGGAGTGAGCCACCGAGCGAAGCGAGGTGGCGAGCGAGGACAGTCCGAGCGCCGTCGAGCGAAGCGAGACGGCAGCGAGGACGGTGCAGAGTGCGCAGATGTCTGACCGTATCAGTCGTTCGACCTGGCCACTCGACACATCTCTGCCCCCACGACGTCTTCACGACCTTCTTCCGACGACATCGTCGCCTTTTTCGCCTTTATAGTTGCCATTTTGGGAGCCCCGGAAGTCCAGCAAGTTGTTTTGAAACGTTGAGAATATACCCCGCGCGCAAGGCGCCGATACACATTACACCACGTACTACTATAAGATATACAATGCCATGAAAGTTATAACGTTGACTACGAGCGAGCGCAGCGAGCAGGACGTAGGCACTGAAGTGAGTAGAGTTGGAGGCGGGTACTGGAGAAGCAGCTAGCGCCCCATGGAGTGAAGGGCATCTACATGCGAGATCTTGGTCAGGTGATCAGGCAGGGGTTCCGCCCACGCCCTGTCGAAGAACAGCGTCAGGGGTCGCCTACCAGACTCGTCTCGACCTCCGCTGACTCCATCGGTCACCTCCATTTCCGTCTTTCCCTATACAGAGAGGAATGCATGCGTTTGCTGCATTCTCCGGAGGTTGTTCTTTGTCGTTTGCATGCATACGCCGGACATCCGCGTCGATCACACATCGCATCACAGGTGACACAGAATAGCGTGTACTTGTGCCTGGCCGGCAAGCTGCAAGTTGCCGAGATACCCGCCGGCTGTGACCGCTACACCCTCCACTCAACGACTTCTCCAACGTACCCTCCCTTCCGCCCAACTGAACAACACTCACCGCTCAACGGAGCAACGCCCAGCAGCCCCGCACCATGTCCGCCACCAAGCTCAAGATTCTGTGTCTGCACGGCTTCACCTCCTCGGCAGCCCGGCTGTCCCGACAACTCGCACCCGTCGTCCAGGCTTCAGCGCCCTGGGCCAACTTTACGTTCGTCGACGCGCCCTTCGCTGTCGAGCCAGGATACGCCTGGTGGCGGGCACAGGACCGCTCGGGCCCGGACGGAGATTACGCAGTGTACGAGGGATGGCCCAAGTCTCGTACCTACCTGCACGACATCTTGCGGGAGCAGGGGCCGTTCGACGGCGTGCTCGGGTTCTCCCAGGGTGCGGTTGTCACTTCGCTCTTGTGCCTGATGCCCGAGTTCAGAGACAAGTTTGGTTTTGGCGTGATTATTGGTGGATTCAAGGCCCGCGATCCGGAGCTCAGGAGGAACTATGAGGAAAGCAACCCGGGTTTCGACAGGAGGAGTTTGCACGTCTGGGGTCGGGAGGATGATATTGTGCCCCCGAGGGCTAGTGAGAAGTTGAGCGAGATGTTCAAGAACCCAGAGCTCATCGTGCACTCGTGAGTAACGCGCGAGATGGAGTGTGCTGATGGGTGTATAGGGGCGGACATGTTATTCCTACCGCTGAGGAGGAGATTGGGAAGTGGACGGCGTTCTTCCGGGAACGGGCGGGGGCCAAGGCGGCGAGGGAGGGGAGCAAGGCGAAGTACTAGATGTGAGATAGAGAGATACAGAAGCGTCGTTTCCGCGGCGCATGGAGGAATACTGAATGCACTGACGCTCAGCGATGTATTGAAGTGATATGTGCTCCTTTGTTCAGCCGTGTGAGAGAGGATACGTTGTGCAGCACTCCAGCGGGGGAGGCATCGATCCGTATCACCCGAACCAGAGGTTGCCGAAGGGATGAAGATCGCTGCGCTGTCGGGGCTCTTTCTCGCGCTGCTTTGCACAGTTTACGTCGTGGACCGCCCAGCCGTGACAACAACAGCGATGGTAAGGTACTGTATAATGCCCTTCCGACACGTCTTGTACGACGTTGACCGTCTCTGAGGACACTCCCGGTGACTTCTGCGCGTACTTCCTGGGGAGCCGCGGGGATGACCGCACTCTTCCTGTATCCGATATCACCTAAGAAACGTCGCCCTCGGGCTGTGTTGATGAGCTTGCCGCGAACGTCAAGATTCCCTGCCCTGCGCGACGCAAGGGTCTCACAGTCTGCGATGCCGTTCAGCTCTCATTCGCTGCCAGCGTTCGTTCAAAATATAAATTTTACTCTGGTTGCACTTCTCGTTGCGTACGCTGCCGGGGGAGCTGGGAGCACCGTGGGGCTGACAGATGGGTGCAGCGCAACTGGCCCCTTTTAGAATTATTCTGGTGACGTGGAAAACTGACGGCCATCAGCCAGTTGCGGACCTCGGCAGGTGTAGGGTGATTGCTGCTGGTGCCAGCCGAGTCGTGACAGCAGTCGCCCATGTCCGTGTTCGCTCGTACAGCCCTCTAGGGATGTACTAATGATGCCATCGTCTCCCAGAACTCCACGTTCTGCTCTATATGAGGAGAAGATCGAGCATGTACGGGCGGCATCTGCCTCTTCCTGTATGCTGCCAATCGCCTATTCCCACGTTAAGCAATTAAGCAATTGCACTGTGCAAGGGTTTGTGGCGGTAAAGCTGATTTCCGAAAGTTTGCTATGGTGGAATATGCGTCGTCCGAATCGTCGTTGAAGCAGGGGTCAAACGTGGAGGTGCCCTTTCACTTGCTAGTTGCACAGTATTGAGCGGATAACTCTGTTGAGACAGTCGCTTGGCCTCATGTCCGCCGAAAGCGAGAATATTCTGTCGCAGACCGATTCCGAGGTTATCACGATGACCTCTTCTACAACGAATTTGGATGGCGCCCCGAGAAGTGTCACATTCTGTTGATCACACACAGCGTTTAGTTGTTCTTTTGAACAAGTTAAAGCAGTGGTTTTCGTTGCTAACGATCAGCTCATGATTGCGTCGAGTCTCCGATCCACGGGTCCACTTTCCACCACTCGCATTGAGCACACCCCGTCGGCATTCTCGTGCTCTCCGCTTGAAACCTCCGCACCTCGATTGTCCTCATGATGAGATTTTACTCTGAAGTGCGTGGTCAGACTGCCTTGGCCTCCTTAGATTGCCGCTGCATGCATGTTGGCTGGTTTACAGACATCGCTACGATCAACTTAGAAAATGTCCCAAATATCGGGGTCACTTTCGTCTGTATCACTGTCCGCGTCAGACTCGTGCTCGTCCCGCATAGCATTTGAGCCGTCGCTCTGGCTGTCGTCGGACAACCCGCTTTCAGACAGCTCAACGGGGGAGCAAACGCGACGCCGAGTGTAAGCCGGGGACTCGGGAGAAGGTGGTCTCGGTGAGGGAGATTCTCCTAAACGCAGCGGTGGTCTTGCTGTGCCTGCGGAGATCCTGGGCGACGACGTGCAGCGCCTCTTGAAGGGAGTGGCGGCAGTGCCAGTGGAACCGCGGGGCGTTCGAGAGGTCGCGCTTGACGGCGGGATTTTGCGCTTCCTCGCTATGGGCAGCGAACGAGGGTGGACCAAACGGAGTGTTTCGACGGAAGTTGAGGTGTGCCGCCGCGTTGAGGTGGAGGTTGCTGCCGACTTTGTCGTTGTGCGAGCACGCTTCGGCTGCGGCGCGGACGGCAGTGCCACTGCGTTTCGCTTCGTAGGCTTGTGCCGCTTGACCGAGCTGCGAATTGGCTGCCGCAACTTTGACTTCGGCTTGGACAATGGCTGGAACATGTTCAGGATTGTGGGCCGCGCGGTCGGAGGCGGCTGCCTGTCGGCCGAAGACGATGTGGAGGTCGCTACGGTGCTGGACGCGACGATGGGTGGAGCGACGGCGGTGGAAGGAGCAGTTACGGCAGCAGGGATTGCAGCAGCGGGGGGAACAGCGGCGACAACGACAACGGGAGAATGGAACATGACGGGCGAAGCCGCCACGAGCGGGATGCCACTCTGCCCGTTGTAGTCGTTGATGACACGCAGCGGACGAAGCTTGCCCCTGTCACGCTCGTACTGCCCGCAGCGTCGGCAAACCTGGGGACGGCCAGGGAGGAACTTGGACCGGTCGCCCTGGTAATGTCCATGATCCTTGACGCGCTTGTTGCGCTCGATGTCGCCGCCACAGTTAGAGCACGTCGGTATCACCCCCTTAAGAGATGAGGGGGTTTGGGGATGCCGTTTTGCGCCTCGTACACGCCACAGGGCTTGCAGACCCGGATCCCAAGCGCTGGCGAGATCGAACTGCGTCCGGGGATGACGTGCCCACACCTGCACACTGTGCCCGGTGGAACTGGCGGTACATCGGGCAGCCGGACGAAGGGAAGCTTGGCGATGTACTAACGTCTGTAACAGATGTTACAGAGCTGTGAATCAGCTTTTTGCTCAAGTGGACTGGGCACTCACGAAGCCGCCCTTGCCATCGAAGGCCAAGCACCGTCCCGTCGACTTCGATACCTTATCCTTCCGACCACACCCTGCACACGCCTGCGGCTTCGGGCGGTCGAACCTGCTGAGCTCGTCTTGGTAGCAGTCGTCGCATGGCCGGTTGCGACTGACGAGACGCTTGTGCTCCTTGCACACCATGCACTGGCCCGTGTGCGTCCCGTGACGGTTTTCTGGCCGCGGCTTGCCGTACTTGACCTCGTAGTCGTCGCAGGCCCGACAGATTCCCCCGTTCACGAGGAACTCTGTGTCCCCGCAGTTGTCGCAAGCAGCGGCCTAGCTGCCAGTGTGGCACCATCGAGTTCGGCACCGGGGAAGAGGAAGATGAGCGGCTGCGAGCGGAGCGAGATGTCTGCCTCCTCGGCACCGAGGGCGGCGGTGACGGCGCAGCTGGAGCAGCCGAGACCGAGTCGACGGCAAGAGAGGCAAGCAGGGCGGCGCCAGTCGCGACAGCGGGTCGCACATAGCCGGTGGGGTCAGCGGCAAGAGGGGGAGGAAACAAGCTGGCCGGCGACGCTGTCAGCAGCATCAGTCCATTTCGCTTGCGGCGTTGGTTCACGACACGGAGTGGCCGAAGCTCGCCCTTCTTGTCGTAGTGACCACAGGCTTTACAGATCTGTGGTCGACCCGGCAGACACGACGAAGGCTGGCCCTGCCAGTGACCCTTGTCCTTCGCGTAGAACTCTATGACCTCCCAGCACACCGCGCAGGGGGTAACTGCGCCCTGGAAGAGGTGCCGGGGCTTCGGCGCTCCGTGCTGGGACTCGTACGCGCCACATTGCGGACAGACGCGCTCGTTGAGAGAAGGCGACACGCTGGCGTTGCCGGTGATCACGGTGCCACATCGACACACTGTGCCAACGGGCATATGATCGAGGTCAGGCAGCTGCACGAGGGGGAGACCGGCGTGCTTCCGCCGCCAGCAGGTGTTGCAACACTGGTTGTCAGCTTTGCCAACTGTCAGTTGAAAGACTTACCCAGCCTCCTTTCCCGTCGTTCATCTTCGTCCACCGCGTCGTATCGATGAGCTTCTCTCGCCGGCCGCAGCCCGCGCACTTCCGCGGTGAAACTCGGTCGACACGACTCAGCTCGTCTCGACTGCACGCGCGACAGGGCCCATGGCGGCTAGCGAGACGAGTATCCTCGCCACAGATGAAGCACTCGCCGTGGAGAGTTCAGTGCATCGCGCCCTTCCAAAGGTGGGGTAGCCGAGGAGCGCCTTGTTGCCGCTCGTAACCCAGACATGATGAGCAGACGTTCTCCGGGAAGAAGAGCGAGGGCTTGCCGCCGCGTCGCATAGTTTCCCCGCACCGGCATTCGGCATCGGGGATGTCGATCATGGGCACTTTCTTCTTGCGCTTAGCCGGCGGCGCCGAGGACGTGCCACCGCGCTTGCTTCCTGAGGCTGGTGGAGCTGCAGGGGCTGGCATCGTCGATGCGGGGAACCACCCCGCAGCGTGCGTAACCGGGATCGTCGATGTCGAGCCGAAAACGCACACGGGTGACGCCGCAAGCTGCGGCATGCCGTGCCTCAGCCTCCAGCGGTTGATGAGGTGCAGCGGGCGCGTGCATTTGGAATACTTCTCGTACTCGCCGCACGCGCGGCATATGGCATATGGGCGGATTACCCACAAGGTACTTCGCGATCATCCCGTCCCAGCGACCTTTGAGGCCACGCTTGATCTCGACGCCGCAGTTTGCGCAATCGGTGATGACACCTTTTTGAATTGATGAGGCGGCCGTGGAACGCCCTCGCGGCCCTCGTACGCTGTGCAGGCGTTGCATACCCGCCTTTCCAGGCCGATCGAGACCGACGAGTTCGCTATGGTTTCACCGCACCGCCAGATCGTGCCCGGTTCGACTTCAGGGAGTCGGACGGGCGGGCGGCCGTAGTAGTGAATGCGGTGGAAGCAGCTATCGCATTGCTACCAGTCAGTGTCACATTCCTCAAGTGGGTGGTTAGACTCACCAAACCTCCTTTGCCGTCGTAGGCGTACAGCCAGTTCGTAGTCTTGATCTTCCTCTCTCCTCTACCGCAGCCCGTGCAGACCTTGGGGGCGGACGGGTCGTAGAAGCTCCTCTCGCGCCTGCAGCAGTCATGGCAGGGCAGATGTCGACTCGCGAGGCGCTTGTGTTGCCAGCAGACGCGGCACGGACCGTTGAAGATCATCTGTAGCTCCTCCGGTCGATCGTCGCCTGTGCGTTTCTTGTAGCGCGTGCATGCACGATACATCCCGCCGTTACAGGTAAAGAGGTGGTCACCGCAATTCAAGCAAGATGTGGCGTAGTCGCCCATGTTGAAGCCGCGGGGCTCCCTCTCGACCTGCGGCGGATTGTCGCCGTCCGTGGAGTCCATGTCGAGGCTAATGCGGTCGGTGCGAGACATACGCTCCGCATCGGCGATGGGCGTCGGGAGGCGGACGGCGGGTTGACTTGAGTGCTCCGGAACCGATTCGAGCCCTGCGACCGCGGCTTCCTCCAGCGCGCTATGCAGACGCCCCAGCGTGGCCTCGTGCCGCTGGCTCGACGTCGCTCGTAACCGCGCGGAGCTGGTCCGACATGCGGGAGATCGCCGACGCGACAAGGGTCGAGCCCAATCGGGAGCTGGTCGGTACGGACGAGTGCGGAGAGTTGTGGGATGGGCGGCGGGGCGGCAACGGGCGGAACGGAAGCGGGCGGGGGACGCGAGTCACTGGAACAGACGCGCTCAGCGGCGGACTCGAGGCGGGTGACTGTCCTCTCGTAACGTCATACTGATACCTCACGCTCGGCACTAGGAACGTAAGTTGAGCGTTCGAAGTCCACCGCCGCACCATCACGTCGCAGGCTGGTTCTTCGTCGCAGAAGGATCGAGAGTACGACGAGCTCAATGTCGCTCTCCAGGCCGCCAAACTTCGGCCAGTTCATCCACCAGGGCAGCACCTGGACGTTGGTGCGGTCGTGCCAGGGCATGGCGGCCACGCGGCCTGGCCCCTCACGGAAAATCTGCGCGCAGAGATCCACAGAAGGCTCTGCATCGCCGAAACCCGATCGGAGAAGTTCGCCGCGCGCTGCGTCAAGGGATCCAGCCCAGGAAGCAAGACGTCATCCGTGGCTTCCAAGAGGTCATGTTTGCCTTCCAGCCAGCCCTTGAGACGGGCAGCGAGTTCACCCTCGCCCCAGTCGGCATACTTGACGTTGGGAACAGCTGGGGGAGTGGCTCAGCCATGGCGTCGTCGTCAGCGAGCAGGTCCTTGATGTTCGCCTTGGTCTGCTCGTCCTTCGCCGCATCCAGATCGCGCTGTAAGCGCAAATGCCACTTCTTAGAACTGACGGGATCGCTTGTGCTTGATGATCAAGCACAAGCGATCCCGTCAGGTGGACAAGCGCCTCGATGTCGGCGGGAGTCCAGGAAGTAGGGGAATCAGGGCGGCGCGGGCTGCGGGGAAAGGGGGAAAGGAGCGGCGGCGAGCGACACGGGCGACACTGGCATAGGGCGGGCTGATCCGGGCTGCACAGGCTGCACGGGCTGGGCGGGTTGAACGAACTGCAAACGGGCGAGGGCGAGACGTGCCTGCTCCTTCCCGACCTGTTGGACGACTCTTCGGGCCGTAGCGCGGGTGGCCACAGGGCCTGTCTCTCCTCGACCCAAGAACGCAGCGCAGTCCATCGACACCAAAGTAGCTGTCACTTCCTCTCCTCGAAGCACGGCTTCAAGCCGCTCGCGGCGCTCCTCGAGACGGACCGCGGCGCGGTTGAAGAAAGACGGCGGAACACGCGCCGCGATGGTCGGCACATCCTCGTCAGATGACACGGCGATGAGCGCTCGGTAGTGCTGGTCCAACAGCGCGATGCGCGCGACGTGCGGTGCCGAGTGACCAGTGAGCTCCTCGACGTCCGTGAAGCTGGCATCGGGGTCCAGTACAAGGGCGTCGAAGTGGTAATGACGGGCCAGGGCGATAAAGGTGTTGTTGTCGAGCCATGAACCACCCTGTCGTTCGGAGGGGCTGTAGCTCTCGTATCATTCCACCATGTCGGCGTACACCTTGTCGAGAGCTTCAGCAACCGGCGAGCCCTGGTCCTCGTACTCATTGATCCTGATCTTGAGCCCAATAGCGTCCGCGTAACCATGTGTTGCGCATCTCCTCCACCATCTTGGACAGATGAGGCCGCGCTACTTTGAGAGCATGCAGAGCGCAGTCGCCGTTGGGGCGAGGCCGTCGCGCGTGAAGCCGTGAATTCGGGCTGGGATGGCTATTTGATTGAGTCGCGCCGACGTTAACGTTGGCAGGGTGGCATGAGCGGCTGACGGTCGGGGTGTTTGGGTGACCACCACAGCAGGGAAGGCGGGGCGTTGCAATAGTGGGCATGGTGGCTCCGAAGGAGATGGTGGCGGGACCGGCAGAGTAAACAGCAACGGTAGAGGTGGTGGAGGGGTGGTGCTGGAGCTTCACACGAGCAGAACGGTGAGAAGCTATGGCAATCTGATGATCTCTGCGATCAGCAGCGGCGGGAAGGCGCACGCGGGTGGCGAGACTCGAGAAATTTAAGGCCGTTAGCATTGAGCAATGGACTGTGGAAGGAATAGCAGGCTCGCGGGTGCAAGGGGTCGATCAGGGCGCTGGGCAGAGGGAACTCCGTCACACAGCACACACGAGTTTGGCAGAAGGAGGAGGGAAGACATGAGATTCAGTCACACTTGGGCATCGAACACCCGCCTTGGAGGAAGGCGTTGGTCGGGAGCCGGGGAGTTGGGTGCTGACAGTGGCGAGATGTTGGGAAGCGAGTGACTCATGGGGAAGACGGTTGGGCAGTCTTCCCTCGAAATGGCTTTTGCACAAGCGAAGACAGTTGAGTGAATGACTCAAAGGGAAGTAAGGTAGGCGAGAATGGGGGAGGTTGAGTATCTGACGGATGAAGGCCCACCTACCCAGGATGTTCGAAATGAACTCTGACGCATGTTGAGGTTGTTGCAGAAACTAATGGAGGAAGGGATGAGTAAAGAAGACAACGCGAGTATGGTGAGTCAAGAGATGCAATGTCCGACGAAGTGCTGCGGTTAGCGAGCGAGGGAGTATCGAAGCTGCCAGGCGTGTGGCTCCGCTCGCGAGAAAGGCAAGCAGGACGGTAGGCGTGAGCACAGGCCAGCGCCAGCGACGCCTAGATCCGCCCCCTGATCTCCTGCCAATCCTATCTCGGCTGATCTCGTGCCGATCATACCTGGTGTAGCTGCGAGGGCTCGGCAGGGACATAGTGCGATAGCGTGAGGAGGCGCCGCTGCGGTGGAGAGTGATATCGGTCTGTCGGCTAATCACGTGGTGGAGGCCGATCCCCCAATCCACCCATCTTCCAAGTTCGAGTCCAATTCTCGAGTTCAAGTCCATTTCTCGTCTTCACGCCATGATATCTGCATCGATTCTAATAAACATGCGATGCGTACTCATAGAGGACAAGCTGCGGCTCGTCCAAGCGGGTGCTCCTTACGAAATCATGTCTGCATCGTCGTCTCTAATAAACAGGCGATGTTTACGACTGGGGAGCCTCCTTCCAGGAGACGGCCTGCTCCTCGCCCATGGCGGTGAGGATAGTGACCATGATGTCCTTCCCATTCTCAAACGCCTGCTCGCTTTTTACGTAAGCATCTTGTGTCCAGAAAGCAGACGGAAGAGTTGGGAGGTCCGAGGAGATCGAAGAACAAGATCAAGGGACAAACTCGATTCTCCGATGATCCTGAGCCTCCAAACAACTCTGCAGCACTCACATCTCTTTGCCGACGTCGTTGTCCGGGTTCTTGACGTCGTCTTCGGCTGTCAGTACTCGAAAGAACAAAGAAAATTGAGAAGAAGGATCGAGAGAACGATGAAGGAGAGTGATGGCGAGGGAGTGGGATTTGGTGGGAAGTGTGGAGGTGGTGGCGGTGGAGGTGTGGCGGGATCTAAAACTCACCCTTGGAGCCACCGTCGGAGTCCATGAGGGAGAGGAAGCCGTCGGCGATGTCAAGGAGCTGGTACTCAGTGCGGCGGACGTTGGGGACGTCCATGTTGTGGGTCGAGGGGGAGATGTCCTCGAGCTTCTTGCCGGTGAAGATCTGAGCGGGTCAGTGGGCGTTCCACACACATCCAGGCGGCCATTCCACACGCCGCACGGGGCCACTCACGTCAATGGCGACAAGGTGGACCTTGGCGTGACCGTGCTTGCCGGTCTTCGAGGTGGACATGTCGACGATCTTGCAGGGACGGCCTAAACGTTAGCGTTCATTCTCCAACTTTCCATGCGCCCGCGCTCACCCTTGATGACGACGTGACCGTTCTTGCGGAGAGCGGAACTGTAGAGGGTCAGACATGTGTAACTGATGCGGAGCCAGAGTTGTCGATCGGGGCAGATACACACCACTGCATGGGGTAGGTGAGCGAGGCGCCGGCGCCGGCCTGCTCGAAGGTCTCGTGGTGCTCGTCGTCAGACATTTTCTGTGAGGGTCAGACTGTCGTTCTCGCCGTGTATGGTAGCGTGCACACGCACTGGTTTTAGTTGTCAAGTGGAAGGTAGGTTGGAGAGATGTAAGATTTGCGCAAGTGACAGAGAAATGTTACTGGCGCGTGGGCTACGGTGCGTGGCAGGGGCTGGTGCAGCGCCCAATGCCCCGCACACGAGACGCCTGTATGGGCCCACAGACCCGCCCTGCTACGGAACAAAAAAGATCAATTCCCGCATTTCCGGCGTCGTTTGTGGCACCTAGGACTGTTAATTCAGATTCTGGCCCTTCCTGCGTCATGGGACCGAGTCCCGGAGGTGTAACGTCCGTGTTCTGTGTGGACAGTCTCGTCGACGTCGGCTTCCTTCTCAAGGGCCTGGTTTCATCGTCTCTCCGACTTTGCATCTGTTCATATCCTCATGTCTAGGTGATTCTAGACGGCCCACCTCTTTGTACCAGGCTGTCGTTCCATGTGCATACTTGGACCCCCGTCCCTTTGCACCAGCCACCGGCCCCCATAGTCCCCGCTGCTGAATGAAGCAAACTTGACAATGATCACCCTACTAACGCCGGAGATCGCCGACATTGTGGCACCAACCACGTGGGAACCACAACATCAGCCCTCGCGTCATGTTGTTCTCGTTTCAAGTGGTTGGTCGGCGTCAAGCTCATCGATAATCTACCTCGTCTGACGACCACCATCACCTCCCACAAGGAGACTCGACCGCCATGGCTGCGTCACCAGAGGCCGTGCTGCATCTGGCGGCTCTCCACACCCTTGCGCAAGCCGGGTTCGCGTCGACGTCGCGCGCAGCGTCGGTCACGCTGACCGGCGTGCTGCAACAATACCTCTCGGTCGTCGCAGCAACATGCACGGAACGGGCCGCCCTCGCTGGTCGATCCAAGGTTGCCGCGGTCGATGTTGTTCATGCACTGGAGGATATGGGCGTCGGCGGTGTCTCTGAACTGCAGGAATGGACAGCGGACTTGGACAAGGAGGTGTCGTTCAGCGGTGGCAAGCTGGAGGAGCTGTCCAGTAAGGCGCGAGTATTGACCATCGCTGACCATCAGGTTACCTTCGCGACGGGTTGAGCATCACGGATGGAATCGACATGCGATATGCCCCTGTCGAGGACGAGGGCGAGGAAACCGACGACAGCGGCAGCGAGGCGGAAGTGGAGGGATCAGAGGAAGAGGAGGACGAGAAGATGGACGTGGACGAGATGGAGGCGGAGCGAGTAGCCCCACGCATCTCGTATCGACCGCGGTCTCCGGACATGTCGTGGCTGCCGCCTTTACCCACGGAGAGCACGCTCCCGACGGCACCCGGAGCTGCTGCGATCATGGCCGACACGACGACAGAGCCCCAGTCCGTTGTCGATCGGTATCGGCAGCCGATCGCTTACAATGCTTCTCAGCTGCGGGAAACTCACACTTGGACGGATCCGCCAAAGGCTGTTGTCGACAAGCTGCCGCAGCCGACATCCTCGTTCCAGTCACTCCTGCACACCTACGCAGCCACAGAGAAGGAGCCATCTGTCGCTCTTCGCCAGACCGATGGACGTCGACAAGCTGCTGACATGTTCCGTCTCGCCATCGGCAACCCCGAAGTCTTCAGCCCTGTCGACACGATGGCGGTTCCCGTCCCACCCCCGCATGTGTCGCCGATCGTCCCGAGCCACCATGAGTCGCTTCCCCCGCGCCTGCTGCCTGTCAACCCCAACAAGGATGGCATCATCACGTCTCTCATTCACCAGATCCGAACTCCCTACCTGCGGCGTCCTCTCCTGGAGCGCCTCACTTCTCTCCGACCTCCTCAGCCGCAGTCCAACGACCAGGGCCCCATCCTGTACGGCGAAGCAGTGCGCGGCGCCGACGATGCGTCCCTCGCCAAAGCACGTGGCAAGGCGATCGAGGACGAGACGGAGAGCTGGTTCCATGCCACCTGGGACTCTGGTCCCAAGGGGGCGGAGCGCGCACGTGGACGACTGCCAACGGGCCGCAAGGTCGTCAAGTCGGTGGAGGGTGCAGTGGCACCGCGTACGGCTGGGGACGTGAAACCGCTTCGCGTCAAGCTCAGCCAGCAGCAGCCGCAGACGCCCGCAGCCGAAGCGGCTTCCCCGGCGCCGACGTCGTCGCTTGGCATCAAGTTACGGTTAGGGGGCCCAAAGACTCCCGAGCCTGGAACCGAGGACAGAGGGAATGCTGGCTCCATGCCGGCGTGGTCTTCGGATTCGAGAGGACGATTGGGATCAGAGAGTGCTCCAGTGAAGCGGTCTGGATCTGCCACCAGCATGCGGTCGAAGTCGAGGAGCAAGTCGCGCAGTGCCTCCCCTGTGAAGCGCGTTTCACTGTCGCCTGTAAAACAAGAGATTCCCTAAGCCAGATATCCCCGTCTCGCGATACCCATTTCTTCGCAGTATGTTTTTCTATGTATGCATGAGATGTACTCTAGCAGCTTGGGACCGAAGGTGTCATGGTGCATAGTGAGGATCGACGTGACCGAGTGATGTAATCTTAATTGGCCACCCCCTTAACCTTCCACGCCATTGGCCGTCGCGATCAGCAACCCTCCACGTCCATTCGCGACCACTAAAGTCACTTTCGTCACCACACCTCACGGCGAGCAAGGCGGCACACAGCACCATGGTGAGATAATGACGAAAGTACCCAGCTGAAAGTACAGGTCGTTCTCGCCGCTTCCATCTGCACGCGAAGTGGAAAGCGTGCGTAGCTACGATTTCCAGAACGTCCAGCTAATGTCCACAGCCCTGCTTAGCAGGCAGTTCCGGCCTATCCCCCGCGCCCGCATTGACAGCCTGCTGGCGTCCTTCCCCAAGCTCATCCCCGCCAACTCGCAACACACGACGGTCGAGACTAACGATGTTCGATTTGTCTACCAGCCCTTCGAGGAACTGTATGTGCTCCTGATCACGAACAAGGGCAGCAACATTCTGCAGGACATCAACACGCTTCAGCTGCTTGTGCGCCTGATCTCGTCTCTGACGCCGGCGATGACGGAGCCCGCGATTCTGCACCACGCGTTCGACCTGCTGTGCGCGTTTGACGAGGTCGTGTCGCTCGGATACAAGGAGAACGTGACGCTGAGCACCGTCCGGAGTGTGCTCGAGGGCGAGTCGCACGAGGAGAAGATCCAGGAGATCATTGCGCGCAACAAGGAGGCTGAGGCAAAGGAGGAGCTCAAGCGCCGCGCCAAGCAGCTCGAGATGCAGCGGCGCGAGCAGCAGAGGCTCGCCCAGGCCGGCCGGGCAGGTATGGGTATTGGTGCCAGTGGCGGCTTTGGTGGCGGTATGGGAGGAGGCTACAACCCTGTTTCGACGACACCGCGGTTCGAGGCGCCCACGCCCGAGTACCGCACGCCGAGCCCCGCGGCTGCCCCGTCCAAGCCCGCGTTCAAGGGTAGCGGCATGAAGCTCGGCTCGAAGAAGGGCCGCAACACCGACCTTCTCTCCGCCCTTGGCTCCGAGGCGTACGAGCCTGAGCCCGAGCCCATTCCGGAGCCTGAGCCGGAACCCGCTGTCGCGGTCTCGGCGGATGTTCTCGAGCGGGTGGACCAGGATGCGTAAGTTAGGAATGGCCCCACGTTAACTGACTTCAGTGTCCACGTTACGGTCAAGGAGGACCTGTCCGTCACGATGCTCCGCGACGGCGGACTGGAGAACTACGAGCTGAAGGGAGACCTGGACATTCGCGTGAACGACGCCGACTGCTCCAAGGTCAAGCTGGAGCTCGCGCCCGCCGACTTTGCGGATGTTCAGTTCAAGCAGCACCCCAAGTTTGTCAAGTTTGGCGCCGGCCCCAAGGTGATCGCGCTCAAGAACGACTCGCAGGGCTTCCCCGTGAACCAGAACCTCGGCGTGCTCAAGTGGCGGATGAACACGAAGGACGAGTCCCACGTCCCGCTGACGGTGACGGTGTGGCCGCAGCCGAACGGGGGCCAGTCCGACGTTGCGGTCGAGTACGAGCTGGAGGCGCAGCACCTGACGCTGAAGAATGTGGTCATCTCGATCCCGATTCCGCCTGGTGCGCTCCCCGTCGTCTCAGACGAGGACGCGCAGTGGACGGCCGACCGCGGCTTCTTCCAGTGGACGATCGACACGGTCGACGCCGACGCGCCCTCGGGCTCGCTCGAGTTCCGCTGCGACGGAGACGCAGACACCTTCTTCCCCACCAACGTCGGGTTTGCCGCCTCGGGCTCCCTGGCGGGCGTCGACGTCCAGAGCGCCCGCCTTGCTGATGGATCCGAGGCGCCCCTCAGCCAGGAAAAGATCATCACCGTCGACAAGTACGAGATTGTCTAAGTCATAGAGTAGAATGCAGATTGTATTGGTCCGAGCGACATTCGAGCGAAGCGAGAATGGCACGTTGTCGTGCCTTGGCTCTTGATACCAGTATGAGCGTGTTCCCCACGTGAGCGCAAATCATATGAGGATCCGTCTTCACGAGGCAGGCTCAACAACCCAGTTCTATAGGATGGACGGACTCCCAGATACACTGCTGAAACGCAACCATGGCCCAAACACAACAACTGCGAAGTTGCAAAGGCACACGACCCTCCCGTCCAATGTGGCCAAGGCAATGAATCTCCGAAGTCAGTTCTGACGCGAACTGACATGGCCCGTGGCACGGACACGGGGGCCCAGCTGCACCACCTCGAAGTCAACAACCACCCCGCACCCCGGCCGGCATCGACCCCTCGGGGCTGGGACACTGAGGGCGTCGGGTACGTGGATACTGTCCGCGTGGTGGGCGTTGTTGAGTGTGTTTGGACAGTGCGCGACCCGATCGATGGCCAATGTCCGTAGTTGCGCAGAATGCGCAGACCGGCGCAGACCGGCGCAGTCGGAGATGAAGAGCGGTCCGAGCGCGGTGTCCGTCCAGCTGGGGCCATCGGATGCGTCTCTCGACAACGGTCCATTCTACCAAAGTGCGTCTAGCGATTCTCCAGCGTCATGGGCATCGGCTGGTTCAGCAACGCAGCACGCACAGAGCTTGAAGAAGGGCCCTCCGAGCCGTGGACGACAACCCCCATAGCACCCACTTGCAGCACCGTTAGTCGAGGCTTGGCCGCTTGGCACAAGCGTCAAGCGTCGAGAGTGAGTGCGCCGTTGATCGCCGCGAGGCATTAGGTTGCCACATTACGATAAGCATACCCGGGTCTGTGAAGTCGTCGAAATCCTCTTTTCGCGACGTGCACCTCGCGCCCTCCTCTCTCCGATCAATCCTGTCAGAGCGGACGAGAGCATCGCTAGAGGTGCTAAGGACTTACAGAGCGACGCTCCCTCGTGGCTTTGACAGCATCAATTGTCTGACGAGGAAGGCCAAGGGAGTCTGCTTGCCTGATAGGGCAAGATCGTGTACGTAGAGCGGGACAATGAGCACCTAACGAGAGCCCTGTTGTTCCCTCCTCTTGAGCTCTTGAGCCTTTCGCGCGCTTCCGCGCAGCCCTACACCTTTGCCCAACACCCGCATGCCAATTGCCAAGCTGTCCAGCTACCGGATCCTGCCACGCAATACCGTCCCTCTTTCCCAGTCTTGTCCCCAATCTGCGACACATGTACATGGGTTTCTAAGGTGCACCGTGTCTCTCATAGCGACGGTTCCGCGCATTCTTTCATCATCCGGACGAGAGGGAGGGGGAGTACGCAGCACCCCAGAAGTGATTGGCGCCTTTTTGTTCTGAAACGCGCCGAGGGGGATTGCCATTTGCTTGTCGATTGCGGGCGAGCTGGGCGAGGGTGTTTACGTCAGGACTACAGTGAGATGCGGGCATGCGAGACGGAACGGCGCGGCGTCGGAGCAGGCAAAGAGGGAGGAAGAGCAACGGGGGACGCGATGTCGGAGTGTGGAAGGTAAGCACAGAGGGCACGAGAGAGGAACCGGGAGGCCCATGCGAGCCTAAATCCAGGGAATGGGCTAGGGATGCCGGTAGGCAGTCTCGCGTTGTGGGCACGGCGCCCGAGGGTGGGTGTGCCCCGAGTTGCGCAGTGAGGGCCCGTGCTTGGCCTCTGGACGGCACATCCGCCGAGGACCATAGTCAGGGTCAGGGCGAGCGTGCCGCGTTGGGAGCCCGGGTCCCTGGTCCGACACCCTGACGCGCGTCTGCATGCAAGAGTGTCCACCAGAGTGCACCCACACGGACATGGCAGCACCCGGAAAAGCAATCAAGCAACTAGCGTCTCCCTCTCCCAAGTGACTTACTGGCAGGTCTGGTCTGCTCTCTCCCAGCTCTCCCTCTGCCCCCGGTCCCTGCAGCCACACCGCCCAACCCTACCCACGACACACCCGACACCCACCGACACCCCCTCCCTTCCTCAAACCACGCCCATCCTCCATCCTCTCACCCCTCGACCACTACTACTCTCTTTCATCCATCTCACCCTCCGTGTGCTGTGCGACGCCCTCTTTTCTTGCTCCATAGCTCACTCTCCATTCGACTCCGACGCGGTCTGGTACTGCATCCACCTCCCCTCCTCACGACTACAGAAGTACTCGACCTCATCGACATCGACACACACACAGACGAACCGAAGCTCAGACGATTACCTTGCCTCTTTCGTCTGCACCGTCACACGGACCTCTGTTACACCTCTCTCTCTACTTTGCCATCCACACGACGCCGCTCAGCGCATCACAACATCCTTCTCTTTCTCGGTTTTCGCCTCGACGTTCTTTCTTTACAACGACAGCGAAACCACCCCGCCCCCGCTCTTTCACTTCACACACCTGAAGCGACCCCACTTTCTTTTCAAACTTCGTCACTCCCTTTTCTCTCTTGAATCAACATGCACTTCAACGTCCGCTCCCAGGCTCACCGCCTCGCGGCGCGCATGAACCCCGACGACCTCGCGGACATCCAGGCTCAGGCTTCCAAGGACGTGAGTTTAGCTGCACCCGATTATAACTAACAGCAGGCCGCCGCTCGTCAGTCCGCCCTCGCTGCCGGCCAGACGGCGAGCGCCCCCAAGGACGACTCGAACAAGTACCCGACCGCTGTTCGTCCCTCCACGACGGCCGCCGCCACGACCCCCGCTGCCCAGCCCACCACCAGCAAGGCTGCCGTCCCCAACTCGGCCGAGACCAAGCCCAAGGACACGGCCGTGCCCTCTTCGGACGAGAAGAAGCCGACTGCCAACGTCGCCGCGCCCCCCGCCGCGCAGACCAGCAGCAAGGCCGCCCCGTCGTCCGACTCGCCCTCTTCGGCTGAACCGTCGACTGATGAGAAGGAGAACACCCCCTCGACCGAGGACAAGGCCACGCCCAGCCGTTCTCCGGTCAGCACCCCTTCCGAGGATGTGGAGGCTGAGTCTCCTTCTCCTTCCGCGACCCGTGCCACGAGCGCTGACCGTAAGCTTTCTAGCTCTTCTCTGACCGCCTCGCCATCCACCTCGGCGAGCGCCAAGTCCTTCAAGCCCATTGCGGCGTCGTCCGCCGCGGCCACGGAGGCGGCCCAGTCGTCCGGCATGTCTGGCGGCGCCGTTGCTGGTATCGTTATCGCTGTTCTGCTCGGTGTTGCTGCTGTCGCCATTATCGCCGGCTGGTACCTGCGCCAGAAGAAGCGCCAGGAGCGCCAGGTCAACAACCCTTGGGGCCGCATGAACAACTCGTCGGACGACAACATTACGCCCTTCCCGGCCTACACCGAGAAGCCCGACGACTACTATGGCGACAACGACGCGCCCGTTATCGGCAGCAACCGTGCTCTTGCGCTCGCGCGCCAGAATGCGTTCTACGCTGATGGCACGCCCCGCCCCGACTCGACGGCCATGAACCCCAACTTTGCTGGCTACGGCGCTGGACGCTCTTACGGCCCCTACCCCACCGCTCAGCCCGGCACGCCCCACTCGCACCACCTCTCGGAGCAGCAGGGCCCGTACCAGGACAACCCGTTCCACGACCAGTATCAGTACCAGGACGACGCGCAGCTTGTGCAGCTCCACGACCACTCTGGCCCGCGCCAGCTCGTCGGACCCGGCCAGGCTTACGGAGCCGGCGGTGTCCCTGTTCCTGTCCCCGCTCCAGTTCCGCTTGGCCGCCCCGAGGCTCCCCAGACCTATGACGACATTGCCGCCGCCGAGGCCTACGCCGACGACCGCTATGCCGATGACCACCTCCCTGCTCAGCACTCTGCTGCGGCTGTCATGCCCGCTGCCGTTGCTACTGGTGTCGCCGCTGGCGCTGCTGCCCACCACGGCCAGCACCAGCAGCAGCAGCAGCCGGAGCAGGCCCGTCTCATCGACACTGGTTCGTCTGACGAGCACCACATGCCCGACCCGACCCCCCTGCCTCAGCTCCGCCCGATGTCGCCGCTCATGCCCCTCGTCGACGTTGACCAGCAGTCGTCCGCGCACGGCCACGGCCAGCCTTCGAACCTCGCCACCGCGGCTCCCGTGAACGCGCACCACAGCTCGCCCTCTTCGGACGAGATGGACCGGATGTACAACGAGGTGGCCAACTACGCTGGTGTTCCCCAGCCCTCGGCCGAGCAGGGCGTGCAGGAGGCGACCCGCCTCCCGCCCCAGCCGTACGTGCACGGCCAGCCTCTGACGCCGCTCGCCGAGCTCCCCACGCCGAAGAGCGAGACCGCCTCCCTCGCCCCGGCAGTCACGGGCCCGGTCCAGGCCGCCCCGCCCGCGACCCGCGCGCTCCCCACTCCGCCCACGCAGGCGCAGGCGCCTGCCCCCGCCGCTGCTGCTCCCCCCGCCAAGGCGGACGAGGAGGACGCCTACGGCGGTATCTAGATTCATTCTCTTTCGACGGGCAGCTTTGCAAGCGCCCGAACCTATGTAATATCTTGTCTAGTCCATATGAGTATGGGATCTGGCTATACTTTCGACGCAGGGTACGTGGATACTGTCCGCGTGGTGGGCGTTGTTGAGTGTGTTTGGACAGTGCGCGACCCGATCGATGGCCAATGTCCGTAGTTGCGCAGAATGCGCAGACCGGCGCAGACCGGCGCAGTCGGTTCTACGAGGCACGAGGGAGCGGGGAGCGAGGGAGAACGCTATCGTGACACTGACTCTCAAGCTGAGAAGAAAGGATGAGGGTCGGTGTGGCATGTGCCACAGATCCTTTTCAGTTTCCCACGGTAGTATCCATGAGCTCGGTGGAGGGTCGCCACCACCGAACGTGATGACGATCCGCGTAAGCTGATGCTCCGCCAACAACAGAATGACGCTTGAAGAGAAGGATAAGAGCACGAGCGTGCTGGTCCTGCACGACGAGGGACTGGACCCACATCCCTTCCTGGCCCGTGGGTGTCTCCTTCACTGAGTTGACGGAAAGTTGTGCGAAAGCTTACAACAGGTCTGACGGGCACGCAAGTGCCGCCGAACGGAACGGATGGAGCGGACGGAGAGGAAGCAGCGGTGCCCTGGACCATCGACAATAAGTACTACACTGCCGACATCACTTTTGAGCCAAGGCCGTTGAGTCTGCCCGTCAACGCTGCGTACCCCGTACTGCTCTACGTGTTTTCTGGCCAGGTACGTCCCTCTTCACCCTCCCCCTTCACCTCCTCTTCTCCGTCCTGCCCTTCACTTTGGCCAGCTGCAACATCGTTAGTGCTCTAGCTGACTCGCAGGCTCCCAACCCCCTCCCGGCCGAACTGACACGGCTGGTAGTCCGCGACCCGCCGCCCGACATCACGCTTGCCGTTCGTGTTTCCGAGTTGCCCGAGAATGGACGGGTTGGGGACTTAGACGAGGAGGTCTTCGACGAGCTCGGCGTTGAGGTTGTGGACGAGCTCGGCGGGGCGGATGAGGATGATGAGCGGCGTGAGTGTCCCTTCCCCCTTCTCCCCAAATCTCCACCCCGCAACTACCACCAAGCTGCACGGCGGTCGCGGCTGAGCTAACGAGCAGCCCTCGACCCGCTCGAGACCGTCCGGCAAACCCTCATGACCCACATGTGGCCCAACATGGCGCGTAAGCCGGCTCCAGGGCCCAGCGGGCGCTCCGCCCCCAGACCAGAGATCACGATCTCCTCATCGCCTTCCTCTTCCCCCTCCTCATCCCCTCAAAGACAAGGCTTCCCCGTCCTCTTTGCGAACCACACGGGTCCCCCGCCCGCCCAGCGACAGGGAACGGCCAGCGACTTCCCCACGCCTGAGCCGCACCCCAACCCCGACCCCCCCTCTGACGATGAGGAAGAGCCGGAGAATGGAGATGGCGGCGCGTATGCGCCCATGGACGATGATGAGGGGAGCTTCGGGGAGTTTGCACAGCCGTCCGCGGACGAATTTGCGCGCCTCGACGCCTGGCTCGAGGATGAGGGTGATGATCTGGCGGCGTTGGGGAGATTGAGGGCGTTGGCGGACGGAGCGGGGGGATTCAGTGCCGCCGAACTGGGTGATGATTTCGGTCTGGGCCCGATGCCCGGCCTGCCGTCGTCTGCGCTGCCCCCGTCCTCCGACCTCGCCGCTTTCGACAACCTGCACATCTCCCCCTCCTCTGCTCCCAACGACTCTGCTCCCAGCTCGGCCAACGGCACGAACGGAGTGCCTGGGGGGAGCGGGTTCGAGGACGACTTCGGTCCCGCCCCGACCGTCGCTTCCGGAGAACCGAACATTCCGCTCGACCCGACGCCGTTGTTGCTGCACTTGCAGAATGTGCGCGCAGAACTGGCAGACGTGGAGGATGAAGACGAACGTCGAGTCCGGGCGGCCAGGGAGGTCGCGCAGCTCATGGGACAGTTGGGATTTGGGGAGGGCGATTTGGGCCTGGACGAGCTCGAGTTTGACGATCAGTTATAGAATCTTATAATCTACAGATGCACGACCGTAATGATAGCTGATCGGCGTCGGAGTCGTTCACGCTAGAAGCAACAGTGTGGTGGCTTTTTGCGGCTCCGCAGAGCTCAAGAGTCAGTAGGACGATCAGTGGCGTAGCTTTCACCTTCGTCATAAGTGAACTTTCGTGTCCGGCGCGGCTTCTGACGCTGCGCGGTCGCTCTCAACTCAGAGCATGAGAGCTCGACGAGTAGCTGCCTGCCCGTAGTCCGGCTCGCTAAACCCCCGCCTCCATACAGTAGTCATCGATAATCCCTCCAAATCCACCCTCGGCTCGCAGCTCCAACTCTCTCCGGAGCACTCTACCCCGCTCGGCTCCGCCTCGCTCCAGGTTGCACGCGCCATTAATGCATTGCCTTTTAGATCTAGTTGTCCTCGAAGCCGACAGTTGCCTTGCGAGCCCGGTCGGGGACTGCGTGTTAGCTCTTGACTCTATCTTGAGCTCGTGGGGACTATTGACCCGTAGCCCAGCCCTTCGGACAAGCTCCGGAATACTCACGAGGGTAGGTCGTGGGGATCTTCTCGGCGGGCTTCCAGCCCATCGACTTGCGGATGGGGGGCACGGTGAGGACCATGAGGGGGCCTGTGGGTCAGCTTAGCCTTGCGTTGGTACGAAGCTGGCGGCCGGGGTTAACAACACGGCGCGGCGCGGGCGGCAGAATCGGTGGGACAGGACAGGTCGCAGCCGCCGAGCGATCTCCGAGTCGCTCCAGACGACCATGCCAGTAACCCTACTCCCACGCCGCCCGCTCATCACGCCGAAGTATGTTGTTTCCGCCAGGAAGTGTCCGCCAGACATTCGACTCACCGGCAAAGCCGATTCCGAGAGCCCAGACAATGACGGGGTTCTGGTGGGCCTGGCGTTGCTTTCTGTCAGCTTCCAAGAGATAGGACTAGCTCACCAGAGTGCGGAAGATGGACATGGCGTGTGCGGTGAAGGCGACGGAGACGGAGGTGGTGATGAGCGTTTGCCTGTTTCCTACTGGGCACCGTCGCTGCCGAGGGCACAGTGCCATGAGCTGGGTAGATGGGAGCGGGAGCAAATGCCCCCTCCACAATACCAACCACGAGGCGCGGAGGTGCGTGGTTACGTAAGAGGGCACGAAATTTCAGTGCGACGCAACAGGCACCGCACAAAATTCTGCGGCCGCGCTGGTTACTTGTGCTTCTCAACTTATCCTTCCCCCCTCCTCTCTGCACACTTACTCAATCATGGGGAAGGGAAAGAACCATGACCGCAAGGCCGGCAACCCCGGCTTCGGAAAGCAGAAGCTCAAGTCCTCTTCGGGGGAGAAGAGCGAGTTCACCATGAAGCGCATCAAGGGTGAGTTACCTATCGCTCGCTGGGTCGGGCGACCTGGTCGTCGGATCGTCCGCCAGCTTTAGCAATGGACCTCGAAGCTGACATTCAGGTGAAAACTTCTACGTTTCCGCCAAGGATGCCGCGCGCAAAAAGATGCTGAACGGCGGCAAGGCCGTGCGCGACAAGGATGGCAAGATCATCCAGGCCGCCGCATTCCAGAGCAAGGAGGCGACGCCTGGCCGCATCCAGCCCGACCGGCGGTGGTTCGGCAACACGCGCGTCATCTCGCAGACGGCGCTGGACCACTTCCGCACTGCGCTCGCGCAGCACAAGGAGGACCCCTACTCGGTGCTCCTGAAGCGGAACAAGCTGCCGATGGGTCTGCTCCAGGACGAGAGCAAGACGGAGGGCAAGAAGGTGCATATCGTCGAGACGGAGCCGTTTGCGAACACGTTCGGCCCCAAGGCGCAGCGCAAGCGCCCCCGTCTCGATGTTGGAAGCATCGCGGAGCTCGGCGAGAGCTCGTCCGTCCCCGACCCCACGCTCGGCGTCGCCCTCAACACCGAGGAAGACGTGGCGGCCGCATACCACCCGACGCGCTCGCTCGCCTCCGAGCCCATCTACGCAAAGGGAACGTCGCGCCGTATCTGGGGAGAGCTCTACAAGGTGCTCGACTCGTCCGACGTCGTCATCCACGTCCTCGACGCCCGTGACCCCCTCGGCACCCGCTGCAAGCCCGTCGTCGAGTACCTCCGCAAGGAGAAGGCGCACAAGCACCTCGTTTACGTCCTCAACAAGGTCGACCTCGTCCCCACCTGGGTCACTGTAAGTTTCTTTTTCTTTTTTCTACATCTAGTCCCACCCTCCAGTCAGGGCCATGCGCACGATTTCGATCATTTTCTACGCACTTGGACCGTTACGAGAGTGGAACAACAAGCACCTCTCCGCCAGTACCCCACCCGTGCTCCCCGTTTTGGCGGAGTCGGGCCAAAAAGCCGGCGCCCGTTTTGGTCGTCGGTGAGGGGTCAAGGAGAGGTTGTAAGAGGAACTATTGAGTTGGGATCCGGACCGCCTTTGCGCACATCTCCGCCTGGATCCCTTGGTTTTGGGCCATACATTTCACCAATCATCTTTAGCTTTTTTTTTTTGGAGAGCTTCAGCTAACTCACAGGCTCGTTGGGTCAAGCACCTGTCGCTGTCCGCGCCGACGATTGCGTTCCACGCGTCGATCAACAACTCGTTCGGCAAGGGATCGCTGATTCAGCTGCTGCGCCAGTTCTCCGTCCTCCACTCGGACAAGAAGCAGATCTCGGTCGGATTCATCGGCTACCCCAACGTCGGCAAGTCGAGCATCATCAACACCCTCAAGAAGAAGAAGGTGTGCACCGTCGCCCCCATCCCGGGAGAGACCAAGGTGTGGCAGTACATCACGCTCATGAAGCGTATCTACCTGATCGACTGCCCAGGTGTCGTGCCGCTGTCGGCCAAGGACTCGGAGTCGGACACGGTGCTGAAGGGTGTCGTGCGAGTCGAGAACCTGCAGACGACGGCCGAGCACGTGCCGCAGATGCTCGAGCGCGTGCGCCAAGAGTACATTGAGCGGACGTACGGCCTGGAGCCGCGCGAGGGCGGGTGGCACGGCGAGGAGGGTGCTGCCGTTTTGCTCAGCACGATCGCGAAGAAGGCCGGCAAGCTGCTCAAGGGCGGCGAGCCGGACCAGGAGGCCGCGGCCAAGATGGTCCTCAACGACTGGATCCGCGGCAAGATCCCCTTCTTCGTCCCTCCCCCGGCCAAGCAGAGCGAGAACCCCGTTGCGGCCGAGGAGCCCGTCACTGAGGCGTCGGAGGATGCCCGCGAAGTCCTCGAGGCGCAGGAGCGCGAGCTCGGCAAGCTCCTTGGCGAGAAGCGCGTCAAGGGCGTCGACCAGCCGATCAAGAAGATCGTCACCATGACAAAGTACATGGCCGACGACGCTAGGCGCGAGGACGAGTGGGACGAGGAGATGGCCGAGGAGTCCGAGGACGCCGAGCTCGGCGATGACGACGAGGACGATGAGGAACATGACGACGAGGACGACGAGGATGAGGAGGATGACGACGAGGACGAGTCCGAGGAGGCCGGCGAGCTCGCCTGGGAGGACATGTTCCCCGAGGAGGGCAAGGCGGCGGGCTCGAAGCGCAAGGCTGCCGCCGAGCCGGCGTCCGAGGACGAGGACGCACCCAAGGCCAAGAAGGAGGCGCGCATGACGACGAACAAGAAGAAGGCGACCAACTTCTACACGCACGCCAACGTCAAGAACCGCAACCGCGAGCGCAAGACGCCCAAGCTCCCCAAGCAGGCTGAGCGCGACGCCCGCAAGGGCGCGAAGGGGGGTAAGCGGAAGTAGACGATTGGGACGTCGTCTTTGGGCCTCGGAGTATCATTAGAGTTATCACTTGTATGACTACGCCTTCTTGTTGTACCATTTCTTAGAGATGCAGCTCTCTGTAATACAGACCATTAGCTCGTTGCACCCTGCTTGCGTAAAGGTTTTCACTGACTGAAGAGTGAGGTGTCTGCGGCGTCTAAGAGTGGCCGCGACCAGTCTCCACGAGAGACCCGCAGCCGTTGACAATGCTATGGGTTACATTTTCTGCTCTATCTGAAATGCTATCTGAATGCTGTCTGAAATGATTAGGGTACAAGAGCGCTCGCTATGCCGCAGCCTCAGCGTACGGTCACGCAAGCGCGATAGTCTGGAAGTTGGGGAAGACGAGCTCGCTGACGAGCGTCTTGCGCACGACGTCGACGATGAACCGTTCAACTTTGCCGACGTTCCTCAGGACGTGTGCGTCCGCGCTGCCGATCTCGCTCTCGATGTGGAGCTCGGGCAGAATCCTCTGTCCCACGGCCGCCCAGGCAGGCGTTCCCGCTGGCGTCGGTGTGTCGTCCGTATCGACTAGTGTGACGTAGATGCGGTGCTTTTGGCCCGAGTAAGCCACGACCGCGTCCGTGGCGAGCGTCATGCCCGTGATCACTAGTCGGAGCGGGAGGGACATGAAGAGCGTAGAGGGGTAGTTCACCTGCAGCGACGTGTTGAGCGTGAGACTGATATCGGCCTTGTGCTCGAGGCGGAGGTGGATCTGAACGCTCGGAAGCGGATTCGGGCGCTGTTCTGGTAATCCGGCTGGGCGGGCTGGCGGCGACGCAGGCGGCGAGGAGGCGATCGGCACGATGGGTTTGCTGACGCCGAGGTACGAGGGCGCATACCGTGGTGGCGTTCCAGGTGTCCCGAGGACAGACAGGAAAGGCCGTTGCCGCGCAAGGCCCAGGCCGCCGAGGCCAATACCGACGCTCGCGACAGAGTGTCGGCCACTGAACAGGCCAGAGTGCACCGAGCCAGCGTCCTCGTCCACTCGCGGGTCGAGAGGTTCGTCATCGTCGTCTGGATCTCCGTGTAATGGGGCATGAGCTGTCGTTACTGGGGCGCTGGGGGTTGCGCCGGACATACGCGGCCGCCGTCCGAAGGGTCCGGTCGCGAGCGCCGCTGCGCCCGCGAGCCCCGGACCACCGCCATGCGGCAACGAGAGCCCGTTCAGTGGGCCGCTGATGCTGAGACTCGCTGGTCTTCCACCATGCCCGAACCGATGTCCATGTCCGCCGGGCCCTTCGTGACCTGGGATGTAGCCCGACTGCACGCTTAGCGGCGGCGAATAAGGCGGGAAAGTCTGGTTCTGCTCCAGCTGGTCGAACTGTGATCGCCGCTCTTCCTCTTCTCGAGCTTGCAGAATGGCGTCGCCCTCGTCGTCTCCCTCATCGAAGGCACGCCACACATCGCGCACGTCCTTGATCTCGACGTCTGGTCCGGCGTCTCCGAAATCGAACGTCGTCACTGTCACAGGGCCGAGGAAGCTGGGTCTTGACGCGTTGTTGAACGCCGTGTTGAGCGCGACAATGAGGCGGTCGCTCAGCGACGGCCCCGATAGCGAGGGCAGGGACAGGAGAGACCAGTCTATGTCCACCGACATGGTCTCCCCATTTCTCTGGCCGGAGGGTGCGAAAGTGCTAAACCTGGGTGTGGAGGTGAATGGAACAAGGGGCAGGGCGGATCGTCGAGTGTTTTCATGCCGATGGACAGGAATGGCTCATGTCCGGCCCGGTCACGTGCCTGATCGAACACGCAAATGCTAATCTCGTGCTTTAGCGAATTACAAAGTGTCTACGTGGTTTGTATTACAACAGGGCAAGGCACATTAGCTTCGCCGGGGGACATACTCGCTGCCCCGCTGGTGCTCTCTCTCGATGTCCTCTACCGTACCGCTGCTCGGCTTCGAAGGCGGTGGCAGTTTGCCTTCGCGCTTCCTTCGCCCCTCCCATGGATTCAGGCGGTTCGCCTTCGCCTCCCAATCGAGCAGCCGGCTTTCGTCCCACGACTTGTCTTTCACGTCCTCCTCCGGCGTCTTCAGAATATGCTGCGATTTGTCCGGGGCGTGCGAGGACATGTTCGCGATCTCAGTCGGAAGATAGTCATTGATGACCGGGTGCGCGTAGTCGGGGTTGTAGCTATAGCTCTTCCCGTACCCCAGTTGCTTCATGAGCTTCGTAGGGGCATTGCGGACCATGCAATGGTACACCAGGGAGCGGGGGCTTAGATGCAAGCGCCTCGGCGCGGTTGTACGCCTTGTACGAGCGAGTTGATTTTGGAGCTTCTGCGAGATAAGCAACGCAATGCGCGAGGTTGATCCGGCACTCTGGCATGCCAATCACCTGGCACGCTTGGTACGTCGCCATCGCCAGCGGCAGAGCATGGTTGTCTGCGAGCCCGATATCATCGCTCGCCATGACCACCAGTCGGCGCGCGATGTACAGCGGATCTTCACCACCCGTCAACATGCGTGCGAGCCAGTACATCGCTGCCGACCCGTCGCTGCCGCGCAAGCATTTGTGCAGCGCTGAGATCATGTCGTACCGCTCCTCGCCCGACCGATCGTAGCCCTTTCTTAGCCCGCGTCGGACAGCCTCCATGAGCTGCTCGTCCCGACGCTCCCGCGCTTCCTCTTCGGTCTCGTTCAGCGTTGTCTGCCTTGGCGGCGGTGATTCGCACACTTTCAACGCCAGTTCGAGCCCATTTAGAGCCTGCCGCGCGTCACCGTCAGCCACTTCAGCCAGGAACGGCAGCAACTTCGCCGGAAGCTCCGGTGGGTTTTCGAGCGAGGCAACAGCATTCTGAAGAATCGCTTCGAGATCAGCCGGCGTGTGAGAGGAGAGCGTGAAGACTCTGTGGCAAGTTAGTCAGGGTCATGCGCTCTGCAACTCACTGGCATCGACTCAGAAGCGCGCCGTTGACCTTGAAGCTGGGGTTCTCCGTCGTTGCCCCGATTAGCTGCACCCAGCCGTTCTCAACGTAAGGAAGGAACAGGTCCTGTTGAGGTTTCGTGAAGCGGTGAATCTCGTCCACCATGAGAATGGTCTTGCTGCCCATCAGCTTGGCGGATCTCAAGCTGCTTACCGTCCAGTCAACGTGAGGCCATTCTTCGCCTGCTCGAAAACCTGTCGTACATCCGCAGCCCCCGCGCTCGTGGCGCTCAGCTCCTTGAAGTCTGCGTTCGCTGTGCGTGCAATCAGGCGTGCCAACGTACTGCGGTCAGCTTGACAAAGGGAGCAAAGATTCCACAAAGCTTACGTCTTTCCACAGCCGGGCGGTCCCCACAAAATACAGCTCCCGACGCCCTCACCAGCTTCTATCCGTGAACGAAGCAGACTTCCGGGGCCGACCAGATCTGTTTGTCCGATGTATTTGTCCAAGGTTGATGGTCGAGACCGCTCAGCAAGCCTGACGTTAGTCCCAACTAGCCTCCCTCCTACTCACGGAGCACTGGCCTTCAAAGGGTTGACCCGTTGCCGCTTGTCTGGCTTGTCGTCGGTAGGCGCCGGTCGCTTACCAAACATGCCACTTCCGTTGCTGTAGCTCTGGCGCGCTGCCGGCCGAGATCGCTGAGGAGGAGGAGGGCTATCGATGGCGTTGGGATCGCTGTTCAGCGCCTCTTTTCTCTGGCTGCTCTGTCTCCGACTCGGTGTTCGCTGGCCATCTCGCCCACCACCTTCACCAGGTGCTCCGCGGCAAAGGAGATCGATGTGCAGGTTGATGTCGGACTCTTCGACAACGGCATCACATATGGGACAATTCACTAGGATGTAAGCTCTGATCTTTGACCCATCAGCTTGACCAGCTTACCTTTGCCCATTTTGTTGCTGAGAGGATATGGGAACTCGAAACATGAGCGCGTCAGTCGCGTCAACTTCCTTGGCCACCCGATCTCCGAGGTTTAACCGAGGCCGCCGCCACCGATCACGTGCATCCGCAGAATGTCCGGCCACTTCATGTTGATGATCGACCGCTCCAAAAGCAACCACCTTCCCTCACTACATTACATCAAACGCGGTATGGAGGGGCCCGATTTAAAACGCAAAGTAGCCCCAACTGGCTCTCCTTCGGCAACTCCACCATTGGAAGATGGCTTCACCAAGGTGGAGAAGCGGAAAAAGAAGCGTCTCGACAAGCATCGCCCTCAGTTTCAGTACGACACGAGCTACTTCCGCACAGGGAAGAAAATTGGTATAGCAGTGAGTACCCAAACGCACCCCTATCCGCAGAGAATGAGGCTCTAGCTAACGCTCAGCACATTCGCGACCTGTCTCTGTACATCGCCGCCGACGCTCAGAAGCCTTCCTGGATTGTTGTTGACGTAAGTCGCTGCGATGTCTGTCGACAGCTGACCTCAGAATCCTTCTTATGTTTCCCATACCGTTGTGGTACTGGCAACGGGCCTGCTTCCGTCTCATCTCGGACTTCCCACTATGAGCCCCGCGGCTTCTTTGCCTTTCCTTACGCGACCTTCTTCTTTTGCACCGGGAGATCTGCCGCCAGCTCAAGTGCCAACGATTCCGAAACTCTTCATGTACGGCTGCCCTGTGCGGGCGCCTGGAGACCAGCGAAAGCTTCACAGCGTAATGGGAACATTGCTGCAGAGTCCTTTACCAGAGTACCTGAAGCGGAAGAGGGATGCCGACGCGAAGCGCGTGCTGGGTAGGTGAGGGTATTTGCCACTAGCTGACCTCCAGAGGCATCCAAGGAGAACTCTACGCCCGTCTTGTATCTCTGCACCCCGAATCAGATGGTCGCCAACGGCTATCGCCTTCCCTCATACATGGAGGCTTCTGACGACGTCTACGTCCCCGGAGAGCTCCCGGCTGATGTGGAGGAGTCCCTTGCATCTCGACCCCAGACGATGGACGCGCGCGACTTCTCGACTGCGGGGGCGTCGCTTGGCGGCCCGCGACCCGTCATCGTTGATGAGCAGGGTCGCAGAAGAAGGGGCAATGTTCGCGGGGAAGAAGGTTGGGTCGAGACCCCTCAGGCCAAGGGTCCACCTCCCGGAGGGAAGTACCCCGTTCTCGCTATTGATTGTGAAATGTGCTTGAGTGAGGATGGCCAGGAGCTTGCCCGTGTCTCAATCGTGGATCTGGAGGGGAAGGTTGTTTTCGACGAACTCGTCACCCCTCCTAAGCCTGTGACGGACCACCTGACTCAGTTCAGTGGTATCACTCCCGAGCGTCTGGCTACCGCTACGCACACACTGGAGACTGTCCAGGAAGCTCTCATCACTGGCGACGACCCCTTGATAACTCCGCATACCATTCTTTTGGGTCACTCCCTGGACTGCGATCTTGCTGCGCTCAAGATCCGTCACCCTCTTGTCATTGACACTACCGTCATCTTCCGCCACGCCAGGGGACCACCATACAAACCTGGTCTCAAGTGGCTTGCGCAACGTTGGTTGGGCAAGACTATTCAGAATGACTCTGGCGGCCACGATTCTGAAGAAGATGCTAGGACCTGCGTCGACCTCTTGAAGATGAAGCTTGCTCATGGTGCGTTTGACGTTTTCGTGCGAGGCTGACCAGCAGGACCTGACTTTGGTGACCCGTCCGTTGACACAGAGTCCATCTTTGCCCGACTTAGCCGCTACTCGCCCAACCCAAAGGGACATAAGCGGACTTCTCTGGTGGCAGACTACGGCAACCCCCGCTCTTGGTTTGGCGCGAGCGCGACTGATGTCGTGGCGTGCAAGACCGACGATGAAGTGACCGATGCGGTTGTATCGGGTGTCGCGAAGTACGACTACACGTTTGCTCGCCTCACGGAGCTCAGCCAGGTTCAAAATTGTAAGAGTGGACGAAAGGTGTCTCACTGACAATGCCAGGGAACTCCCAGAACGGAGAGAATGACGACAGCGATGCCGCCGAGGAAGATGTTGAAGCCGCTTTGAAGCGTTTCGATGAGCGTCTCAATCGCATCCATGCCGCTCTGCCTGACAACTCAGCCCTCATCTTGCTTACAGGTCACAGTGACCCCCGCCCTATGTTGCAGCTCGCCTCTCGTCGCCAGAAGTGGGAGAAAAGCTACCGTGAGAAGGGACCGGAGGGAGAGCACGACGTCCAGTGGACGACCGAGGACGACCGCGCGCTGGAGGTGGAGGTCGGCAAGACGAGGGAGGGGATGGGATTCTTTTGTGTTAAGAAGCTTTCAAGCTAGCAGCTGAAGGAACGGCAAGGCAAGTCGTGCAAGAACATTGTACAGGTCAAGCAAGGAAAATAGACATGCTCCACTGCAACCCCGCATTGATATACCTCCATAATACACTTATGTTATGCTGTACTCTAATCATACGCATAGTTGGGCATTGTCGGTGCCGATAACGATTGATTGGCGTCGCTTGTGACCGCCGGTCGGTATCCGGTGTCTCAGCTCATTGTTTACGACGCGGTCTCGCGTAGCTTGCAGCCCCCGGTCCGGAGAGCGTGCCAAGTGTCGCTGGGTGCATAAGAGCACGCAGCAGAGCTGTACGTTGGTGGTCCACACACCGTCACCTTTCACACGCTCCCATCCCCATGGACATCCATGGTTGTACATTGGACGTGTTCTGCAACGGAGATCGCTTCGGTATCAACTTTGGTGGTGAGTTGGCGAGATCGGTGCGGGATGGGATCTCATCGGACTGACATCGGACTGACAGTCGCAGACCCGCACGCCTGGATTTGGAACGAATCGACGCAGCTGTACACTTGCAAGTACTGTCGGTTCACTGTCTGACGGTCTGGGATGTGCGGTGGGTGGAGAGCTTCCGCACTTTAAGGCTGCTCTCGGAGGGCGACGAGGAGATGGCGTGACGAGTGTGGGTGTGTGGCAGCGTCGTATGGTCGTTCGCGCGAAGGGGCCGAGTGCTAGCGGGCGAGCGTGCAAGGTGAGTGTGAAACGTGAAGCAGATTAGGGGTTCTGTGGGCAGCTTTGAACTACGCACTTAGAGGAGGGCGACGATGCAGCGCGGAAAAAAAGTTGTGTGCATCCATCGAGCAGCAAGAGTTATAAGGCGGGGTCGCCCGGCACCTGTCTCATGATTCCCACTCTCAACCTCCTTTCGTCCTTAATCTCCATTCTTCCAACGACCGACCCGGTCCATCAGTCACTCCCTACCTTTCGCCTTTCGCCTTCGTGCTTCGCTTTCAACTTTACTTCATCTTCATCCTCAACTCTCTCTCTCCGAACTACCACACTCAGTCTCAACAATGCCTTGCGCTGGCGACGCTACCGGTTACAACCGCGGAAGTGAGTGTCGAGTCTGAGCCGTGTCGACGACGCGACGCGACGGCGAAATGATGGACACCGCTGACACTGAGACCCCTGCGAGTGGGTCCCGTACGCGGAGGACACCTGGCGCTGCGTCTACTGCTACGACATCCTGGTCCTTGAGTAGAGAGTGGCGCAGAGCGGCGCAGGTCCACGCCCTGCGCTCGGGGACACGCTGGTCGTGTCTGATCTCCATAGAGTTCCGGCCCTGAGAGCCCCATAACCCTCATAAGCCCCCTAAAAGCCCATCCACAACAAGGTCGGCTGGTGTCTGGCCAGCATCTGGTCTGAGTCATGTCCCAGTCGCGAGTCTGAGACTCGTCCCCTTCACCCTTCGTCTTCGACCCCTCCCTCTTCGCTTGTATCCATTACCGTCGATACCTCTTCCCCTTCATGCAGTCCCCTCACCCTTTATTCGGCTGGCAGCGAGCAGCAATCGGCGGGTCAGTTCCAGTGAGTCCTTCACAGTCGCTCTGCATCCCGAGCGCGTTCCGAGAAGCGGTGCACGGAGGCGGCGGCGGAGGCGCCGGGTCCCAGGCCCCCAACGTACCCAACGTGTTCATCTGGCGCTCGTCTGGCGCTTCCTCTGGCGGCGACGTCCTAGGCCATTGTCGTTCCAATGGTCCCTGGCCACCCGATCGTGCCTTTATGTCCGTCCAGCGCACGTCAACACGCGCGACCCGTGGCCTTATCTGCGCCAGCGAGTACTCACCGCTCGGTACCCCTCGCGTACCCCGCTGCTCTGACCTTGCCCTCTTGGCCCTGGCGTGCACTGACGCGCACTGGCCGTTGTTTGTCTATCTTGGCGCCCATCTTCTATCGGCGGGCTGTCGGGTCCCCGATAAGTTCGAGACTGGGGTATACGCGCCCAGCTCCTCGCCCTAATTGCTTCATTACCCTCGATGCGCTCGCTCCTCGTGCTCACTCTTCGTATTCGGGCGGCTCGCCCGGGCCGACGAGTATATCCAGGACAGAACAGCGAGCACAAGGTGCCTGCGTATCCCGGTTTCACCCTTGTCTATTGTTCTCGACCCAGCATGCCCCGCGTGACCCAAGACACATGCGCTCGGCGCGCTCCGTAGAGCCGAGACGCTCCTGGCCAAGCCGGGACGCAAGCCGGATCCGCCACTGGCGCCCGCGCTCGGCCGGTGTCTGTCCATTCGGCTTTGCGCTCCTTCCGCCCACCGCAGTTGCCCACGCTTAATGTCGAGGACACTCACGCAGGTCTTGCCCGAGGCTTATGCTTCCGATGACGCATGGCCATCCATCGGTCCGGCTGCCGGCGTATCTGAGTAATTAATCGCCTCAAGGTCTCGAGAATCGTCGGCTTTGCCCTATGAACGTGCTCGACCGCCCGCTCTTGGCCGTGCGCGGGGTAGTACGGGGCCCTCGGCTTGAACGGCTGTACCTGTAGTGAGTAACGATCCGGTCAGGTGGCGTCAGTGACCTGCGCGATTATCCCAGAATATGCATACAGTGATAGATGTGATACCCAGAACCCGGTCCGATGAGCGCCTAGTCCTTCTTCGACTTGGACTTGCGCTTCTTGCCGTCGTCCTCGCCGTCCTTGTCGTCGTCGCGTTTCCTCTTCTTGTCCTTGCTCTCCTTCTTGGCCTCCTTCTCGGCCTTGGCAGCCTTCTTCTCCTCCTTCCGCCGGCGCTTCTCCTCCTTCTCCTCCTTCTTTGCGCGCTTCTCCTCCTTGCGCGCCTTCTTCGCCGCCTTCTCCTCATCCGACGCCTTCTCCTTACCCTTGGACTTCTTCTTCTCCTTAGGCTCCTCCTTGGACTCGGTGGAAGACGAGGACGAGCTACCCTCTCCCGGGCGCTCGTACTCTGGTCCAAGGTCTGCGAGCTCCGTCTCGACCTCCTCGAACTTCATCTTCGTTCCCTCCCATCCAACGCCATCCTGCGTGATCTTGACCTCCTCCATCACCGCAAGACTTCCCGCGGACAGCGTGGGTACCGGCGTACTTGATCCGCTAGCGGCCTGGCGGGCGAGAGCCTTCTCACGCAGCTTCTGTCGGAAGTAATCCGAAACGGACATCTTGGAGGTCGTGATCGTCTCGAGCGAGAGGCGCTGAGGCTCGCCGTCAGACTCGGCTGGGGTGCTGGGCTCGGGCGAGGACTCCTTGGCGGCCGGGGTCGAGGCGCCAGAATCGGAGGGCGATTCTGTCGGAGTCGCGGGGAGGGAAGACACGGGGACACCGAGGATCTCGGCGAGGGCGGCAGGAGACTGGGAAGCTAACCGCTTGGAGTGGAGGTGGCGCTGGCGAGAACTATAGTTAGCGATAGATATCATGCGAGGTTACTCACGCCATCTTGTTGCGGATAGACGACGGACCCGGGCTTGACTCGGTCGGCGTAGAGACGGGCGAAGGCTCGGCAGTGGTCGACGGAGTGTTCTTCCTCGACGCTAACCGCTTGAGGACGTCCTCAAGACCAGCTCCGGCCTGGCCGGCACCCGCGCTGAGCTCGTCGCCCTCCTTCTTCGCGCGGCCCATGCCGATACCGGTGTTGTCCATTTTCCTCATAACGGCGATGTGGGTTGAACGACCGGACGCATCCTTGCCGATTCCGGAGCCCTCCTCCCATCCGAGCTTGCTCATGTGCTTGAGAGAGAAGCGGTCCTTGTCGTTCGCCCATGTTAGGTTACGCGGGTCGTACCCGATGCGTTCTGCGGTCAACATTGCTCCCATCTATGCACTCACGCTTCTCTTTCCTCTGCGCGAGACCCATGGTGCTACCGGTGGTGGATTGTTGACAGATCTCAACTTTGGTCGTGTGGTCCGAAATCTCAATCTCGCAGGTGGACCTCCGGGATCAGAAATTTTGACGCCGAGCGTCAGTCGCCCGGTCCCGCCACCCATTATCGCAGGTGTTCCTTCCTCATCTCTACGTCGCTCTCACCGGGGCATCCACTTACTACACACTACCCCAGCAGCGAGAATAATCCACAATGGTGGGCCGAATGCGTTTGCGTGCATGCTAACATCCTCAGCCTCAGGTTCGTACTTCGTCGGATTTCGCTCGCCGATCGCACGTTCGCACGGTAACTAACCTCCCGCACAGAATGATTACATGGATGAGCACCGTAGGCGGCACGGTCGCCGTATGGACTATGAGGAGAAGAAGTGAGTCCGAGTTGGCCTGAGTATTTGCTTACAGTAGGCGCAAGCGTGAGGCGCGTGAGGTCCACAAGCAGTCGGCAACCATGCAGAAGATGGTCGGTCACAAGGCCAAGATGATGCACGCGCGACGACACGCCGAGAAGGTGCAGATGAAGAAGAAGCTCAAGGCCCACGACGAGCGCAATGTCAAGCAGAAGGACGACGGCGCCGTCAAGGAGGGTGCTCTTCCCGCTTATCTGCTCGACCGTGAGGGCCAGAAGGACGCCAAGGCGCTCTCGTCCGCCATCAAGGACCGCAGGAAGGACCGCGCTGCCAAGTACTCCGTTCCTCTCCCGAAGGTCCGTGGTATCGCCGAGGAGGAGATGTTCAAGGTTATCAAAACCGGAAAGCACAAGGGAAAGAGCTGGAAGCGCATGGTCAACAAGCACACCTTTGTTGGTGAGGGCTTCACGCGTAAGCCTGTCAAGCTCGAGCGTTTCATTCGCCCTATGGCTCTTCGTATGAACAAGGCCAACGTCACGCATCGTGAGTTCTGAGTTTGCCTGCTTTGCTAACTGTCCTCAGCCGAGCTCAAGACGACGTTCCAGCTGCCGATTCTTGGTGTCAAGAAGAATCCCCAGTCGCCGATGTACACTTCGCTTGGTGTCCTTACGAAGGGTACCATCATCGAGGTCAATGTCAGCGAGCTTGGTATGGTCACCACGGGAGGAAAGGTCGTCTGGTCGAGTGAGTTATGAGGAATGCAACGTCCACTAACTGTCAGAGTACGCCCAGATCACCAACAACCCCGAGAACGACGGCTGCATCAACTCTGTTCTTCTTGTCTAACCAAACATAGAGCTCTTATTAGTTTACCACACCTGTACTTGTACTCCATGCATCAAACCACCCATAAAGCAAACAATACAGGCTTCCAGCAGCTTACACCGGAGAGGGAAGGTCTGCAGGTGACGCTATCACGTGATCCGCCACCCAACCTCCACCCTCAGACGTCAGCAACAACAACGGCGCAAGCCGGAATTTCAGCACTTACATCAACCACGGTACCACGAGCATGAGCGGCCCACCGACGTCGTTCTCGTCGTTCCCGGAATTGAAGGAGCTCACTGCGGGACCTTCGAAGACACCGTCATTCTCTTCATTTCCGGACATCGACCTAGGCGGGCTTCCGAGGTCGAACGACAAGGAACGATCTCGGCCGCCCTCAGAAGAGCGCGACCATGATAGGAGGCGAAGAGATCGCTCCAGAGACCGAGACAATGATCGCAGAAGAAGAGATAGGTCTCGCGACAGGGCAAAGGATGGGCACCGCAGGAAAGACCGTGATCGCGACAGACTACGAGAGAGCAAGATTGATCGACGAAGGGATGACGGAGACCGAAAGAGGGATCGTGATCGAGATCGAGAACGGGATCGCAACCACGAGAGAGATCGCGACAGGGAACATCGACGAGATAGACATAGCAGACGAGAGGACAGGCAACGTCACCACGACCGTTCGAAGTCACCAAGGGAAGACGACGACGAAAAGCGAAAGGAGAAGGAGGATAGACGCCGGCGTGATCGGGAGCGCGCCGAGGAGCTTGTGAACGCTGCTTCGAAAACCGAAAGTATCAAGATGGAGGACGACGGTATGCCGTGGTATGAGGCTCGGACAACTGCTCAGCCTGCACCTGCGCCTCTGCCATCAAAGGCGTTTTTCCTCGATACCGTTGGGGATCGCGACGTCGCGAGATGGAATTTGACGTCGTCGGAGTCAACACCGAGGTATCGCCGCGATGCCGGTAGGTTGATCATCATGGGCCTAGCTGACAGGCAGGTGGTAGAGTCCTTGGACTTCATGACGGGCTCCGGATAGTCTACTCGCGAGACAGGACACAGAAGGGCGTTGAGATCGCCAAGCTAGGCCGACCATATGTGAGTCTGCGCAAGACGGTTCGCAGCTGACGTCAGATACCTAGGTACTCTGCTAAACCTCTCGAAGGCTCAGCCTCTCGCCATCTCGGGCGCATCTTGTTACGCCCTAATAACGAGGAGAGCGAACCACTCGGTGATTACACGCTCATCCATCGACGGAAAGCGATACTGCCCTCCACCGACTTACCGGACCATCGTGTCATCTTGCATGAAAAGGAGGAGAGTGAGGATGAACTGGAAGGTGTTCTGGGGCAAGTCACGACTTTGCAGGACAGCCTGAAGGCGAAGCGGATGGAATTTGAGCGGCACCTGTCTCAATATCCGGAGGACGTGAAGGAGTGGATCAAATACTCCACTCTGCACCTGCAGGAGCAGCCAAGCTCTGTTCGCAAGACTGGTGATGATCTGGCTGCCCAGCCGACCACTCGAGCAAACGCCGAAGTGACTCTGTCACTGCTTGAGCGTGCCCTCAATTCTCACCGGGCGAACTTTCGATCAACAGAACTGCACATCGCCTTCCTCCACGCAGCTGAGGCATTTTGGCCACCGGATAAGGTTACTCAGCGCTGGAAGAACGTCATCAGCCAACTCAGCGGCCAAGCTCCAGAGGACGAGATGATTCGACTGTACCTGGGGTACATCGATTGGAGGGAGGGTCAAGGACTCGGCGGCAGTGGCAGCGACGGAGGAATTGATGAGGTTGTGAGCGTGTACATCGAAGTACTGGACCGGCTACGGAGCACTTCAGATGGTGAGTTGAAAGTAGGGAAGGATGCTAACGGACAGCACGCAACGTCGAAACCCGCGAGGAGGATATGGTGTACCTTTTCCTCAGGGTATGTCTATTCCTCAAACAAGCTGGCTATGATGAGCGTGCAATGGGCGCCTTCCAAGCGCTGATGGAGATTACGTTCTTCAAACCAGACCACCTACGAGCACCTGCTCCTCCGTTTGACAGGGAGCTGTGGTTCATGGGAGTGCTGCAGGAGTTCGAGGACTTTTGGGATTCTGAGATTCCCCGTATCGGCGAGGCAGGCGGGAAGGGTTGGAAGGAGATGCACGCGTCTCTGGAGGAAGCGAGCATCCCGAGATCGACGGCACCGGATTTCTCTTCGAGCGTGATCAATCCCCACGAGCGATGGCTGGAAGCTGAGCGACACGCCGAGACAGCCTTATTCCTGCCGGGCCGAGTGAGAGATTTGGATGCCGCGGACGACGATCCATTCCATGTCATTCTGTTTGAGGACGTCGCGCCGTTCCTGTTCCCAGTTCAGTCGCCTATGGCGCGGTTACAGTTGATCTTCGCCTTCCTTAACTTCCTCGGCTTGCCGTTCACGCCGCCTGACGTTCCAACCACATCACCCGCTTCGACGGATCCGCAACTCCGCTGGACCATCGCCAAAAATGAAGGGCTGCGCGCAGCTTTCTGGCCGCCCCGACCGAGCGTCAAGCGTGTCGCCTGGCAGACCGTTGGCGGCGAGCCCTTGGAGGCGGAGGCGCCGCGGGCGATGTCATCGCCATTTGGTTGTCCCGTCAAATCATGGACGTCGAGCCGCGACAGCTTGTTTGCCGGAAGCCACTGGTTCCGCGACGTCAACGCACTCGATCTCGCTCATGTCGACATTGAGCTCACTCGAAATGTGCTGAACCTTCTGCGACCGCTGGTGCCGGATCCTTCATTCGTACTCAATCTGTTTGCGTTCGAAGCTGCGTTGTCTCCCAAGACGTGAGTTGGTTTGAGCAGTGCGGAACTAACCCCAGCGGCATCAAGGTGGCTAAGGAGATCTTGTCGTCAGACAGAGACAACTTGGCCCTCTGGGATGGCTATGCTCGACTGGAACGACAGCGCGGTAAGGTGGCGGCTGCCCGGCAAGTGTATGTTACTGCTATCCAGTCCGCCATGGCGCGGATGCAGGACAGCAATGACGAGAACCTTGAGCGGGACGAAGCCGAGCTGTGGGCTTCCTGGGCGGAGATGGAATGGGAGGAGGGTAACGACAAGCGATGCTTGGAGGTGCTCGTCATGGCCGCAGGAATGCAGCGCCAAGCAATCGGTGAGCTCATCTCTTGTCCTGTGCTGACATCCAGCGTCCTGCATTGCACCGGATTATAAGCCCCAGGCGCCTTCCTCTATCTCAGTTCTGAAGACTCGGCAAGTGAGTTGCGTCTTCGATCTCTGAACTGACAACAGCACTACGTGTCTGCCCTGTCGCAGTCCCCGAGCAAGCTCTTCCTGGGCTCTCTCTTTTCCTACTATACCGACGGCATTGAGGCTGTCAGGGACAGTCTAAGCATGCTGATCGACCGGCTCCCTGAAGACCACCCTCAGGGGGAGGAGATGTTGCAACTCCTTGTGAAGATTGTCCATTTCCACGCCACTCGACACAGTACTCCGGCTTCACTCGCTCGTGGGATCCTGGAATCGGCGATCGCAAAATACCCGAACAACACCGAGTTCCTGTCGCTGTACCTCTGGGGCGAGGCGAGCGGACGCGTGTACGGCCGCATCCAGCGACTAGTCTCGGACCTCACCGCCGAGGACAAGGGCATCGTCGCCATGCTCTGGTCGGTGTGGGCGGAGGCGATTGGGTCAGCGCGGACGTTCTGGGACCCTCGCGGCGGAGGTGCGGAGCGCGTCCGCCGTGCTTTGGACAGGAGCGTGAACACCACATCGGGCAAGCGTTCGGCCGCCCTGTGGATGCTGTACATCGAGTTCGAGACCATGATGGGCAGGCCGAGCTCTGCGAAGGCACTCTGTTATCGCGCCATTGCCGCGGTCGGTGGTTGTAAGGGTGAGTTGTGAGGTTTGCTGCGAACTGACACACAGACATCTATCTTCTCCCGTTCTCTCCAGCCTTGCGGCCCCATTTCACGCCCCGAGAGCTGGGGTCCATCGTCGAGTCGATGTACGAGCGAGGCATTCGCATTCGAGTTGGGACTGAAAACTTCTGGATTGACGAGGAAGAGGAGGAGGGAGAAGATGGCGGGGAAGACGAGCCGGTCCCCATCACCGGCGACTACGAGTATGGCATGCTGCGTGAGCGTGAGGAGTTGAAACCGTATTAGACTTTTGTAGCCAATCACTCGATTGTAACATCACCAGCACATGCATCAGCATTACATTTCCTTGTCTCATGTCCCCGCAGGGTCGCGGATGGGTCGTTCCTGCCAAATCCGACCTCCACCGGGCCGTTGCCGCCACTGACGCGTGCCATGTCACCAGCCGCCCAATAATCCACGCAACGACTCGACATCCCTCCATCCGCCATCGCTAACCCGCCATGTCGCATTCGACCCAGCCGCTGCTCTCAGGGACGATTGAGGCCGACGAGGAGGCGCCGCCCGCCCTGTCGGGCAACATTGGCGGCGCTGCTACGCCGACACCGCGCACGAGCGAGCCGGTCGTGCTGGTTCCCGGAACGGCCGCGCGTGACGTCGAGGAAGGCGGTATCGTGAGTCCAGCTAGGCAAGTGCTGCTGCTTGATGAGCTGACGTACAGGCTGGCATTCTGAAAGCGAGCTCGCACCCGTTGGCACTCCTTTGCCTCTACTTCTTCCGATCTGCCGCTATTGCGGTCTACGTCCTCTGCGGACTGTGTGAGTCTACGATGCCTCTGAGCTGCCCTTTTTGGTCCGCGAAGCTGACCTCAGTCACTGACAACTACGTCCTCTCGGTGAGTAAACCTATCATGCTCTTGCCGACGCAGACCTCGGCAGCTCAATGCTTCTTGCCCAAGAGCTAACTTCAGATCGTCGTCGTCGTTGTCTTGCTTTCCCTCGACTTCTGGAATACCCGTAACGTCGCGGGCCGCACTCTCGTCGGGCTGCGGTATTGGAACGAGGTCGATGAGGAGGGCGAGAGTGCCTGGGTCTTCGAGTCTCGAGACGTGAGTTGCTTACTTCTCTCGGTAACTGACATCTCCAGCCCCAAAGCCGTCCCCCGAACCCGATCGACGCCAAGATGTTCTGGATCGCGCTCTACGCGTACCCTGTGGGCTGGACGGCGCTTTTGATCGTCTCCTTCCTCAAGTTCAACGTCTCGTAAGCTGAACCAATGCGCTCCACAGCTGACACCAGGTTCCTGCCGATCGTGCTGCTCGCGCTCGTGTTCAACCTCTCCAACGTCGTTGGATTCACGTACGCGGACCGCGACGCACAGCGCCGGTGGGCGAGCAAGAACGCAAGCCTGCTCGGCAACTTTGGCGGTCTCGGCGGCCAGCTCGCGGCCGGCATGGTGCGCAACAGCGTCGGACGGCTGTTCCGCTAAGCATCAAGTTCCTTCTCTTCATATGCATAGATCGACTCCCCGTTACGGCCTCCACAGAAGCGGCGACTGACTCACTTAGCCTCTGACTCTGAATGCTCTGCAGAGACCGCACCTCACAGCTCTCGCAGCTCGGGAGGCTGGAGCGCCGCACGTGCACACTGTGGGGATGTTTGGATGCGTGTTTGACGTTCGCCGGCGGTGCAGTTCGAGGCCCGTCTGTGCGACAAGGCGCATCGCGGGTTACTCGATGGCTCGTGGGATGCAACGAGGGCGTCTGCAGGTCTAGGATATGCAGTGCATGCTTGGATCATGAGTTCTACTTGAGTGAGCAGCAAGTATACCAGAGGTGGTGACGAGATGAGATTTGTTGGAAGCATCGTTAATGAGAGATGGACGGCGGCGAACGCTACAGTGCAAAAGTCTATGCATAGACTATGGCAGGGTCAGCGAGGAAGATAAGAAATGCTGTGCGGAGCTCGGCGTCGTTGACCACATCATTGACGCAACGGAGGGTCGTTCCTGCCGGATTGCGGTGCATGGATGTATCAACGGGCAGCGGGCGACGACCAGAGCATAGTTCGAAGAGTGAGTGTTGCTGAGGTCAGAGGTCAGAGGTACGCATGCAAGGGCTCGAAGAGCCAAGAGGAGGCCCCAATGGATGCGGTGAAACGCCGTGCCGCTCGCGAGAAGAACGCCAGACAGGAATCAGGCACAGGGCTGCGCTAGATGCATCGACTGGCCCTACTCCTGCGCGAGGTCCAAGCCCAAAACAAGCCGACGACCGACTTGCTCACGGACCTCATTTCTCAAGAGTAAGCAGTCAAAGCGCGTACGCCGTGTCTCTCTGCTCGATCTGCTCTGGGCCCTTGCACGCTTTTGCTCGAGAGAGGCCCCCGACGCCAATGCACTCTGCTGCTATGCTTACACTCTGTTGCATCGATTACATTGAGACCCCGTTCTTCACCGCTATCCTGGACTCGGCTTACTAACTTACTCGTGCCATCGGCCCTTCCCCGCCGCATCCACCGCTTGGTACCCTTCCCCCCGCGCCCTAGCCACCCTCCCTCACTCCACCTCGTCCTCCCATCTCGCGACATCGACTTGCACTCCGTCCACTCTATCATCATCCTCTTACTCTTGAGCTTGCACGACCACGAACCACAGCCAAGCCCAGAGTTGATCCCATATTCCATTCGCTCGTTTCATCGCCACCGCCACCGACGCACTACCCCGGCACGCGCGACCCTGCATATCCAACCGATGCCTGACGAGCTGAGACCTGACACCCGACACTTATCAGCCCCGTCCGGCTTCCACGGCTTACAGTCGACCCATACAACGACAATCAACGCGGCCAGCAAGCGGTGCAAACCACCTGACCATACTCAACTTACCCAGGGCCGCCCGCGACGCGCGCTCATATCCATCCGGCATCTTTCCCGATCATCTACCTTCTCCCCTTCGACCATCCTCCAACCGTCGTTATAACCCGCTGAGCCCCAGCCTCCAGTTGCCTTTCAGCCTGCCATGGAGCGCCCGACCTCGGGAGGGTATGAGAGCTTGTTCCGCGACTCTGGCTGGTCCTCGTCTCCCCCTCCCGACCTCAATTTCCATCTGAGCATGGACCCGCCTCCACATGCTGCTCCCGGCGCGAGACATGACTCATCCCAACACCGTTTGCCACCTCCGCCCCCTCCGCGACCCGCTTTGGACGAGCACGGCAGCTATGTCAGCGATCTCCCGCAGGGGAACGGTAGCGCGTACCATATGAGCTCTATGAGGCGTGCTCTGCCAACCCCGCCAGCGGCTGGAGCACCGCCCGCGCACGCTGGCTCCCCCGCTTCGTCCTCCTTTTCGACGCACGACTCGCACCTCAATAACCCTGGCCGAAGCAGCACGTACGAGCAGTACAGCCTGAATGCGCCGCGCAACCGACATTCGAGAGCGCTCCCTGCGCTGCCGACGCCGCCGCTCCGCAACACGGCGAGCTTTCCGGCAGCGCCCCCCGGACATCAGGTTCCATCGACTCCCGGCTATTCCTCGACTGCTTCGGACCATCATGGTCATGGCGCAGTTCCCCAGACACCGCCTCGACCACTTCCTCGCCCGGCTAGCGGCCTCCCGGCGCACATGGAAGCGCACGCCTTTGGTCGATCATCGCCCTATCCTGCCCAAGTCGTGAATGACCAGTCTCCGATATCCATCGAGTCCCCGGCGGCCTCGCTCTCGACCCACCCATCCACCATACGCAGCAACGGCGACCAGGACTACTTCCACCGTGGACCGACGACTGTCACGCCGCAGACCTCTGTTTCGAGCTCGGCGCACGACTGGAAGAGCAATCAAAGCAACCACCGGCAGCAGGCGTCAGAGGTCCAGTCGTGTGGCCACGACGAAACGTCGGCAGCGTCCGTGCTCGACCACTACTACGCATCTGAGTCGCCCAGCTACAACGCGAACGACCTTCCGAACGCCCCTTCCATCGGTGTGGACAGCAGCAACTCGACTGTCAGGACCAGACCGACCTCGCATATCTCCCAGGGCAACGTATCCGACGCGTCGTACCCAGCAGCCGAGTCGTCGCGAGCAGCCAGGCCAACGCACGCTGCCTTCGGATCTGTAAGCTTCCCCAACGCACGCCAGTACGCCGATAACAACGAGCGTCCGGCTTCGGGGAGCAACCCACTCGGAGACGACCAGCCCATGTCCGCAGCGCCGTCGCAGGCGACGTCCCGGCCAGGCGACCTCGCGCCTTCTTGGAGCGAGCAGTCGCAGGAGCCATCACGATGGGTGCAGACAAAGTTACTGCTGCATGAAGCAGGCGGATACTACGAGGACGAGGAAGGAGGCATCTACGACGAGTACGCCTCGCAGGAGGAAGAGGAGGAGATTGAGGTCAACGAGATCCAATTCTTCAACCGCGCATTCCTCAGCGAAGTCGCAGTGCAACTGCGCGACCGCGTTCCACGAGGCGACCACGTCAAGGCCGGAGTAACCTGGGTCGGCACGTTTACAGGAAAGGATCTGGTGGTGAGTCAATTGTTTCAGGCATTTTCAAAGCACCAATGCTGACGTCTTCAGAACACGATTCGCTCGTTCCTGCCCGAGTTTACGCGCGAGACGGATGGCGACAGGCGATTCGCGCTCGCGACGGCGCGCTCGCTTCAGTCGCAGCTCTGGGTCGTCGAGGTCGACTGGGACGACAAGCCTGTGCGCGACTCGGAGAACGTCGTGTTCAAGTTTATGAGTGAGATGGAGGACATTGACGTCTCGGGTGAGCTGCCATCAGGTGTGCTCACGAATGCGACCAAGTGTTACTCGCCGAGCTGCACGGGCGAGCCTGGCTGTTACGCGCCACGATGTCCGTTCAAGACGCCTGTCAACTCGTTCATCTCAATGCCAGAGGGCGACGCTGGTCCGAGTGGCACGGCGGTGGCTGTCGTTAAGAGCGACACGGACTGGACGGAGGACGTTGACCCCGTCATCTTGGCCAGCCTCACGGAGCAGCAGCGTAACCGCCAGACTGCGATCCGCCGCGCGATTCTGCTCGAGGAGAACTACGAGAAGGACTTGGCCGCAGTGGAGAAGACGTTCATCACGCCGCTCATGACGGCCAACCCGCCGATCCTCTCGCCGTACCACCACCTCGAAGAGGTCGTGCTGACCTTGTTCGGCAACATCCAAGAAATCCGGCGCGAGTCGCGACGCATCATTGACAACTTTGCCGTCCGTCTCAGGGAGCAGTCGCCCCTGATTCAGACGGTCGGAGACATCATGCTCGAGGCCTCGACGGACTTCCGCAACCTGTACCCGGTGTACAGCGAGAACCTGCCACGTGCCGAGGCTCTGCTTGCTGAGACGATCCAGGACAGTCCTCGATTCGCATCGTGGATCAAGGAGGTGGCCACTAGCGGTGACCACCGTCTTCGCTATCTGCTCAACCTGCCTGCGAACCATCTGAAGGAGTACCCGAAGGCGCTCCAGGGTATTCTGGAGTTCACCTCGCCAGATGACCCGGACTTTGACTTCCTGACCGAGTCTCTAAGCTCGATTGAGAGCATTGCAAACCTGACGTCGCTCAAGCTGTGGCACGCCACGCTGACGCAGCCGCCAGGCGGGCCGCTGGCATGGTGGAACATTGTTCCCGAGGCAGTCCAGAAGTCGATGTCCAAGGACGAGATCAAGCGGCAGAATGCTATCTGGGAGCTGATCCAGGGTGAGATGGAGTACGTCGCAGACCTCGAGGCGATCGAGACCGTCTTCATCAACCCGCTCCGCGAAGCTGAGCAGCCGATTATTGACCGTTCTCGTCTGGACAACTTCATTCACGACGTGTTCCATAACTATCGCAGCCTGCTCGAGGTGCACCGGCAGCTCGCGCGCGACCTCCAGGAGCTCCAGGTCCAGCAGCACCCCAAGCTGGGCGTCATCGCTGAGCCTGTCCTTAACGCGGCGCTCAATTGGCACGAGGCGTACATGGAGTACGTCCCGAACGAGCCCATTGCGAACGCCAAGATCGATGAGGAGCGGGCTAACAACCCCGCATTCGCCAAGTTTATGGATGTCGTGAGTTTCCTGAGGTTCGCTGATAAACTGACCCCCAGGACGTGTTCAAGAACCCGGCGAACACGGGCCGCCACGGCCTGAAGCACTTCGTGAACCGACCTACAGCCCGTCTACTCCGCTACGACCTGCTGTTGAAGGCTATCCTGAAGGAGACGACCAAGACGGAACTGCCCGATCACCCGGACATCTCGACGATCCCTCAGATCCTCGATCTCGTCGCAACCCTGGCCAAAGCAATCGATAAGGCAACTGCGATCAACGACGCCAAGGTCAAGCTCTGGCAACTGAAGACGTCGCTTGACGGCGGCAAGTTTGGCCCACACGCTGTCAAGGAGCTTGACCTGCTGAACCCGATGCGCGAGCTCATCCACCAGGGCCGCGTTTACCGCCAGAGCGAAGGCCGAGGTTCCATGAGCAGCGGCTCGGAGCTGCAGCTGTTCCTCTTCGACAACTACTTTGTCATCGCGAAGCAGACCAAAGCGTCCTCCAGGAACAAGGAGGGCCCGCTCCGCTGGACGATCAAGGGCAAGCCGACGCCGCTCGAGCTGCTGACGCTTGGCGAGTTCGACGCTCCTCCGCAAACCCGCTCCGTCGGTCTCCTTAAGGGTATCCGAAGTGCTGGAGGTGGAGAAACAGAAGACAAGACAGTGTACCCCTTCACGTACATGATTGAGGGACAGCTCAGCGGTCAGTACGCGCTGTGGACGGACTCGGCCAAGGCGCGAGAGGAATGGCACGAGAAGCTTCAGCACGCCAAGGTGCTTCGCGCAGCGGTGAATGAGGGCATCAAGATCTTCGAGTTTACGCCCCTCAGCCTGGACACGTTCTACGAGGCGACGCGATACGGTGCCACCCCGGCTAACAGCGAGGACTATACTGGTCCCGTCACCTGCTCGACGCCGTTCACGACGATTGACGGCCGCCGCCTCATCGCCGTCGGATGTGACCAGGGAGTTTGGATCGGTATCCGCCACGAGACGTCGTCGTTACGCAAGGTTCTTCACGTGCGCGGCGTCACGCAGATCGCTGTGCTCGAGGAGTTCGGCATCTTCCTCGTGCTGGCGGACAAGAGCCTGCTCGCGTACAACCTCGAGGCGCTGGTGCCCACTGCGCCGTCGGCGAACCCGGCGCGCTCGGCTGCGCCGCAGCGTCTCAGTGTGCGTGAGATTGTCTTCTTCGCCGTCGGTCAAATCTCGGGCCGCACCCTCGTGCTCTACATGAAGCGCAAGGGTCTCGACTCGGTGTTCCGCGTCCTCGAACCCGTCGTGAACCGGAACTTGGACGACCATCAGAGGCCACAGCGCCGCGCATTCGGCAACCTGCTCAGCCGCAACTCGGACTGGTTCCGCATCTACAAGGACTTCTTCATCCCCACCGAGGCGTCGAGCGTGCACTTCCTCAAGTCCAAGTTGGCGATCGTGTGCACGAAGGGCTTCGAGATCATGGACCTCGGGGATCTCAAGGGCGGTACAATTCCGATCTTCGACCCGATCAAGATGCGCGACCGGCCTGCGCTGCAGGAGCTCAGCAAGAAGTGCGAGAGCGCCAAGCCGCTCGCCATGTTCCGGTCCAAGGAGGGCGAGTTCCTGCTGTGCTACGACTCGTTTGGCATCTACGTCGACCGGCACGGCGAGCCGAACCGCGACCTGCAGGCGATCGAGTGGGAGGGCCGCCCGCTCGAGACAAAGGACATTGTCTTCCACCCGCCATACCTGCTCATCATCTCGCGCTCCTTCATCGAGGTCCGGCACATCGACACGGCCAAGCTCGTCCAGATCTACACCGGCAAGGATCTGCGGTGTACCTGGGACGGCACGGGCGGGCAGGCAAATGCGCTCACGCGCGGTCCCGGCGCGGACGGGTGGGGCGAGGAGTTCACCTCGCAAGAGCCGCGGATCCACATCTGCCGCCGCGGCGGCGTCGCCACGCGCGCAGGAGCGCGGGGCATGTCGCAGCACATCTTCGAGCTGACCCCGACGTTACTTCTGAACAACCCCCTCTTGAACCCAGCCAACACAAGCGACCCGAACTACTTCCCGCCCGCGCCGCTCGACTACTCGTCAGTAGCGGCGCCGGACCCCTACGAAGCTGGTCCCTCGTATGCGCCGTACATGGGCGCCACACCGGGCTTAACTCCCGGCTACCAGGCGAACAACATGTACGCGGACCGCCGTTCCGTTTCCTCGAGCAGCACGCACACCTTCGCCAACGTGCCGCAGAGCCCCGCCTTCCCTACGTCTCCGGCCATGAACATGCCTACGGCCGCGCCCATGCCGCCCATGCCCCAGAACCCGGCCTATGTGCCGCCGCAGATGAACATGAATGGCGGGCCGTATCCCGCCCCGAGCACGGGATTGGGAGCGGGGCTCGGCAGTATCGGCGCCGCTCACGGATCGGCGTATGGCTCGCAGTATGCCCAACACGCCCAGCAGAGTCAGCAGGGACAGCATGCCCAGCAGGGTCTCGGGTACGGCAACTTGAACTCTGCGGAGCAGAGTCACGGCCATGCCGGGCACGCCGGTCACGGCGCGCACGGAGGCAGCGGAGGCCTCGACCAGGCGTTCCACCAACAGCAGCAGGTGTACAACTACCGCCAGAGCCGGACCAATGGGCTGCCCTAGGCCCCGCAGTCCGCTCTGACAGGCATGACAGAATACGTGGGTTGTAGAGGAGTGGGAAGGGGATCGTTTTGTACACAGTTATATTAAACTTCGGCGTAATGTCCATGGGTGGTTCTAGACAGGATACCAAGCTACCAAGTGCTTTCTTTGGGTGTAATGCATACAAAGTCTATTCTCTTACTCTGCCTTCGCTTCATTCGCCGGGCCAGCACTCGCCGGGCTAGCTCCCCTACTCCTCGGCGTGGGACTCGAGGGCGACTTGACCCACACACTGTCGAGCCAGGCCCTCGCCCCTGCTTTGTTCGCCGCACGACTGTACCCGCTCTGCCTCAGTTCGTCGGCCGAGTCCGCAAACGCCTTATCCTCGGCACGCGCGAAGGCGACCTCGCCCTGTGTTGCTGTCTTGAGCAGGTGCGGGTCGCGGACCACGGCGCCGCGCACAGCGTACTGCAGCCGGTTTGTGTGTGCTGTGCCCTCGAGGGTGGACTTGAGCTGCTCCTGCGTCAGGACGGCTGGGGCGGTGCGCACGGGGGCGAGGACGTAGAACGCTGTGATGAGAAGGAGGACGACGTTGCGGGCAGCGTGGAGCGCGGAGGAGAGCTGGGTGTCAGCTTCTGCCTCAGATGTCTCAAAGCTGATCGCAGAGAAAGACCGGGATACGTACATGGAAGATCTGCCCGTTCTGGACCCTCAGGTCGGTCCACCACCTAGCTGCCAATTCTCCAGCACATGCCGCCACGACAGCACCACCGGTGAGAAGCCTGTATCGCGCCGCCCGGCGACCGGCAAGACGGCCAGCGAGCCACTGCCACCCCATCGCGCCGATGAGCGCCGCTTGGAGGGCATAAGGCCCCAGGATGCCAGGCAAGGAAGCCACAGCCCAGTCCAGCGGGGCACGGCACCAGCCGCAGTTGACAGCCACGGCGTGGCCCCAGCGGACATACGTCTCGCGGCCGGATTTCGTCGTCAGGCGCGCGAGGAGGTCGGCGATCGGGTCGCCCTGTCCCGGCTCGGGCAGACTGGTGTAGCCAGCAGCACGCAGAACCTGCTCAGCGAGGTTGCGGCTGGGAGACAGCGTGGGGAGGGAGTGAGAGACGAAGACATCGTATGGCGGCCGGAGAATGGAGTAGGCTGCGTAGATGGTCTGCAGGGCGAGGAGGAGGAGCAAAGTCGGTGAGAGCGGGTCGGCGGGCGAGGAGGTGCGGAAGGAGCGCACGAGGGAGAGCAGGCGCGGGCCGAAGAGGATCACTAGTATTGGCGCATACGGGCGGAGCGCCGCGAAGAAGGCGACCACGTCGTTCAGCATGGCCCCGATGTGAGTAATTACTGAGGAGAGGGAAGACGGGGAGATGAGACGAGGTGAGATGCCAAGTGCCAGGTGGAGGTTTGACATTGTGGAGGCGCGTGAGGTGTCACCTGAAACGCGGGGAGCGGCAACAACAATGGCCCAGCGTGGGAGAGCTGTGGCACTAGTCAGTGGCACAAGGTGAATGTTGGGCGGACAATACAGATTGCATGCACTTCATGTGAGCTGGTCTACTCTGTGGCCTCTTGCTTGCGCATTGTTAAACTCTTCATCGCCTGAACCAATAGTCTCGCGGGATGTTCAGACCGGTGTATTTGACTCTCTTCTTCTCCCTTGCCGCCTCGAGCTCGCGCCATCGTCTCTTCCGCCTGCTCGTCAGCTCACTCCTTCCCCTCCTTCCCCTGCTCCTCCACAGTCTTGATGGTGTCGGCAGACAGATCTCTAGCGACTGGATATGCGCTCTCCTCTGCCTCGAGAGACTTCCGTCCAGACCCCTGGATCAACGTCTTCGTCTCCTCTACTAACTTCTTCGCCTCCATCCTGTACGTCTTGCTGACGAGCGGCGACTTCAGCCGCTCAACCTGACGTTAGCCTGCAGCTTTCATAGTTCACTCACGCTAACCAACTTCTTCGTACCGTTCCGGCGGACGCTGTACTTCATCACTGTGACTGTTGTCTTGTCTGTTGTCAGCGCAGTTCATACGTCAAGACGCACAGGGATCGACAGGGTTGAAGTACGAGACGTCGATGCCACTCGGGCGCCCGTTGTAGATGTCAAGCCTCTTGTCCGGGGCTGCTCTGAACGCCATATCGACTCGAGTTTTGAGGTGAGGATCGGAAGTGGGAGTTGGAAGTGTCTGGGAGTGGCCGGTGCATCTCTGTATCCGATTTAAAGCGTTTCTGGATCTCCCCCGCGATGCACATGTGCTGCCTGGAGGACACGAGCAGTTCATCAGTGTGCACCGCGTTGCAGGCAAGGCGCTGCGCCGTGGAGCTGGACCTTGTCCGCGTGCGGACAAGGGTTCGTTGTCCCACAAGGTGACAAAGTCCTGCCAACTTTCATTGTCAAGTAAGTGCCACAGTAACTCTAGAATGTGCCTGCACCGCCTTACGGCTATCTTACAGCTCTTCGTCGCTCTCTACAGGCTGCCTCTCGACGTGACGAATCGCAGCTGCAATGGATATCGTCGAACTCAAATTCCTCAGAATCGCGAACTGTTCATGTACCCACCCGGCGCGAGCGGACAAATCAAATCCACTACCCGGAATACCGGGGGAATTCGTCTAGTGGTAAGACGCGGACTTCGCAAGCATCTGTTCTTCGAGTGTCTGAAACCGGTGTTCGATTCACCGATTCTCCAGCTTTTTGGGTCACCTGTTGGCTCTGGGGGCGCATGCAACGAATTCGGGTCGCGGGAGATGTTCGAAGTGACCACATGATCGTCGGATCTAGAATTTCGAGCGCCAATAAAGCACTCGCGAACCAACCAGCCGCAGGCAGAGACGCAGGACACGCCATCCTGACGTGTGAAACGCCCGCAGCTGCTTCTAACCTCAACCTTGGTTCGGCGTTGATGGCACCCGGGGATGCGTACAAGGCTGCGTACTCTTATCATTGCGGATGATCCACGATACAATTCGGGTGAGACAACGGATCGTCGATCATATGCCACTTCCGTTTCGCGGCAACTTTCTCTTCCGCCTCCAATCACCGACATCGAATGGTCAACGTTTCTCACGACAATCTACAGCTGCAGTCTCCCTTCGAAGAGCTTCCAGAGCGCGCCTGAGGCTATGAGGGCCGCTGGCGCGCGGCGGACAGGACCATTCCACTATCTCCAATTGGGGAATTCGTCTAGTGGTAAGACGCGGACTTCGCAGGACTGCCTCGATCTGTCTGAAACCGGTGTTCGATTCACCGATTCTCCAAGCTTTTGACTGTTTTTGAAGCTGTTGTCTGCATTAGAAAAGTTCAGAAGTGCACCTGGACAGCGCAACCGATAATTCTATCTGTACTCTCCAGACAGATCAGTGACCGGCGCCGGCCCGCCCGGCGCCCAGGCACCATCCACTACCCCGGATTCGGGGGAATTCGTCTAGTGGTAAGACGCGGACTTCGCATGATTCAACTTCGATTGTCTGAAACCGGTGTTCGATTCACCGATTCTCCAAGGTTTTTGTCTTTTCTCCATCCAGCTCTCTTTGTGCAACTCACCGGCGGATTTGCGCCTGATAGGAGACATCCGTGAACCCTTCTTACGCCCGCATTGCATCGAAAGCTTCTGAGTGAGGACGCGCTCTGAATTGCATCGCATCAGCATCTCTCTTTCAGGTCAGCTTGAAGATGACGACGTTGCTGGCACATGGTGCAGCTTGGGACAGACCGACGACGCCACAGGTCTTCTGCAGCGCGGTTTCATGACCTTGAACGAAGACGGCCGCTTGTGATACGATTGAGACGCCGGTCTCACTGCGAGTTAAGGGTCGCATGCGGATGAGGCATCACTGCCGCACCTCCTAACGATCAATTAAGTTCCCGTGTCTGGGTGCTCCGGCGGCTCCCCCGCCAATGAACTCGAGATAGGGAGACGTGGTGCAAGTCTGCTATGCATAAAAGACGCCATGGAAATGAGTGCACACTCAACCCTCGATCATGCCTCTGTTCAGCTCACTCAAACGTTCATGGTACAACGCGGCTGCGAAGCGGGCGTCCAAGTCCCTCAAAGTAACGAAACCATCCAAGGCAGCCAGTATCCATTCGGCACGACTCAACACGCCCAGCGTCAGTTCTCTCACCCTCAGCATCTACAGTGAGTGCATCTTCCGTCGACGCCCCTCACTCCCAGACCGCTCCTACGTCTTCCTGGTCCATGACAATGACCTCATCGAAGAAGACAACGAGACCTACGGCACCAAACTGCGCAAGCACAAGGCCTTGCGGCGGCACACCGACACCAAGATGGCGGCGTGGCTAGCGATGAGGCGGGCATTCGTGCCGTGCATGCCAGAGACGTGGGAAGAGTACGTCGCTGCTCTGCGTAGACTACACATCATGTTTGCGTGCTACCTCGAATGTCGCGAGGCGCGTCTGGCCGAGGCGGAGGCTTGGCTAGCAGTACAGCAGCACTTGTCTACCAGACGCCTGGCAAAGGATGGCAGCATCCGAGATCGGCCGATGAAAAAGCTCTTGAAGGCGAAGGAGGAGGTCGACCGCCTGCGAGGCAGGGTAGATAGAGGCAGGATACGTCTGACCCGGTTCGAGGACGTGGTGGCGAGCGCTCGTTGGCAAAGGCGTACCATCAACGAGGCTATGCTGGAGGACCTTAGGAAGCTGTCACAACTGGTGGACGGGGGGGCGGACGAGCAGAAAGCTTGGGGATGAGGCAACCGCACCTGCTCGCCCTCTGGGCACATGCGCCCGATCCACCACACATGTGTATGCTCTCATCGCCTTGCACGACAGGCAGGTCTCCCCACTGCAAGCTCCTCCACTGCAAGCTCCTCCGACGGACAGACGGCAACCGCTGGGGGGCAACATAAAAGCCAGCGCTTGTCTCTCCTTCATTCTCATTCCACCCTTCTTCATTGACCTGTCCGCGACATGTCTCGTCCATCCTCCGTGTACTCGTCAAGCTCTGTTGATTCCGGCGAGACGGAGCGCCCCCTCTGTGAGTACCACTGCCCATCTCTTCCTGGCCCGCCCTCAGCCGTCCCGGTCACCTCTGCATCTAAGCGCTGACAGGCAGACCGCCCCGTGTTCGGAATCGAGTATCTGATGGGCCACGAGGACGATGTCGCATACCTAACCCCCGATGAGCTCTGCGAGATCAAGCCGCGTATCTGTTGCGAGCTAGTGCGTGCCCACAATCAGCTCGAGTTCTTTTTCCACGCCCTGGACGCCTTCCCGGCCTTTGTCCGCAGCTTGCCCTTTCAGCCTCCTCTGTTCTGCACGTACTGGGCGACCCGATGGGTGAGTACGTCTGATCAGTGCCGTACCTTACACGCAGGCTTCCTTAGGCCGGTCGATCGTCATCCTCAACGCCTACCGCAGCAGGGTCGAGCAGTACGCTGTCCGCTGCGCGCCCGACGTGCGCGCTATGATCAATCGCTGCTTTGGGTCTCTGTGGGTCAACATGGAGCTCACACACGATGCAGTCCTCGACTTCCTTGACGAGGTGAAGGAGGTTGACCGTCGTTTCCAGCAGACGTAGCTAGATCTACTGTTGTATGTATCACCGGTTACTGGGTACAACCACTGCTGTCAGGGCCAGTAACTCGAGAGGCGAGAGAGAGAAGCCCGTCGCTCCACCTCCCGTTCATGGGAGAACGGCCAAGGCTGGCAGGCGCGGTCTGAAGGGTTCCCTTACGCACCAGAAACTTACGAATATAGTTGGTGTTCCATACTACGAAGATGCTCAGTAAAAGCGAAACTAACCGCAACCGCAATTTTAGAATCTGAATGCACGGAGCTCACCATGGTGCAGACGTTCATGCGCGATTGGGGAAGCAGACGTTCGCGAGAGGCTTCGACGTCTACGGAGGACGACTCTCTCGAAAGCCAAGATCTGGAGCGGAGAACCTTAAACCGATGAGGGGACAGGGACAAGCTCACCAGGGGCTTGCGGCTGGCGCGAGATAGCCGCCCTATCGTTGGTTATCGCTCAGGGTGACCGGTTGATTCCCTTTTTACACCGACCTGCCTTGGAGGCTTGGAAGTGCCCTACACCTCTGCCATAGCTATCGTGGTGCGAGCACACCATAGGAGATGGGGCTTGATCCGATTACGATGAGGGCTGCATGCTTCGTCCGCTTCGTTTCACCCCCGCCTCGCTTGGCGTTGTCACCGCGGCAAGGCTCGTCAGCGGGGGTTTGGTAGTAGCACGCTCTGCTGACACGCAAAAAGCAGCTGAGAAAGCCGAGAGGAAGCTCTCGGGATTTCGGCAGGATTGGGGGAGTGGGGGTGGACTCGTTGCAAGGTTGCAGGTTGCAGGCACAAGAAGTGGTGCTCCGCTCGTTGAACTGGCGGACCCTGGCCTGCTTCGGATTTAAAGAGCAGCTGTTTTGCCAGGTGCGGATGAACGGCGGATAGGGCAAACGTCACCTATTTATAGGTTTGGGCTTGGCATCAGCAGTGTCTCGCTTAAGGGTGATTAGGTCAGACTGCCGACTGTCGTGCGGATTTTGTATGGACGAGAGGCGAGTAGGTCACGTTACTTGGCTCTTTCCCCGTGGTTGCCCCACTCCCAAGACGACCTTGAAAGTGCTGGACTCCGTACTCTGTTTACATTTCTCCATCGCCATCCATCTTCAGCCGCCGACCACTACCGCGACCGCCCACTTACAGCAATGTCATCGAGCGTCTCTCTTGCCCCCAGCAGCGCTGCCCCGGCGCCCAGCGCCAGCGCTGCCCCCTCCGGCTTCGGTAACGACAGCGCCAACCCCGGCTGCACCTACGCGAACCCCCACTGCTGGGCCAAGAAGTCGAACAGCTCCGCCGAGAGCTGCTGCTACAAGGTCAACGCCAACTGGAAGTCGCAGTGCGACGCCTGCTTCTTCCCCGACGCGTCCAAGGCGAAGAATCAGTCCGAGGAGTGGATGAAATGTTGGGGTGCAGATGCCGACTGCATGGTTGAGGTGAAGAAGGAGGAGCCCGCGGCCAAGGGCGCCGCTTTCTCTGTCGGCCCGAAGACGCAGCTCCTTGCTCTTGTCTTTGGCGCGGCTCTCTTCACCCTGGCGTAACTGTCTCCGCTACGATGATGTCTCCCTTAATCGATCCACCGGACGAACACCTCGACTCCCAACGCCTCAAGGCTGTAGTAAATATGCATATCTGTAATACGATCCAACTCCCTTGATGGCAATCTTGAAGCGCTGGGCCGTTGGCTTCAGAGAGCTCAAGCGGCAGCTAGCTTCGTGGGTTTGCATGCCTCCGTCGGTGATCAGATGGATCGCATCGCTTCCGCAGCCAACCTTAGATCTCTAGCGCGTCCGATCAACTCTCCAGATCGTGATTCGGCGACCAGTTGGAAGCCGATCACGCTCTTGGTCACGGCATGGGCATACTTCCTTGTAAGTCCGAAGACAGCTTTTGGAGAGTACATGTGCTATCCCCCTTCATATCCCCTTCCTTAGGTACAAGTGATTCCGGCGACACTTTTGATATCGAGGTCACCACCTTTCAGGATGCTCAGTGGCGTCAAGCCTGCGTCTGTAAACCCTGAGGTTACCCTCCGGACGCGCCGGCCAACTTACGCTGAACTGCTTCTGCACAACGTAGCTAGATGCTGGACTGCTTCTGCTCAGCCCTTCCGGCAGCAGTGTCCCCGCTGGCTACCCAGGCGGGAGCTTGTTGGCAGGCAAGCCAATTTCGCGAAAGTTATTACTGTGCCGTCCAGTAGAGCTGAGTGGTATGCCCATGTGGGCAGGCAGTCATTGTCGACGAGTCTGTGCTCTACGCCACAGCCGTCTCCGTAGCCTCCGGCATGCCTTCTCTCCCCGCCTCAAATAGCGCCCTTTGCCAATACTTAAGTGGGATGCCCCTGCGTCATCGCCTGCGCAAGCGGACATAACAGCGAGCGGCAAGCAAATCATTCCTATCGGCCAGCTTCTCCGGTACACGCTTTCAACGCAAGTCAGCTGGTGTCCACCTCACGTACTGCAGAACATGTCTTAGCATTTTCGCCTTCGGCGTCGCAGGCGCTGGCGCGCAACGGACCGGGAGCGCTAGGAGGGCAAATGTCTCTCCAAGCCTCTCAACGAAGGCGCTCCGACACGACTGATCATGTCTCACGCAGTAGTTTGAGAGCCAAAGATGGCATTCGCACGCGCTCTAGATCCGCGTTGACAACCTCTCCCGAGCCAACTAAACGTTCCGCGATGTCGTAGGTTGACATGAGATCTTCAGGTGGCGAAAAAGATGCCGACGGTGCGGAATGCGGGGTCTCCGCAAAAGTGACTCAACCACAACCATGTTTCCGCCCCAGACGATCCTCTGGTCCTTCCTTCCTCCCACTCTCCATCCACCAAACCTGTCGGCGCCGGATGCCCCCCAAGACGAAGGATCTCGCGAGCATCCCCGACGATGCAGTGCTCGGGCTCCAGGACTGGCTCAAGCTGTTGTCGTCACACGGCGTGGCAATGCGCACGGGGATGGCTCTGGCAGCGAAGGCGTGAGTTGGATTGACCGGTGTTTTGACTGACAGGCAGATACACGGGGCACAACACGAAAGAGAAACTCAAGGACATACCTGTGTCGATGATAAACGAGGTGCTTCCGAATAAGGAAGACCGGAAGGTAGTCCAGCAGGCTCTGAAGCAGATTGGCAGTGGGCAGGTGAGCTGAGGGTGGTAGCAGCCAGCTGACAGTAGGCGAAGACGAAGAAGCGGGCTCGGGATGACGACCTCCTGCGCCCTCTACCCCAGGGCGACGAGATCCGCGCACCCGAGAGTCTGTCCTTTGAAGAAATCACTGATCCAGAGGTATGCTGCCGCCTGCGTATCGCAAAAGCTGACGCTTTAGGCTTTGCTTCCAATCACGGTGACGGTAAATCGAGCGCCTGTGAAGTGCGCGTGGACGTACGTCGTAGCACGCAGGCTCGGGTTCGATGCGCAGGAGGCGCTTTCGATTGCGCAGGTGCATGTGCACATCTCGAGTCTGAAACACGCCCTCTTCCTTGGCAACGTTTTGAACGCACAGCAGGTCAAGGAGGCGGAGGACGAGATCCGCGAACTACCAGGAGAACATGACTTCAAGGCCAAGGTCACGACGAAGGACTGGAAGAGGGGCAAGCCTCAGCCAGCTGTTGGCAGTTCGCAGCCATGGGTTGGCATTATGAACTCAAAGTGAGCTATTCTCACAGTGTGCCTCATTAACTAACGGACAGAATGTGAGCGCTGTGCTTCTCTCGTAGTGTCTGACAACAGCCCCGTGATTGAGCGCCCGGACGGAACGTGGCGAGCGATCCAGCAAGGAGCAGCCGTCGAGCCCTCTGTCGTGAGTTACGTTCTCGAAATCGCTAACTCTCAGGCATACCTCTACATCACGCGGGCGCTGAAGACGTTCGCGCCACATGTGCTGGGTGCGATGCAGCTAGTCGCCGAGTCGTACGAACCGCAGGAGCTCGACCGCGTTGGTCTGCACCTCTACGTGAGCTTATCACCATCTCAGAAATAGCTGACAGCACAGGGACAGTTCAAACCAGATGTCACAGGTTGGGGTCAGCGTGGCACGCTGTCTGTCGCCAAGATCCTGGAGACAATGAAGGATAAGGCCGCGGATGCTGAGACCGGGGCTGAGCCGGATGCCGACGAGAAGGTGAAGAAGGCGGACGCCTCTGCACCGGGTACAAAGCCTGAGGGTGATGAACAGACCGAAGGTGCTGTGCGACGGAGCAAACGACTCAAGACCGGCCAAGAAGAGGATCCGAAACCCGCAAAGGGAGTCGAGATCGCGAAGGACACGGGACCGGCGGACAAGGAAGGAAAGAGCAAAGCACCCTCGTCGGATCAGCCGGGAACGGAAAAGCCAGGCATGACCGTCGAGGAGTACGAGGCGATGCTCGACGCCGAAGCAGCCGACTGGGACTTCCCGGATGGCATGTAGGCAGGATATCTATGTTGTAGGACAATGGCCGTGTTGTGTGTCATGTATTCATATACTGTGCTTACTACAACGTGACAATGACAATGTGGAAGGACAAGGAAATGTATGAGGCGGAACGAGCCACTGCTACCACGATATCGCCTCGGGGGCAGGTCGCAGGGTCAGAATGCCGCTTATGATGTGCCGACGGAAGCCTCCCGTGCGCCGTGAAGATCCCGGAGGGCAGCGCACAGGGGCCCGCACCTGGGGCATCGGACTCCAGGCGCGGTGCCGTTCCTCGGGATCGGAAGGGATGGTGATCGTCAGTGGGGTCAGTGGTCGCTCTCGTACAGCTAAAGTTACATGCATCACGGCTGGCGGAGCGCTTTCTGCAGCTCGGGCGCCAGCCTGAGGTTCGGGATATCGAGGATCTGGTGTCAGCTATAAGCTCGGACATGTGAGCTCACCTTCTGCGCCATCTCGTCACCGCCGCCTTCCCATGTCTTCACCAGCGGACCGCGTAGCAGGTTCACATATCGGCTGATCAGGTCCTGCACCTCCTCGGCCGATATCCGCCGCCAGAGAAGGAGGTTGCGTAGCAGTTTCACGCGACGTCGGACAAAACGCTGCATTGCGTTGCGCGCTGCCGGGTTGTACGGCGGGGGAGGGATAGAGCCGGGCATTGTAGCCGACGCGATCGCGGAAGCAAGCTCGAGAGCATGCGCCTGGAAGAGGCCGAGAATGGTCTTGGTGAGGGACTTGCAAAGGGCCTAAGGTCAGTTCCCGCGACTTGCTCCCAAACTCACGTCATATTCCTTGGTGCCGTTGGACATGTCGCCGATGAACTCGACGAGGTCCACTGCACGCCTTGTCTGCCGAGCGGAGTATGGGTCATAGGCGCCGTTCTGGAAGGCCTTCGTAAGCCATGGCAGGACAGCCTTGTGAACCATTTCCACCGTCAGATCGCCCTCCTCGCCTACCTCCGGCTCAAGATCCATGTCGTCATCCTCTTGGTCAACAGGTGGCCGGGAGTAGTTGAACAATGCCTTGAACCAAGTGAAGGAGTCCAGGGTAATGTTACTCTGATGGTTAGCACCTTCCTCCGCACACATCGTTGCTCACCCTGACCGGTTCCCATCCGACCATCTCTCCACGCGCCCAGAACTCCCATGCTTGTACGAGAGCCAGACCGCCAAAAGCGCCGTTGTAGTCTTCAGGATACCGTTCCCGCCAGTCCGCAAACCTGACCGCCAGTCCCTTCGTGGGATCTCGGAAGTCCTCGGCCTTGACATCGTCTAGGAGCGAGCGGACACGGCGGTCAAGATCGTTTTGCGCTGCCTCATAGTCGTCCGCGACATCCCCTTCAAGGTCAGAGTCGGTGCTGAAACCTTCTTCTGGGTCTTCGGCCGCTGCCAGGACGCCGAGACGCCTAGCTCTCCGATCGATTCGGTCTTTTCGCCGCGATCTTCGGATCTCCGAGTTCGGGCGGGCAGCCTCCACATCCTCGGCAGAGGTAGCACTCCCTGGGGCGCCTAGGAATAAGGCGAGGTCATCTCCATCGTCCGCTGCTCTCCGCTTCGAGATGAGCGCCGCGCGCTCCTTCGTGAACTTGAACTGGTCCTCCTCGACCTCGTCAAGTTGGGGAACCTTTTCCTCGAGGAACCCGCCCAGAGTCTCGACCCATCCTTGGAATCCTTCCATCCACTCTCGCTTGCCGTCCACCTCGGTAACTTGTTTTCGGATGTCACGTTCCTGCTCCTCCAAACTGACGAGGTCCTTTGTGGCGGACGCAACAGCGGCCTCGCTTTCCGTCTTGACGACCTCGAGCTCAGCCATCTGAGCCGCTATCCGTGCCTCAGCAGCTGAAACGGACGGAACGGGGCGAGATCGAGGGACTGGCGTTAGCTAAGCTCCAAGACTCTGTGGGCTGTACTCACTAGGCGTAGGCTGGTAGTTCTTCTTCGGCTCCTCCTTCTTGACCTTGCTCTCCACGAGCGTCTGGCCACCGCGGGCGACAAGTGTTTGCTCCCATTCCCTGGTCTCCTCATCACTCTCCTCCTCCTCTCGCTCCGCTATCATCTCGCCGATCTCTCCCTTCAACCTTCGCGCGGCAGTTCGGTTCGCCTCACGCCCGATGGCCAGGCGATCGTTCGCCTCAGTATAAGAGGCAAAGTCCTCGTCGCCTTCCTCTCCTTCGTCCTCTTCTCTCATGAGTCGGGACTCAGGATGTGGTCCGCGATCGGGACCAAGGGAAATGTAATCTTCTTCCATGGATCGTCCCTCGAGGGCCGCCTTCCGTCTGTTCTTCGCGGCTGCAACAGCAGCAGGGTCGGGAATACCGGCCGTTGTGTCCGCTGCAATTTGGGAGGCATACTTCTCCTGCGCAACGGAGGAGAGACCATCTGCATCCGCTTTCGGTGCCCGCGTCGGTGTAGCGGCCTTGAGCTCAGAGAGGTACTCTCGCGAGTACGACTGCGACTCCCCACCAGTCGGCGTGACAGACGAGCTGGCCTTCAGGGCTTGCGAGAGAAGAGACTTCTTCTGTTTGAACGCCGGAGAATCTGATGTCTATACACATCAGTAAAGGCAGCATCTAGTGACATACCTCCTCGTCGCCACCGAAGCTCAACTTGCTCCGGCCCTGGACCTTCTTGCGCGCTGCCTTTTTCCGCTCCATCACACTCCCACTCTCCCCGACCGACACATCGCCGTCGCTTGAGGTCGTCGGCACGTCATCTTCCGTCTCGCGGGTTCGAACGGAAGGGCGTGGCCGAGCCCTTTTGATGAACATGTTGGTGAGTTATGACGAGACCGAATCTCCAGCGTCTGGATTTGTTGATCTCGGCACGCGGCGACGGAATCAAATTTCCGCGAGATCTGAGTGGCAAATCTCGGAGCAAACACGAAGAACAACAGGTAAGCATGATGCATACAGCTAAGTGATACAGTCTATGAGAAGAAGTCTGCTGCGCCTTTGCGACCATGCCTACTGGTTTCATAGTCATTGGTAGCGCCTTTGGAGGCTGGCGGAGCCGGAGGAGCGCTCGACGATGTTACCTTCTCAACCCACTCGTCTTCCTCACGCTTGGCTCTGGCTTTCTTCTTGGGCTTCTCGCGAGGAACGTCCTCCTCATCCTCCCCAATGTCGAATGAAAGTACACCCTTACGTTTCTTCTTGTCCTTCTTCTTTTTCTTCTCCGCTTTCTCCTCCTCTTTGTCACCTCCAGCGCCGGCGGTACCGCCTGCACGCCTGAAGACGGGCTTGAAGGTGGCGTAATCGAGAGGCTTATCATCCACAGGGTATGGATCCATTGGTTTCCGATCCACCACAGCCACTGCCGTCGGCGGAGCTTCGTCTTCCTCATCATCGTCGTCCTCATCATCGCTGGCGAAGATAGCCTTGAAAATGTCGATGCTCGGCTTCGTGTACGTTAGGATATCGCGACCCTGGTTAATGTCGTCGGCCATGCCGACTTCGGCGATTGTCCGCGGAACACGCTCTCCTGTCTCTTCAGGAGGCGGCGAAGTGTTCTCCTTATCGGTGCCGGGCTGATGAATGAAGTGAGACTCCCAAGCAGCATCGTTCCTGGGAAGTGCCGAGTCAAATCCGTAGCCTGCCTTCGGCGTCGACGCCCCGCTGCCCTCTGGAGGTCCTTCCGGGTGCGGGTCTGCTACGTGGAATCGCTTGCAGACCAGCTTCACCGGGTAGAAGTCCTTCACAACGCGGGTAAGAGCACCATACCGACCGTCTTTAGCCGCCTGCTCCCGAAGAGTGAGCTCTTGCGCCACCTCCACCTCCGTCGTCGCTTTGGCGAACTGAGGTCCCTTGCTGGCATCAAAAAGATGCAGGCCGGGCTTAGCCTGTTTCATATCTGAAGCAGCCAGAGCTGAGCTGCCCGAGGTGAAGCGCGAGGACATCGCATACGACATGGGTTTGAAGATGCGGGCCGAAGCTGCAAATGCTGCCAGCTCTTTGTTCACCTCATCGACGCTTGTTGATGGAAGCAATCGGGGGTTAGGATGTTTGGTGTTGTGCTGCTGAGAAACAAGATATGATCGATACCGCTCCTGCTTCTCGAGATCGTCGCTATAGGGCATAAATCCCTGAAGGGCAGACGAAGCTGTGCGAGGAGACAGTGGAGGAATGAAAATCTCCGTTGCGCGCTCTGGAGGAACCTCGGGCTCAGCTTCCATGGAGAGTGTCGGTGGTGGTGCGGCCGCCTGGCGTGCCTGTGCTGCAATCGCCTCCAGGCGCTCTCGGTCCTTCACGGACATGTAGTCCCAGACAGATTTGGCGTTCGCAACTTTCGTGTTCTCACCAAGAGCTTGTCCCCTCTGCCCATGAGTGAGTGGTCGGCCAGGGGCACCACGAGCAGACACGCCAGCTTCGTCCACCTTCTGCGTCTTCCAGACCCTGGCAGGGTCCGGCTTCCAATCCGCTGCAACATCCGGGAAGCCCCACCTGAGCGTAAGCGCCTGATGTAGAACCTTCCTTACCATTTGTCTTTGGGAACTCCTCTCGGGTCTAGCACAAATCCTCGCAGTATGGGACGTCCGTCGTGCCAATGGTTTTCGTCCTGCACTCGTGGGCGATCAGACCGGTCCGACTGTTGCCCGACCATGACCACGTTGTCTTCGTCTTCATCATCAAAAGCGTAGACCGTCCTGTCGGCCCCAGAGGTTGTAGTATAGGCGTCTTCCTCGTCATCCTCACCAGGCCCCGCTCCGTAAACACCCCGCTTTCCTGGCAGCGGCCCCATGCCCCTTCCCTTTTGAAAGCCGAGACCTGCTTTGTCGTCTTTAGAAGCGTACGTGAGAAGCTGGGTATCTCTTGGCGCGTATGTGTGCTTGCTTGCTTCCTCAGGCTCCTCCTCAATTTCGAGACCTGCCCGCGCTCTGCCGAGCTTGCCCTCCTGTATCCGGAGCTTGCGAAGGGTCACGCGCGGTCCTATACCCTGACCTGGTCGCCAGCCCAGCTTTTGAAGTAGAGCATGTCCCATAGAGGTTTTTGAAGGAATGATAAGCGACTGAAGAGCCGAAGGAAGACTGATGTTAGCCAATCCAGCACACCATGCACATACCCTTGCTCTCCGGTGCTTTTGCGAAACCCGGCGAATCCATCGTCCTTGAACGTGTCGGTATTCTCGAGCTTCCTGTCATCGTTCATCTGCTGAAGATCTTCGTCGTCCATGAAGTCCTCTGGACGCTGCTGATGTTGCGACCGGTTGGATCGTGAAGACTTGAACGTGCTCGGAGCCCATCCTGAGGTTAGCTAGAGGGGCTGGCTGATCGACATACCTTCCTTCGAACCAGCGGTGTTGAAATACCCAGCAGACCAGCCGCCAGTAAAGGCTCCATGAAATCGTCTTCGGCCCTTCTCATCGCGTACCTGCTGTTAGAGTGAGCCTGCACAGTCAGCTCACCTCTTGCTCCCAAACCGGTAGGTACTCTTGCTTGTCCTTCTTGTGGTCCGCGAGAGCTGGCAACGGCGTTCCGATCTGCAGTGAGCTTTAGGTATTGAGGTTCAACCTACTTGAACAAACGACTCATTCAGGTATGAGCTTTTGAGATTGACATTTTCGAGCTCAAGCCTGTGCTTGAGCCTCGATGTCATCGTTGGCGAGTGTACAGTGACGACACTGCAGTTGCAGCACGCCGACTTTCTGATGCCGCAAAGCGACACAGGGTGGCTAAATTGAAGGCATCCTTAATGGCCATTAGAAATCACTGCTGGTCAACTCTAATTGCATTTGGCCGATATTGGTCCCGGCATCGGCGATGTGCGGCGCCGCGCAGTCGGCCAGGTCATAGCCGAGATGCCCATCGAAGCGCTCTCAACATTCTTCATCATCCATTCAACATGACGAGACCTATTGACCGCGAGACAGCGGCGGTGCTCGAACCATTTCTTCAGGCGCTGAGGTCAGACAAGACGCTCACCATCCCCAAAGCGACTCTCCTCGGTGCCCTTACCCACTTTCTTTCGCTCCTCGACGGCGATAACCTCGAGGCGTACGTTCAGGATCTCTTGAGTTCGCCGTCTCTTTGGGATGCGGTGACAACTCACGACATTGAGAACGCTGTTCGCTCGGCTCCTGCCTCGAAAGTCGCAATTCTCAAACCGAAAATCAAAGACACGTTCTTTAAACGCAACCGAGTGGCCAAGGCCTCACAGGAGTGGCTGGGCGATCTCGTCAAGGACCTGCATAAGTCCGGCAACACCGAGCGTACTCTGCCTATCCTCGTCGGCATTCTCAACGGTATCTCAGATGTGAAGGACATCGACTGGGGCAAGCCGAGACTAGAGCTGGAGGATACGCTGGTCATTACGCTGGCGGAGCGATTGGAGAAGGAGAAGGGCGATGTTGATGTGCTGCGGCTCTTCAGCTCGGTTGCGGAAGACATTCAACCGGAGCGGCTGAGAGTGCTTGACCTGAGGGTGAGTGAAAGTCTTCCTTCGCTGCGACTGACTGTCAGACTTTGACGCCGGAACTTCAGGACGCCCTGTTTAGGTCGCTCGAGCCGGGCTCGACCGCCGACGCACAGGACAAGTTGGCCGATGCGGAAGACTTTTCGATCGGCCTGTCGTCCGCCATCGAGGCGCTGGCCAAGGGTGGCTCGAGGAGTCAGGAGTACGCGTGGAGTCAGGTCGAGGCGTTTACGAGGCGAATGTTCCTCTCGTCGGAGCTCTTCGATCAGGAATGGTCTGGTCTTTCAAAGCCGGTTATCGGAGGACCAGGTACGTCATCTGGCTTCAGGATGTATTGCTAATAAGCAGAATGGGAGCGTCAGAGGGCGGCCCTGTCTGCGTTCTGCGAAGTCGAGTGGCCGGTCGTCGAGCGGCTGATCGCTATCTCCGAGCGTAGGGTCGGGACGGAGCAGACGGTGGACCTCGTTACTCTTATCATTCGCACTCTCAGCAAGTTCACTCCCGTTACTGAAGAGGACCAGGAGCCCGTTGACAACTACGAGAAGACATTGTACGGCGCCTTCGACATCCTTGCGGGGGAGGGAGGCGGCCGCGCTGTGCGCGCTCTCTTCGACCACCTCGAGAAGAAGGAACACATTTCTGACTCCTACGCCGCCTTCGTTCTGACTGTTGGCGAGCAACTGGTCAGGATGGTCGACTCTCGGACTATCCGCGACTTCCTCCTGCCGTTGGCTGACAAGTGAGTTTGGTGTGGCCTATGGGAAGCTTACTTCTCCAGGTATGTCGTTCGGCCGCAGCACAAGTCGAGCTTCCAGTCTGCGTTCGCCTTTTTACTTGCGCTCGTTGACGCTGCCTCCTCGCATCTAGAGTTCGACCCGAGTCAGGGTGGCTTCGTGGAGGCGATGGTTTACTTTGTGGCGCACGCTCTTTTGCGCGAGAGCAAGGACGGCAGTGTGACGACAGAGCAGCTGCGGCAAGCTTATCCCCAGCTTGTCAAGTGCGCAAGCCGGCGCAGCCCCGAGCTGGTGCACCAGTGCATCACGCTTCTGAACAAGACCGACTTCACAACCCCAGAGTACCAGAAGGCCGTGGACGCGATCCGTGTTGGGCTCATCCCCGCTGTCCCCGCGCCGGCGATGGGGGAGTACCTCGACAAGATTGCGAACCTAATCCTGTCAACGCCGAAGGGATCAGAGGAGCGCCTGGAGCTCTCGTCCCTTGCCTTCAAAGCTGTCATTCAGGAGATGCCCGATGAGACGAAGCAGCAGGGCATCGACTGGTGGCTCAAGCACCGCCGCGTGTTCGACGGTAAGGATGAGCCCTCCGCTAGACTTTAACCTTACGTTGTATTCTTCATCATCTCCAACGTAGATGTACTACAGTTTATCTCAGACTCTAAGCAGACCAGATACTGGGCAGAGGACTGACCGGCACCGGGGAGCAGTCGGATCCGGAGCTCAGGGTCGGATGAGACGCGTCAGGACAGCACCCAATCGCGACCAGACAACCACCACACCTCCACCGCGGGCCGCTTCCTGGTCATGGCGTCCTGTCACATCGTCTCCGTCGCTCGTTGGGCCATGCATGGGGTAAGAAGAAGGCCAAAAACGAGAGAATGCCCGGGATCGAACCGGGGACCTACGGATGGTTGCTGAATTGCAATCCGCCGCTTCTACCGCTGAGCCACATCCTCCGAGCTACCTGTTGCTGATCGCCGCAGTTGGCGGCGTACCTGTCCACGAAGGCGCCTTTCTCGCTGTGCCGATAGCAACGCAAGACTCCGCCGATGTGGGAGGACTTAGTGAGGTCTGCTGCGGCGCAATGCATGCCAGATAGCACGTATTTTCTATTGCGGGGGTTGGGTGAATGGTTTGGGGAGGTTACACCATGGGACTAGGATAGGGCGCTGAGTTGCCAACCCGATCAACAGGGTACCCACCACCAGCCTCATACAGGGAAGGGCAGTATTAACGTCGACGACGATAAGCAAGTCGTCGGACCGAAGTCTCGGCCCTGGCTCCTCACTTCGTACTCTCTCGCGACAGCCATGGGACTCCCCTCCTTCACGAACCGCTACAGCAATCACCTGGCAGGTTGGTACTTACCTGTGTCGAATCGCTCCAGAAAGTTTCCGCGCCTCCTCAACAGCGCACCGCGATGCTGTCCAGGGCGGGGTGCCAATCACAAGGTAACCACATCCCTGCGTGTCGAGGATGGCGGACTGGCCTCGTGCGTCCTCACTGCTGAGATAGGCAGCCATGCTGGCGGGTGGAAGCCCCGTCGTACCAAGACACACTGCATCCGATCTACTTGCAGTTAGTGGTCTTCCGTTCCCATGCCACCGGTCGTGCTTGAGCTTGGGCTGTCTAAACAGATTGTTCCGGTACTGATCTTCGGGGGGTTGAGGGGGCGCGGATGGCATCCTTCACAACCACGCTGAAGACATGTGCCACACCTTGGAGTATGCTATCCTCCGTCATCGCGTATGCTGCAGTGTCCTCCTTGAAGGTTTTTTTTTGTATAACTCTCGCGCTTCCATGACCATGCGGGCAGCATGACCTCAAGATGGCCCGCTCATCTGCTTGGCATTGTTGAGGGACGATGCTCGGCCGCTCTAGTGGCATTTAAGAAGCAACTTTCACCATGCTTTAAACTGCTCTCCACGTCACCTCGTATTAAGCTCTCTACTCAGTAGTGGTCGGTATCTCATCTCGGAGCAGCCCTTATGCCTGTCATTGCATGGGTACGCGCACAACTGCAGAGCCTGGCTGCAGTCACGTGCGCGCGCGCTCACGTCAGCCAGCGAGCAGTCGCGCAAGAGGATGTGGCTCAGCGGTAGAAGCGGCGGATTGCAATCACAAGCAATTATCCGTAGGTCCCCGGTTCGATCCCGGGCATTCTCTCGTTTTTGCATCTGATTTCTTCATCTGGAAAGGCGGGAGGAAGACGCGCTTGGTTGTTGATACTGGCGGCCAACCTCTGAACGTCCCTGAGAAGTCAGTGGTTTGATTTGGTTCCGCTGCCGGGGACATAGCACTGATGACACCTCCACCGGCATCCCGACCTGGCACATTGCGATCTCACGAGGCACAGCCTGTCCGTGCTGGGTTTAGGCTCATCGCGGTGGGCAATGTGGGATGCAGGGCATGCCCTCACGATCCATGCCAGCATGAATCTTATCTGAACCGATCCCAATCTCTGATCTCTCGATACGGTCGATACGGTCGATTCGGGCCATGAGCTCGTTACGACCCTGGGGGATTTCGCGATGCCATGCGATGTCATGTGAGTCAGTTCCAGCTCGGTGACTTCTCGGCTTCCTGGCTGACTATTTTGGGGGAGGATTCCAGTCTCATGTTGAAAGTTCCTGGTCCAGATCGGAACAAGGGGAGGTGGGAATTGCAACGGGTGACGAGAGGATGCTGGACCGCATGGCACTGATGCGGCCGGGGCCATCGGCTCGCTCGCCAAGCAAGGCCGGCTGATCCCTGGCCCACGGGCGTAGGACTGGAGGTTGGGAGCCTGAGAACGATAAGGATCACGTGTGGTCGCTGTCTGTGGGCGTGCGGCGGGCGTGCGGAGACGTCGGCGTTCGTATCAGCCAAGCCACTGTCGTAGCCTGACAGGTACGACGAGGACAGCCATAGGTCAGCCGTCGGTTATGATGCCGCATGACGGACGCCGGTGGTTTGCCTTCGGAACAATTCTGGGTCAGACAGCATGTGACATTCAGCAACCGCTATGAGCTATGCAACCGATAACACGGTGGGCGTCAGCCTTAAGAAGCAAGCTAGGCCGCCTGCTTCGCACCTTCCCCAACTTATCCGCTACCACTATGCAGGCGCAGAAGCACCGAACCGCCGTCCACATCGACCCCTTCAAGCCCGCTGAGGGGCAGAAGGGCCTCATGAACCGCTGGCATCCCGACATCCCCGCCTTCTGCTCTGTGAAGCCCGGCGAGGTGTTCAACGTCGAGTGTCACGACTGGGTCGGAGGACAGATCGGCAACAACGACAGTTCGGACGACATCAAGGTAGGTTTCTTTCCCGATAAACCAGGCTGACGGGCAGAATGTCGACCTGACTAAGATCCACAATCTCAGCGGTCCCATTGCCGTCGAGGGAGCCAAGACGGGCGATGTGCTTGTCGTTGACATCCTGGACGTCACGCCGTTCCCCGACATGCAATGGGGCTACACGGGCATCTTCGAGAGTGTGTACAATCCCTGTACCCAGCTAACGTCCAGAGACCAACGGCGGTGGCCTGTTCGCTAACGAGTTCGACTCCAAGGCTGCCAAGGCTGTGTGGGACTTTGAAGGCATCTACGCGACCTCGCGTCACATCCCCGGAGTGCGTTTTGCGGGCATTCCTCACCCTGGCCTGATTGGCACTATACCATCGCAGGAGCTACTCGACAAGTGGAACAAGCGTGAGGGCGAGCTCATCGCCGCCAACGAGGGGTGCTGTCCTGAGGTCGCTCTGCCTCCGACCGCGAAGGGTGCCTACGTCGGCCAGGACCTACCCGACAAGGTGCGCGAGAAGGTCTACAAGGAGGGCGCCCGTACCATCCCTGGTCGTGAGCACGGTGGCAATGTCGATATCAAGAACCTCTCGCGCGGGTCCCGCTGTTACTTCCCGGTGTACGTCGATGGGGCCAACCTCGCTGTTGGCGACCTCCACTTTTCGCAGGGCGATGGTGAGCTTTCGTTCTGTGGTGCTATCGAGATGGTAAGTTGAGAGTGAATAGAAGCGAACTGAGATCAGGCCGGTATCGTGACCCTCAAAACCAGTATCATCAAGGACGGTGTCAAGAAGCTCGGTCTTCGTCAGCCTATCTTCCTCCCCTCGCCCATCGACCCGAAGTACCATGAGCAGATAATTTTCCAGGGTGGGTCATAGTTCTGGCTAAACATGCTGACTTTACCCAGGTGTCTCGGTCGACGTCCACGGTGACGGCAAGCAATACAGCATGGACGCAACCGTCGCGTACAAGCAGGCGGCGCTGAACTGCTTCGACTACCTGAACCGGCTCGGCTACAGCCGCGAGCAGGCGTGTGAGTGGATCCAAGACCAGAGCACCGCCTCTCCGTACTGACGGCAGACCTCCTCTGTTCGGCTGCACCTGTCGAGGCGCATGTCGGAGCGATTGTCGATGTCCCCAACGCGTGTGTCACGATGGGCTTACCGCGCGCAATCTTCGATCGGGACATCCTGCCCACCGAGGACGGTCTTGAGAAGCGTGACTACGGCCAGGCGGCCATTCGCTCGGATGGTGTGCGCTGCAAGCAGCCTAATCTGAAGTAGAAAGCCGGTCCGCTTCAAGCGGGGCCGGCCATCGAGCCGGAAGCCATCTAGATCGTTCCGTGTTTGCCGGACGACGGTGACGAAACGGCATCGGAGTGGGCGCGGAGTCGGGGATAGGATGAGCTCGGTGGGGGTGTCGGTGACGGAGATGTCCATAGTCGGGAGCTAGTTCCGGGGTAGCTCCGTACCTCCGCGCGTGCTCGCTCGGATGTGCGTTTAGAACGCTCCGAAGTGTGTTTTGCCAAGCCGTGGAGACAGGGGAGGTGAATTCAGTTAGCGGGGAATGCAGAAGAGCAGAGTTATGTCACAGAACATTCCGAACAACAGAGCCCTGGCACAGCAATGCGGCAAATGCGCCTCTGCCCAGAGATCCAAGAAGCACGGCTCGCCTACGGATCCGAGCGACCGATCTCTGGTCGTCTTCACCCGATCCATCTGTGTGCATGACCCCGATGCGCCTTTCTCGCCTCCGACTGCGTATATAACCAGCCAGCGCAGCAGACAGCATGCACCACTCACCACAGACTCCCCGCTGCGCTGCCTCTCATACAAACAACCACTTCCAGCCCTTCTTTCCACCACGACCGCAATGCTGCTCAGCACCGTCGCCTTCCTCGCCGTCCTCGGTGCCGTCTCCGCCGCGCCTGCTCCGCAGTCCTCCAACCCTCCTGTCAGCTACGACGGCCGTCAGCTCCGCTTCAACCTGCAGCTGAACAAGTGTCTCACTGCCCGTAAGGTTGAAGTCGGCTCCGAGCTTGGAGTGTAAGTCTGAGAAGCTGGTGCTATACTGACACCCAGCGCCGCTTGCGAGGAGAAGCCTGGCCAGCTCTTCGACACCGGCCCTCCCTCGACCGTCGGCGTCATTCGTGTCAAAGGCACCAACCTCTGCGTCGACGCCGGCGACTGTAAGTCACTCTCCACACCACTCCTCTCCACCCTTTCATCACGTTCTATACTGACGATTAGACAACTGCAAGACGAACGGCGTCAGGCTCACTCTGCAGAACTGCGGTGAGGGAGCTTGGGGTGCGCAGGAGTGGTGGCAGTCGACCAACGGCCGCATCGAGCTCGCCGGCCCGGTCACGCACGCGCACCAGATGCCGCCTCGTTCCGGGTTCTGCTTCGACCTGACCGACGGCAACGAGGCGACTGGCTCGGTTCAGATCTGGAAGTGCTACGACAACAACCCGAACCAGCGCTGGGACCTGGGCCCTTGGTGCCGCTTCTGCTAGGCGGAGTGAGTATGTACATAAGCCGATCGTAAGAGTGACACGGACACTTCAACTTCTAATAGTCATGAATGAAGAACAATGCATGTGTGTGATCGCAACGTAACATAGTTGATCCCGAACGTGTCGGCGCTGCATATTGCCCGGAAATGTCCAGAAATGAGACGAAATTGGCTCGAAGTGCCTTGTGAGGGTGACTCACGTGACAGTCCGTGCGTCGACGTCCTCTTGCATCGCTGATCAACGAGCTGCATTCCAGGAAGCCGTTGGGCTAACTCCTGTGGGCTGCATGCATGCATTCCAGCGGAAGCCGCCGCCGAAGGCTGCAGGAGTGCGACGACTGTGCCCAATCAAGCGAAGATAACGGCCACGCGAGACTAGGTGGGACGGCGTTTCGGCGTTATACACCCATCAGCCAGCTATCAAAGTGGCACGAATCGCTTGGTGATGCACGTGACTTGCAGTTCTGAGCCTGCAACGCCTGGCGGACAGTTGCTACGAGATTCAATGTCGCGAGAACTTGACTCTCTTTCTCCACCAAAATCTAGCGGCTTTCGGTTTGCGGCCCCATCGTTCCACTTCCTCATCTGGTGGGTCTTATTTTGCGTTTCAAGAACTCCGTCGCTGACTTTGCGCAGAGACCTTTGTCCATTTCGAGGATTTTTGTTTCGAGTTTGCAAGCCCCTTACAACTCTTAATCGTCTACCCGACTTTTAACAAGCAAAAAATCCATCAAAATGTCCAACCTTCCCGCTGCTCTTAACGCCACTGAGGACGACATCCAGCTCCTCCTTGCTGCCCAGGCCCACCTCGGCACCAAGAACTGCGACAAGTCTATGGAGTCGTACGTCTGGAAGCGTCGTGCCGACGGTATCCACGTCCTCAACATTGGCAAGACCTGGGAGAAGCTCGTCTTCGCCGCGCGTATCCTCGCCGCCATTGAGAACCCCAACGACATCTGTGTCATCTCTGCCCGTCCCTACGGTCACCGTGCCACCCTCAAGTTCGCCTCGTTCACTGGTGCCCAGGCGATCGCCGGCCGCTTCACCCCCGGTTCGTTCACCAACTACATCACCCGTTCGTTCAAGGAGCCCCGTATCATTGTCGTCACCGACCCCCGTGTCGACCACCAGGCTATCCGCGAGGCCGCCTACGTCAACATCCCCGTCATCGCCTTCGCTGACACCGACGCCTCGCTCAAGTTCTGCGACGTTGCCATCCCCTGCAACAACAAGTCGCGTCACTCGATCGGTCTGATGTGGTACCTCCTCTGTCGTGAGGTCCTCCGTCTCCGTGGCCAGGTTCCCCGTGGCCCCACCGGCCCCTCTGGCTGGGACGTTCTTCCCGACCTCTTCTTCTACCGCGACCCCGAGGAGATCGAGCGCGAGCAGCAGGAGAAGGCTCAGCAGGAGGCCGAGGCCGCCGAGGAGGCCGCTGCCCCCGCCGCCACCAACGAGGAGTGGACCGGTGCTACTGGCACCGACGCCGCCTTCGCCGCCCAGCCCACCGACCAGGCTCTTGACTGGTCCGCCGAGCCCCAGGGTGGAGACTGGGCCGCTGAGCCCGCTCAGCCCGCCCAGGACGGCGCCACCGGTGGCTGGTAAATCTGAGCTTCCTAGCTTGTAAGGGACAGCGTGACTGTCTCTACGGTTTGGAGTGCAAAGAAATCTATCTTTCTGTTCTGTAGTGATGTACATTACAGATGCGATTGACCCGGTTTATTGAGATACCATCTGCTGCAGATCACGAGAGCAGCGAGACGATCCGCAACCTAAATTTCATGCCACGCTGCTGTCCTAGTGAGAACGCGTGGGACCTCTGTCAGTCACGTGATCCACCAGTCTCAACGGTCCAGCCGGGGCCGAAAGATTGGGTTCCCCGGCAAGGAAGGCTTTCCATGAGATTCCGTTATCTGCGGGGGACGCAGGTGTCACCAGAGATCGTTCTGCCGTACGAGGATGACTAACTGACAGTGAAACATGCGCGCAGAGGTATGCAGGTGCCTAGCTTGGAGAAGCGCGCCTGGCATGTATGTGGCCGGCGGGCGGAGAGTTCTGTGCTTTGTAATCTGGGCGCTGGAGGAGAGATTAGATGCTCGATTTGAGGAATGACGCCATGAGCCTGGCGTCTTGTGCCGACGGTCATCTGCGCCCCCAACTAGCGTCCTCATACGCGCATGCACGAAGGCATGAGCACGTCTTCCGATCACTCTCTTGGCTACGCTGCAGGCGTAGCCGCGTGCTCAAGCGCAGAGCAAGCCAACAGACGAATGAACGTTCAAAGCCGGCGGTGATGACCTGTCTGCGACATTGCCTCGGTGAGGGCACGGTCAGCTCGGTAATCAAGCGTGCCTTGTTTTGTCATCCTGGCCCCGGGGGCGTCATAGGCATCCGCCGGGCCAACGGGCGCCAGCACCTCTTCCCACCGCAGATATATATAAACCTCCTCGTGCTGTTCCTCCCCTTCCGAAACTTACTGCATGCCCATCCGCCCCGTCGCCAGTGTCGCCCGCCCTCTCGCTCGCTCACTGCTCACCTGCGCGCAACGCCCACCGAAAGCCACCCGCATCTCGCTGATCTCGGCTCCCATCGCCTTCCCCACACCCAGACTTAGCGCTCGCACCATGTCTTCCTCGGCTGCTGCGACTACCCACCTCCCCAACCCCGAGCCCAGCCCCGCTGGCCAGGTTCCCGGCCAGGGCAAGCCCAACCTCCACCTCTACACCTGGGGCACGCCCAACGGCTACAAGGTCTCGATCCTGCTCGAGGAGCTCCGCGCCGCCTACCCCGAAGAGGCCAAGAACAAGCTCGCTTATGACATGATCCCCGTCGACATCAGCACGAACGTTCAGAAGGTGAGATTAATCCTACCAGCTATTCGGCAGAGAACGTCAATGGCTAACTCCAGACCCCCGAGTTCCTCAAGGTCAACCCCAACGGACGCATTCCTGCGCTCATCGATGACAGCCAGAACAAGCTTGACGTCTGGGAGTCTGCCAGCATCGAGCTCTACCTGCAGTCGCAGTACGACCCGGACAACAAGTTCTGGTTCTCGGACGTGAAGGGTCGCTCTGACGCCCTCTCGTGGATCTTTTTCGCCCACGGCGGTGTCGGCCCCATGCAGGGCCAGGCGCACCACTTCTACCGCTACGCGCCCCTCAAGATTCCCTATGGCATCAAGCGCTACATCGAGGAGACGGAGCGCCTGTACTCTGTTCTGGAGGCCGGACTCGAGAAGGGCAATGGCTGGCTCGCGGGCGGCAAGTACTCGGTCGCCGACATCAACGTCTACCCCTGGGTCCGTAGCTACGCCTGGGCCGGCATCGACATCTCCAAGTACCCCCGCCTCGGCAAGTGGATCAAGACCATCGAGGAGCGCCCCGCTGTCCAGAAGGGTCTTACCGTCCCCAACCCCCCGCGCGCTGGCACCAGTGAGGAGGAGCTCGAGAAGATCGCTGCCGACGTTGCCAACTGGAAGGACAAGGCGGAGAAGGAGCTCGATGACGAGAAGAAGAAGCTCGAGCAGGAGAAGGCCCAGAAGAGCTCTTAGGGTGTGCTGATATGTAGCGTATGCACCGTCTTAAGATTGAATCGATTGTTGCAATTGACAGCAGGAGCAGTCGCGGCACGTGGCATCTGTCTGTCGACCTCTCTCGGCACTGGACCAGTGTCGCGAATGCTGTGAGTCCGCTTACCACAAGAGGACTGACCGGCGTCGACAAATGCTTGCAGCCTGAGAGAGAACTCATGGCATTAACCAGGCGACAGTGCGCTTTCGCTTGGAGAGAACGCTTGCAGTGGCGTGCAAGGCTAGTATGTTGACGGCTGACTCAAGGGGCAGATTCACTCCGTCTTTCGAGGGCTAAGCTAGCACGTCGCGCTCTCGCTCCTGGAACGTTGCACAGCTGTTCCGTCTCGTTGCGGACACATTGTTCCTGCCCCATGGACCCTTCTGGGCGGCCCATACAGGACGATCGGTCCCAGGTGCAGGAGGACTGACACCGACGACCTCCTCCCCACCGTTCCTCCTCCAGCCCATCTGATATGCCCAGCCTTCTGCTATCTGCCCCTCTCGCACTCAGCAGCATACACACAGGCGTGCCCCGACCTGCTCCGCTGTTCTGCACCACTTTGCCGTCTGCCGCGTCCTATAAGAGGCAGTGAACACACACGTCCACTTCTTTTCCTTCTCCGACCACAGCCTCTTTAACCCTTTACCTCAATCCACCACCACTGTGCGTCCTACACGATGGTGAAGTCGCCCAACAAGGTTCAGGCAAGACAGGTCCGCCACATTCAGGACATCCCTGTCGACGAGACTCCTAACCTCCGCGAGCGAAGATACTCCTTCTGCTTCGACAGAGAACGGAGGGAGCAGAAACAGCGCCGAGGCCGTGGGAGGAACAAGAACAACGACTCGGCGACTCTAATCAACCCCCCAATCAGTCAGTACCTCGCTTGGCCCGGTCGAGGGGACAAACTAACGGCAGACCGCGACCCGACAATGCCGCCCAAGCAGGGCATATACTTTAAGAAGCGTAGCCTTCAGGCCCTCGAGACTGCTCAGGCTGGGCAGGGGTCGAGCTCCGACTCGGTGGACGATTCCTCGGCCGACCAGGCTTCTGACGCCTCGCTGCAGTTCTCTAAGCGCCAGGTCTCGGCTCCTCCTGCCGTCGCTGCTCCGGCCCCCGCTCCACAGTACGCCAACCGGTGGCGCAAACTCACTTCCGCCTCCTCGTCGTTCCTTCAGCCCGCCTCAGACCAGGTCGCTCAGAACACGATGAGCCAGTTCGGTGGCGTCTGCATTGAGTGGAACGCATCCAAGAAGGTCCACGACATGAAGGACAAGAACCTTGTTCCTGACAACAGCCCGCCCTGCGAGTCTGCACCCGACTCCGAACCGCGGGACACCACCGCGAGTGTCCCTAACGCCAATGTCACCGAGAACTACGGCGTCCAGGACAAATGCAGCCACGACTCGCGCAACGACGTACACCTCCCCCTCGGCGCCAGCTTAAGCTCTACCGCTGTCCTCCTTTCCAGCAGCAACAGCGAGCAGGTCTACGTTCTGCGTCACGACAAGAATCAGGAACAGGCCACCGACTCCAACTCCGCGTCTGGCCGTCTACTGCTCTTGCCAGCCGCGTTCTCAAGCCCCGCACCCTACGCCTCTGTCGTCCGTAACTCGCAGCTGATGCGCATCGGAGCGCTCTACGATGCGGACCCAACTCCCCGTTCCCAACGAGGCAAGCAGAATTACAAGAAGAACAAGAAGCAGCGCGGCAAGCAGAGCACCAAGCAACAGCTCGCGCCCCGCAGTAAGGCGAGGAGGACTTCTGCCGACGACCCCAACACCCCTAGGCCCGCCCATGATCTGTTCGTTGAAGAAGAGGAGGCGCTCATGGAGCCTTCCCAGTCTCTGAATGCGAATGCGGATAGCTCGGTCGCTGAGACCGATCGTGGAGAGTGTGAGACCGCGCTTGCGACGGACGCGGACCACGGTGCCGAGAACCAGCACGGCGGGACCAACGCGGAGGTTGACACGGCTTTGTCTCTCCTCCAGCTCTCAGCTTTGGGGCACAAGACTTTCGCCGGCCACATGAGCATCGACGAGTGGCCCCTGTCCTTCTCCCGCTCCCGCTCGTTCGGCTCGCTCCACTCGCTCGACTCACAGCCTCCCTCCCCCTTTGAGCCGGGTGCTAGTAATACCGCCAGCTCCACTCAGTGGACCGTCGAGTCCATTGCCGAAGAGATTTGCGCGGACACCGACCGCATCATCAATGACCGCTCCGTCTCGAGTCCCGCGTCCTCGCCCGAGCCAGAGCCTCGCACTCCCGTTGGGGCCATCTTCTCGGGGTCGAATGACAAGGAGACTTGGTACGCGATCACGGACTACGACATCGACGCTGCTGGCGACACAATGATGGACCCTGGCCTCATGGACGTTATCGTGGCCAAGGATGCCGATCCCGCCGCCGATGACGAGCAGTCCCTGGCCCCGCAGCAGGGCGTCAAGCGCAAGCGCAAGGAGTCTTCATTCTCCGACTCTGACAGTACCTCCTGGGATCGCGACAAGAGGACTAGGGCTGCCCGCGAGTGCTTGAATAAGGCCATTGGCCTCCTAAAAAGTATTGCGGGTGAGAGCTACAGGGCAACGATCGAGGCTCTGGAAAGGGAGTATGACGCACTGTACAACGCCTAGCACTAGACGCATAGTCATCATCTGTATGGGTGCTATACGCGCAGTCACGTGCGATGAGTACATGCGCAAGTGCTGACCAGATCTATTGTCTACGTATAAGCGTCTCCATGTTGTCTGTAATGAGTTCCTGCCATAGTTTCTACGTAATGCGTTGTAAGTGAACGAGTGGAGGCGATCAAAGCCCGCAGCATGTTGGCGTGTGCGCGAGTCATCTGACACTGACTTAGCGAGTGAGCATGACGACGAATGGTAGGAAGTTGAGCGACGAGGGTTGACAGTGGAGGGCTGTCGTGCCCGCGCCATTGGCCGGTGTGGCACCGTTCCTCCTCTGACAGGGTAGCCTTCCTCCAGGCTTTCCTGAGCTCCTCTCCAGCCAAACTCACTCTGCTCGTCTCTCTTTGAACCGGATCACTAACATGCTTCCTATCTGTCTTGTGATACCCGCAATTACTCCATGACCATTATGCATGGAGCGTCAAAAACTCATCAAGCTGCCGCGCCCCGACGCTCCCGTGAGCGTCTGAGCAACGCCTCCTCCGGTTTGATCGTATAACGGTTAGTACACAAGATTCTGATTCTTGTAATCTGGGTTCGATTCCCAGTCGGACCTTCTCTTTTGGCTCTTCCCGCTCCTATGCATGTGCTTTGGACAGGGCCAGATGCCTCCGTACGAGGGGAGCTGTTGGATTAACAGACTCTATGGTCGGATCAGTGCTAGCGACAGCACAAGGCGGCAGCAGGTGCGTATCCCTTCACAGGCTAAGGACATGCATATCACAATCAACTACTCTCGGCAGCAAGTGCCTTCGAGACAGTCTGCTGCTTGGTCAAGAGTTCCAAGACGGAGAGGAACTTGGTCTTGAGGACGGGGCGGGATGACGGCTCGCGAGGAGGCGTTTCGCCGTTGCGAAGTTCGGACAGGGTAGACGTCGGTGCAGAAGCTGGCACTGCAGGCATCATTGTCGCAGTGGGTGAGATCGGAGGGGTCAGTGGTTGCGGATGCTCGATCTCGTCGGTGCTGAAGAACCCGCGGCGCTCTGCAACGTTTGTCGGAGACAGGGGACTGGTCGGCTGCCCTCTGCTTGGTTTGCTTTTCAGCCTTTCTCCCACATCGACGGAGAAAGCATCACCTTTTGCGCGATGCTCCGCCATGTCTGGCGTCAGTAGCATCCTCGCTCCCACCTCACTGATCTTGTTCAGCTTGCAGTTCATCTCGTGCCTGAGCTTCTCGATACGCTGGTTGCGCTCCGTGACGTCCTCGAATAGCGCGTCGAAACGCAGCCCGCTCACACGGATGTCTTCAAAGGGATCCTCTGTTTTCGAGGTGTATTTGGCCTCCTTTGCCTCCCAGGTCTTGTCCATCGCTGCACGGCACTCGTCGATGAGCGCTTCGTACTCGTCGCGCACGCGCTTGCGTTTGGCGGCGAAGTTGCGAGTCATCGTTCTGGTGAGCAGACACGTCGTGAGCGAGTGTGTGAAGCAACAGGCAGGAGGGCATCAGCTGTCACATGCTGCTCTTCTTGGAGAATGCTGGAAGAAAGGCATGCACACTGGGGCGTTGAAGGTTGTGTGTCGGGGCGGATAACGCTGACGACATGAAGCTTGGATGTCAGATATCTTGGAAGGTAAGCATAGTACCAGAGTACGAGTCGCGCTTCGACAGTTCAACCTCATGTTCCGCGAGCTGCTGCATTGATGTGGACATGGTTCGTTGGCGAACAGTTCGAGTAGGCAATATTGTTGTCGCAACCGGAGATGTGTTACGAATAGACGATCCCAAGTAAAGCCGCCTTCACTGCCAGGGCACATCCGATTGACTGCTTAGAGTCTCGGCCAGGCATCCAGGGGTTGTTGACGTCCCGACGCTCGTTCAATCCTAACTGAGGAGTGAATGCCTTACCGTCGGTAACCGACATGATCCGCCATTTCAGATCCGCAGTTACTTGAGGACCAGATTCTCAGGGGTATCAAGATACAAGTTCGCCAGAGTCCAGATCGCCCAGGGAGATTTAGCCCGGCCAAGAGAACAAGTACAGTGTAGACGCAGTATGAACCCTTGGACCCATCATCCCGTAACGCGCAGCCGGATGGTTCTCGATCCGCCTCCACCTCTGCACGTCCCCGAGTTTGGAGATCCGACTCTCCACTACTTCACTCGCACTCCTCGGTGGCGAGCCTCACAGCAGTCGCGGTGGGCAAGCGACCTCAGACCGACGCTCGCAGAATGTCACTCGCCGACTGTGAGCGAGCTCCGGGACCCCCACTTGTCTCGATCTGACCTGCGACGCGTCTCCACCAAGAGTGGGAAGCGAGGACCGGGCCCCGTGACGGCATGCGAAGGAAGTCTGCTGTTGCGGGCACTGGGTTCAAAGATGTGTCGGTGCCTGGGCCCCAAGTATGCTTGGCGTTCCGGCGGAAAGACTAAGATCGGCAATCCGCACAACACTGCGCCTCCCAGACAATAGCGGATGTCTCTAGGTCCGCCCGCCTGCTCGCCGCCTGCAATGCTGGCAAGAAGCACTACCAATGCTGGTGCTTGGCATCAACGGCCTCCACTTTGTCCATGACCTTGGCGGATTCCGCAATGTCTTGTTCGGCCATCCCATGAAATCGATGGGAAGACAGAGAGGGAAAGCAGCAATATCAGCCGCCGCTGGCTGGAAGAGATGTGGTCCGGATTCGAAGTCCGGATTCCATATCCTAGAGACCTCACGTAGATCCAGCCCCAGATTCTACCTAGCTCAATCTTAGTGCGGAATGAGGTTTTGGGTTCTAGCCTCCCCTCACACTCTGGTCTCACAAGACGGTCAAAGGTTGCCCGCAGAGCAATGGTCATAACAAACCGACACTCCGGCGGAGAGCGTGTATCTGTGATCAAGTGCGTCGGTATCGGGATGTCTTGTCGGGGTGGGGGAAAGTGGGGCGGGTAATTCTCTCCAATAGCCCTCTGCGGTGCAGGCGTCCAGCCCTAATTCACAGAGTAGGTGGCCGAGATAGATTCCAGCGCTGGAGCCTAAGGCACTAGAACAGTGAGTGACGCCGAGTACTAGTCGCTCCGGCATTCGGGTCGCCCCTATCTTAGCCATTCCGCATAGTGTGGGGCACAGAGCCTCGGTCCTTGCACCACTGGCCCTTCAGAGCTGAGGGCTGAGACACTCAAGAGATCTCTCCATCTCCTCGCTAACCGTCACCTGATCTGCTGATACCGTTCCCGTGTCCAGCGGCACTGTCCACTTTGCAGCGCAACAACAGAGCGACAACCCAACCACAGCCAGCGCGCACCAGGCACCAAGAGCAGCCACGACGCCCTCCGATTCGGTACGGCAAAGCCTATCATCATCATCGCTGAACCTCCCTGGGTCAGGCGCGCCTGCGCCTCGGGTCACTCTAGATCACTCGCGTCTCGGGATGACCTGGGACTAGTCCCAGTCAGGCGTAAGGCTATACTGGGCTTCGATGTCTTGGCAGCGGGGTATCCTGAGGGGGCGCCGCGGGGGTGGCATCTAACTGTCCCAGGCATGTGACATCTTGCCCGTTCGACAACGGCAATCCGAACTCCAGTTCGCCGGCCATTGGCTGGCAGTCCGGCTGATGGCCGAGTACGTTGCGGCAGTTGCAACACTGGTCAGAAGCCGCAAAATGCCAAGAATCCGAAAGGCGCTTGTCGTAGCTGGGCCCACTGCTCCATTCCGCTGCGCTAGTTGAGCATATAATGACAGGGCGCCAAGTTCTTCGATGTTCCCCAGCCGCACGACCTCTATCCACCGCTCGCACGACCATTCGCCGCCATGCCGTCGTCGACCAACTCCAAGGAGGAGATCCGTCACATCGAGAGCCACCATGAGAAGGATTACCTCGACACCGTCCCCCACATGGAGGGCGTCATCGCCAGCGGAGATGATGTTGACATCGACGAGGGATTCGACCCAGCGTTTGTCAAACGGACAATGCGCAAGGTGGACTGGCGTCTCATCCCCATCCTCTCCTTGATGTACCTCGTCTCTGCAATGGACCGAGCCAACCTTTCTCTCGCCCGAGCTGCAAACCAGAAGCAGATGGACCGCGACCTAGGCCTCGACATCGGAAACCGCTACTCTATTGCGACACTGGCTTTCTTCATTCCTTACATCATCCTGGAGGTCCCCTCACAAGCCGGTCTTCGAGTGTTCGGAGCCAAGATCTGGCTCGGCGGAGCCACTTTGCTGTGGGGCGTGATGATGCTGTGTAAGTTGCTCCGCTTGCTTTGACCGCTGACAGATAGGCATGGGCTTCGTCAAGACTTGGCAGCAGCTCACTGCCCTCCGTGCCCTCCTTGGTGTGTTCGAGGCAACACTCTTCCCCGGAGCGGCCTACCTTGTCTCATGCTGGTACCCGCGCCGAAAGATGGCCTCGCGCATGACCTACTTCTTCATTGGTGCCATGTTCCTGCAGTCGTTCTCCGGAATCCTGTCATGGGGCATCAGCCACTTGCACGGACGAAACGGCCTGCACGGATGGCAGTGGATTTTCATTATTTACGGCATTTTGACCATCGCCATTGGAATCGGAGCCGTTATCCTCATCGTCGACTTCCCCGACAAGGCCTCCTTCCTGACCGAGGAGCAGCGCCTCATGGTCACCACCCGGATCGAGCGTGACCGCCGCGACGCCGTCTACGACAAGCTCACCGTCGCCAAGGTCGTCCACCACCTCCTCGACTGGCGTATCTGGATGTTCGGCCTCTTCTTCTGCGCGGCTGCAATGGTTATCTATGCTCTTGCGTATTTCCTCCCGCAGATTCTCGCCGGAATGGGCTTCGACAACAAGATGAGCCAGATTCTGACGACTCCGCCCAGCATCTACTCTGCCATTCCCGCCGTCATCTTCGCCAAGCTCGCGGACCGCCACAAGCTCCGCATGCACATGGTCTCCCTCAACGCCATCATTACCATCACCGGAATCTGCATGTTCTCTCAGCTCGGGAAGAACCAGCTCGCCGCCCGCTATGTGGGTGTGTTCCTCGCCACGGGCGGATGCCAGGCCTCCATCCCCCTCATTACGTCCTGGTCTCAAACCTGCATTCGCTCGCAGTCCAAGCGTGCTGTCATGTCCGCCACCGTTGTGGCCTGGGGTGGCATTGGTGGTATCCTCGCCTCCGTCACTTTCATGCAGAAGGAAGCTCTCAAGGGCTACCCCACTGGCATCTGGCTCACCGTCGGTCTTTCCGCCTTTGCTGCCGTCGGCGCCTTCTTGATGTGGTGCTGGTTCATGTACCAGAACAAGAGGGCAGGCCGTGGCGAGACCGTCATTGAGCACGACCCGGACTTCCGTTACCAGTAATGCTCTCGATTGATGGAGCGGAGGACGGTCAGAGGACGGTTGATATTATGGGAATCGAGTTACGTCTAGTCACCATCCAGGCAATATGTAATTGTATTCGAATGCAAATTAGTTTAATGCGTAAAATGAACAGCTTATTCAACGAACTGTCTGACCATTTGCTCGTCCAGCTCACATCTTTCTTCTACATCTATCTCACTTGCACGTCCAGCCCTCTGTCCTGCACCATCATCCACACGATGCGAAAATTGTGTCGGCGAATTTCGGGTTGATCGGTATTCAACCTCGCCTCCACCATGAAATTCACCGCGAAATCCAATCGGCACACACAACGGCTACACCGACAATAGAAGGCAGTTTTACGGTGCAAAAGAGCGTAAAACAGCAAAAGAGAATCTCTAGGTTCCTCCGGGGTTCGAACCCGGGTTACGGGAATGCTGTAAGGTCAAAATCCCGGGTACTAAACCACTGTACTAAGGAACCCAAATATGTCGCGTACAGCTGAAATCGCGGCGCACGTGGGGCCTATACATTTGAGGGGAGGAGTGTGTGGCACGGGTAAGGAGAGTGGCAGAGAGTACGGCTGCAGCCTCTATCATATACAAGACAGGCAATCTCACGATCACTCCCTCCCTTCTTCAATATTCCTCACCGCCCTGGCGAGCCCGTCGGGCTTTGGCGCTCTCTCCTCTCTCTCGCTCTGTACCTCGCGTTTCCTGAGCCCCATTTTGCCACGCAGGTGCGCCGCCCTCACTCGCCCTGTCCGTTAACCTGCACAGCCAGGCCAGCCCCGCCACGCCGCCTACACATGATCCTGCTGACGAGACCGACAGCTAGATATGTGATATGTGGGAGGTACTGAGTAGCGCCTGGCACCGGAAAGGGAGGTGGTAGAGAGTGATATCTGCTGCACCACCCATGCAGGCCGTGAGGGATTTAAGAAAGGCAGCATACGTCAACTCTCTCTCCGCATTATTGCTCGCTATGTCCCAGTGACTGCGCCGCAAGATTCCTGAGGCCTACATGGGAACATACTGAGGTAACAAAAACCAAGGTCCGACTGGGAATCGAACCCAGATTACAAGAACGACGCGATAGAGTCAGAATCTTGTGTACTAACCGTTATACGATCAGACCGTTGTTTTGCGACAGCCGCAGTGGCTCAGGTACTGTCACCTACGGAAGCAAACACACGCGAATGCCACGGCTGGTGCACGTTTTCCTAGTCAATCACAGGCACGACAAATCTCTCTAGCTCGGCGTCGGGCCTCCACTCTTGCCACTCGCTATCGCAGAAGTTGGTCTGAACCTACACAGCTCTCCTCGTTACCCCAAAACACCGAAACATGTCGGCAGATGCCTTCTTCGCGCCGGCAACGCACGCCCTCGAGGCTGAGGTCGAGGTCGAGGGTGGCGCTATGGCGCCAGACACGCTCTCCCTCGAGGAGGCGTTCGATGTCGAGGCTACTGCGAAGCTAATTCTTGACGGAGGCTACAAAGTTGTGAGTACGCTGTTATGATGTCTAGAGTTCAAACTGACAAAAGATCGGCCTGCAATTCCCGGACGAGCTCCTCCCGTCAAGCGTTGCTGTGTATCGCGCTCTGATGCGACGGATACAGTCTACCGGCGCACAGGCGTATGTTCTCGCCGACAGCACGTACGGTGCATGCTGTCCTGACGTCCTGTCGTGCTTGCACCTCCCGGCAGATCTGCTAGTGCACTACGGACACGCCTGCTTGACTCCGTAAGTCTATCCACTCCGTTTAAGTGGGCCTGCAGACATGCTGACGACAGCACGGACGCGCTCCCGGTGCACTACGTGTTCCCGCGTGCTGAACTCGACCCGACGACCGCGGCGCAGGAGCTCGTCGAGCTTGCGAAGAAGGAGGGTGACCTTGGAGACTCGGCTGGCGTTATTTGGGATGTGTCGTATGACTGGAGGGCGGACGAGATTGAGAAGGCATTCCGCGCCGTGCTCCCGGAGACTAAGCTCGAGTTCGCGCGGATCAACCGCCCCAGCCTCGTGAATGCGCGCAAGGAGCTGCCCACCGACCCTCCGCGAACAGGTGGATGCTGCGCGACGGATAAGTCGACGGAGGGGTGCTGCTCATCGGAGAAGACAGCAGGCGGGTGCTGCTCGACGGAACAGCCAGCTGGTGGATGCTGTTCTGCAGACCAAGCAGCGAACGGGTGCTGCTCCGCCCCGACAGCGGATGAGGCTGAGATGGAGGCGCAGTGCGAGGACGAGGCGTCTGGATCAGTTACGAGCGGTGCCGTTCCCGCCGCGGCGCCGCTAGCCAAGGCGCAATCCACTTCTGCCCCCGCCTTGCGCCGAGTACCGGCCGGCTCTGTCCTGTTCTACCTCGGCCCGGACTCACGCTCCCTGATGAATTTGCAGATGGAGCACTCCTCGACCCCCATCTTTGCGTACGACACCGATTCGGGAGCTCGCGCGATCACCGGAGCTTCGCGCCAACTCTCGCGCCGATTGTACGCCGTGCACCAGGCTATGGCTTCCGACGTGTTCGGTCTGGTGGTGGGCAACATTGGCCTGAAGAGCTCTCAGCCGCTAGTCCAGATGCTCCGCGACGAGCTCCGCGCACACCAGAAGAAGAGCTATACTCTCAGTGTTGGCCGATTGAACCCCGCCAAGCTCGCGAACTTTGCCGAGATCGACTGCTTCATCCTGATCGGATGTAGCGAAGGCGGCGTGGTCGACAACCCGAAGGACTTCCTGAAGCCGATTGTGACGCCGCACGAGGCACTGCTCGCTCTGCGTGGTGCCGATTGGGACCCGTCGAAGTGGACGCTGGACATCGACTCGGTGCTGCAGGAGGCGAAGGAGGGCAGGGACGCCGACGCGGGCGATGCGGAAGCCGACGGCGAGTCCCGCGAGAAGGACCTCGACTTCGACCTCATCTCAGGCACATACCGTGTGAAGCGGACATTCGTGGAGAAGGAGGACGACCTGGTGCAGGGCACGCAGGACCTGACGCTGCGCAACCAGCAATGGTCGCTTGCGAACCTCGAGAACTCGGCTGGTTCGCTCTTCCTCCAGAACCGTTCCTTCCAGGGCCTCGAGCCGCGATACGGCCAGGACGAGCCGTCGACGCTCGAGCAGGGCCGTTCCGGCATTGCCCGCGGATACACCGAGGAGAAGGACGAGCGACACCGCGAAATCCAGTAGAGCATATGCATGGGTTTGGGCTATAGCATACATTCTTGTGATGGCATGCGCGCCACTGGGGCGCACGCTTGGGCGTTCATTACTAATGATGTGGTAGGGTGATTGGGAATGTATGGCGGCACTGATGAAATGAGGGCATCAAGATATGGGGAAGTGCAGTGTCCGGCGCTCTATGGCAGAGTAGTTATGTTACAACTTTGTGACAAAGTGAGGGAAGGGTGTGGCTGAGAGGCATGAAGCGAAGGTTGTTGCGAGGGATAGAGGCGCAATAAGAAGATGATGGCGGTGTGGACTGTGAAACTTGATGAAGATTGTCTGGAACATGTGCCAGAAGAGACCCCAAAATAGCTGAAACAACTGGATGGATTGTGATTAAACGTTCCGGGCGAATGCGAGGGCGACGATGATCGCAAGGACACCGAGGCCGATCTGGAGGCTGGTCTGCGGCGACGCGTCAGATTCTGCGAACTTGTTTCGTCCGACGGAGCCGTACACGCCGTACGGGAGGGGAATACCGTTCGCGGTCCTGAGGACTTCGGGGTCGATAGTGGCTCGCCCCGTGCCCATGACGGTAGTGGCGAAGCTCTTAGGCGCCTCTGGAGGCGGCGTTGACTCGGTGAGGTACTTGTCGTTGAGGAAGACGAGGGCAATGGAGGGCGCAGGGACGTTGATGCTGCACTCTCCGTTCTGGCAGTTAAAGTACGTCGTCTCAACCTCGCCGTACAGCCTTCCGTCACCGGAGAACGACTGTCCAAGCGTCTGTCCCGCCCAAGTGATGTTGTACTGCTCCGCCGCAGAATTGGCGCGCAGGTAGCGAACTGCGACTTTGTCGCCGATGACATCCGAGCCCTCCACCTTGATCGTGGCCGTGTAGTCGTTCGCGCCCGTTGCATCCGTCACGTAGTTGAACAGGACGGCGCGCGCAGGCACTCCCTGCTCGTACACGAGGTATGCGGGGCGGAGCGCCTCGTTCTCGCCCGTGAAGTAGTCGACGATCTGGCTCGTGTTCGTTTGTCCGAACGCCTCGGCAATCAGCAACGTGGAGTAGTAGGTCGAACCCGTCGTCCACTGCCGGGTCGAGACCATATTGAACGGCGGCGGAGTGAACGGGTTGTAGTAGACGTTCTGGCCACCGACGTGCATGAGCGCAGCCGAGAAGTTGCCCCATGCCAGCTGCAGCGCCCAGTCGGCGATCCACATCGCGGCTCCGAACGAGTCACTGAGACCGGGGAAACCACCGCAGGAGGCAGTGTTGAACTCGAGCATGACGATATCCTTGCCTCTAGCGAGCGCTGTCGCAGACGCATTGAGGTACTCGGCCGTGAGCACTTGCGGGTTGGTGTGGCCCAGGAAGTCGGCAAAGATATCCTGCGGATTGATCACATTGCCATTGATTTTGCAGTTATTTGCCGGGTATCGCTGAACGGAAATGGTGGTGAGATAGTCAATGTTCTGGTCGAGCCAGCCCGTGTTGAAGACATCATCGACACGGAAGCCGTCCACGCCACAGCACACCGAGGGGCCGACAAAGGTCTGTTGCTTCTGCACGTCTGGGTCCTGCAGGACAAGGTCCCGCATCTCCGTATACTCGGCGACGTAGTCGTTGATCCCCCAGCCCTCTCGACGCTTCTTGTGATTCGTGTAACTGCGGTGTCAGTACTGCGGCACGATGTGTGGAATGATCGGGAAACGGCGCGCGCACAAGCCCCATTCCTTTCGTGCTCACATGTCAGGTTCGTTGCCCAGCGCGAGACCGCGGAGGTTGCTTCCGAGGATACGTTGTACCCATTCCGCAGCCACCGGAACGTTCGCGTTGTGAGTCGCGACGGACGTCTCGTTGAATGACAGACCGAAGAACCAATCGACGTTCACGAGCGACGAGACGTTGGCCATGATGTAGAGGAGCTCTGGTGTGTAGTTGATGATCGGAGTGTTGGTCGGGCTGTAGTTGTCGATCTTAATCTTCTCAGTCGTATCCGTACTCTCGTCGAGGATCAATGTGCTGGACTCCTGGGTGTTGCCACCCACACGGATGACCGGGCCACACCCGGCGCGATTCTTGATATTCGCCATGTAATTTAAGAAGATCGGGTTCAGCGTCGTAGCATGCTGACCCATGATAGAGGTAGCAACAGATCTGGTGTAAGCGCCACAGTTCGCGCCGATCAGGTCAGACTCACAACTCTATCGAGAAGCCTAAGAAGTTACCCTTCTGCTGTTTTGACAGGCGATATCCGGCACCGTTGGGATCAAGCGGAACGTTGATACCAACTTGCTTCACGGGCTCCAGAGGCGGTGCAGGAGGCTCGAGACGCAGTGGGTCGTAGGCTGGCAAGCCAGTGTACACTGGCGCCTCTCCAACGGTTTGCGTTACAGACGCCGTCTCCGCGACGAACTGGTCTCCATTGTAAAGTGTGACGGCAGCCGAATTTCCCGGGCAGAGGACTAACAGGAGTGGTAGTAGACTCTTCATCGTGTCGAGGTCGATGGGGAAGGTCGATGGGGAAGGGGGAGGAAGCCGATACGCGAGCAACGACAAGGAAGGAGCAGAGATCGAAAGGAGTGTGAGGGGTCGGGCGCGCGTTAGAGGTGAGTCGCAAGCTGTGCCAGGTCGCAAGAGGCGGAACAGTTCACGGCAGCAGCTAGCGAGAGAGTAACAGAGGAGGTCGGTGGAAGAGGTTGTGATGAAGTTCTTGGCACGTCGTGCTTTCGATCTGTTCCTCACGCGCGTGCGAGGTAGTACAACAGTGCTCCGACTGTGCACACCTCAACCGCGTCCCCGCGCTCGATGGCCTGAGATCCCAACACTCGATGCACCTGCAGTAAGACCAAGAAGGAGACCGAGCGTCAGTGCGCAGCCCGAAACGGTCGCGCTGGGGCATCTGGGGCGTTGTTGGCTTGAACATGGCTGTTCTGTGCCGCGGGTGAGGTGTTCTGGCGTGCCGATGTGAAGAGAACCGTGCGATCATCACACAGGCGCCCGGGCGACGGGTGGGTCAGAACGTGGTGGCTGCCGAGTCGCCGTTGTTATTGTCTCTGATGCACGATCGCTCGTAGTAGACTTCACGATCGAAGCGGGTAAGGGGAACTGATAGCCGCAGATGTATCTAACAAGATGCAAGAGGGAAAGCCGGAGGGGAAAACGTCACGAACGCTGTGAGCATGTGAGAATCGATGGGGCATAGTCAGTTAGAAACCCCCGGCTCTCACTCGTAGAGAGGACAATGAGCGCGGGCATTATTACAAAGTATGCGTCTGTGGACAGATCCAGGAAGGATACGGCACGATCTGGCGGTGGAGCCCTCAACGCCTTGGAAGCCATGACAACGGTGGGACTCTCCCTCTGTGTGACTCGCGCTTGGGCTCAAAGTCGGGAACCCTTGCAGGAATGGCCGAGCTCATCTGTTGCCACATCTGGCTCCATCGCTGAGCGGCGGAAGGTCATCCTCCGTCGAAATCACAACGCTATCCATCGCTGGCGTTCATTCGGAGGTCTAACCCCTGGCTGGCCTCCGTTCAACGGCACCCACCGGAGCGTTCGCACAAGTTGACGGGCCGAAACATCTGAGCTGGGCTCGTGAGCACGCCGTCAGAGTTCAGAGCACCTCAGGAATGCCAGCCAGGCGAATGGCCCCAGGGTGCACAGGGTACTCGCATTTGATACAATTCAAGCTTGCATGTAGAGGTTGGTCACCAGACAACCTGACAGCGCGTCTCAGACCAGGCGTTCCTAATACATCTGCTGAGTAGGACGGTTGGCAGGCAAGTGTGCATGTTGTAGAAGACACTGAAGACCGACTACTTGTGTGACTTCGAGGTCGGCCGGTGGCTGGATGTCGTTTCTGTGACGACGTAGCTCTGTAAGAAAGGAGTTTACATAGAACGGCGATGTGTTTACACCGAGTACTACCACGCTGACCGGCCAAGCAGTCGTTGCAGCACGGTCCTCCAGCCCTTAGCGGTCCTTCCCCACTGACACCACACGCCACACCCAGACGCGGACAATGGCCAGTCGTGCTAGTTTTGAGGGTCCCGGCGACCCTGCCAGGTGAACAAGCTTGATATGCCAAGTACTCGGCGGGCTCGGCGCAGGCAAAGCAGTGCGGCGCAGCATTCCATGCACAGCAAGCGACTGTGGGGATGTTCCAATCTGACGTGGGGTACGGCCTGGGTGGTAAGAACGGCCTGGCCACTGGGTATTCCGATGCCCAGGGATCGATATGCTTGACCCCGGGCAAGAGGTGCTAGCCATGTCGGGGACATTCACTAGCACCTGGACACAGCGACGACAAGCGATGAGTGGACGCTGAAACACGGCAATCTTCCATTGATTCCACTCTCTCCTGGGAGCGTCAATGACCAGTCGTAGGAGACCTGTGACACTAAGCATGGCACTGGGCGGCCGCTCATAATCTTTTGACAACTCGATGAGTGACAGCTGATCGCCACCACCATGTCGCACTATGCCACTAGTTGTGATAACCATACAAATTGCTTAGTCTAACGCAGATCCCAGATGGCGCTGAGTGCTAAAGGGCGCCCACGTTCGTCATGACCATGTCCACTAGTGTCCTTTGGTAGGTGGCGACTGGCGGATTGAACAGCCTCTTGCACTGTGAAGGCATTCAGTCGTCTAGTGGCTGAAGAAATAGCGATATTGCTATGCTATGCCAATGCCTGGGTCGCAGTCGATGACTTCATGCAACGCTTGCGCGTCTGTAACGTCGATACGGTAGATAACGACGAAAGCGAAGCATCGCAATAGCTGGCGGCGACTTGGATTTCCAGTGGACGGGCGTCGATCACTTCATTTTGATTCCGTCCACCTGTGACACTTACGTCAGAGGTGCAACGCAGCGAATGAAGGCTGGGCTGTTGGGTGGGTGCGCCGCATTCCCGCAGTGCTTGCGGCAACGCGGACAGCTGATCGCATCGTCATAACTGCTTCAGCATCGTTTGTTTTCATCCTCACCTTCCATCTCCTCCCTCCATCTCCCAGTCTCCCATCCACCCAGCCATGTCGTCTAGCTACACCGTCCACGTCTCCGGCCTCGCGCCCGAGACCACCGACACCAAGCTGTCGGACTTCTTCTCGTGAGTGATCTGCGATTCCCACACAATTGCTACTGAACCTGTTACTGACTTCAAGCTTCTGTGGCAAGCTCACCTCCGTCAAGAAGAACGGCACCGAGGCCGACATCACCTTCGAGAAGCAGAGCGCTATGCGCACTGCCCTTATGCTCAACGGCGGTACTGTGAGTGTACACTGATGCTCACTGCCCTGAGCTCAAACTCCGGAACACATGTTACCGGCGGCGCTCAGGCAGCTACGTTCGGCTCTTGGCATCAAGCTAACCGCAGCTCGACGGCGCTCACCTCACCGTTACCTCTGCCTCGCCCGAGGCCAACACTGACAAGGCGTCGACCCCTCCCCCTGCCGACTCTGAGCCGACCATTGCCCAGGAAGACAAGCCCAAGGTACGTCATTGCAGAGTCAAACCCGGTAGCGTTTCCGACGCCGCCCTCTCTGTTTTCGTTTCGTTATTGACGCAGTAAGCTGACACTCAGGCCGCGATCGCAGCCGAGTACCTCGCGAACGGCTACCTCCTCGGTGACAACATTCTGCAGAAGGCGATCGACATTGACAGTGAGTTCGGAACCTGGCTTCCATAACTAACAGGCAGACAAGCAGGGTATCTCGTCTCGTTTCCTGAACTTTGTCAACAACATTGACAAGAAGGCTGGTGAGCGCCTGGTCGGCGAGGGCCACACGGTGTCGCAGAAGCTGCGCGAGGACGCCGCGACCGCGTACGCCAAGGCCGAGCAGGTCGACAAGGACAAGGGCGTCTCGGAGCGCTTCCACCAGTACTACACCAAGGCGCTCGGCACGCCTCTCGGCCAGAAGGTCGCCAACTTCTACACCCAGACCCAGAAGCAGCTCCTCGACGTCCACGACGAGGCCAAGCGCATCGCCCAGGAGAAGAAGGCCGCCTCTGGCGCCGCGACCCCCGCCCACGTCGAGGGCTCCGAGACCGCCCCCGCTGCCACCTCCGCCTCCACTGGCGCCACCGAGAAGGCCGACACGGCCGCCGCTGCCCCCGCCACTGAGAAGTCGGCCTAAGCGTTGTAGTTCTTCTATAGGTATTGTAAAATCTACGGTGCACCGGTATGCGAGTGCCGCGTAATGGGTATGAATGTGCCTCCACCATGAATTCAGCCTGATTGCGGGGCAACGGGAGATCTGTGATCAGTTCGCTGTTGTGAGTGTGCGTCGAGTCAGTCGCGTTGGTGCTTCGTGTGCGGTCGTGTCGCTGAAATTCTGAGGATAGGAATGCATTGCAAGATATGAGACAGCTGCGTACCGACCGTGGAAGCGATCAGCCTCAGCAAGCCTGCCAAGTAAAGGAAAAAATCTAGGCTCCGAAAGGAGCCATGGAACCACCGGCGCAGACCCAGAGTAGTCCTGATCGAGTTATCTCCAGTCCGCCAGCAGCGCGCCGGCGAACCTTACCCCATCATTTCCGAGGAAAATCAGAGGTTCGGAGACGTCACCAAATTGCACTAAAGTCTTCTGTGCGGTCGCCCTGGGGCGACTCAAAAGAGGCACAAGACATCCCCCGCGCTCCTGCCAAGTCGGGGTCTCGAGTTCTCCGCGCCCCCTACTCGGGGTAGGGGGGACGCATCTCCGAACGTAAGAGTTCAAGACCCGACGCATTTCTGGTCGAGCGCTGGTCCCGCCAAATTTCATGGTTTAGACGAGTGTCCTTTCGGACAAGTGAGGGGGTGGAAACCCAGGACCTTAACCCGCTCGCGAGAGTGATGCTGGATCGGGCGTGGCGAGCATTGTGACCTTGAACCTGGGGTTAGCTGAAGCCGTGGGGAAGGAAGCTGAACACCTAGTCCCGAGACCGCCCATGCCCTTCCTCCTACTGTCGGCATCCGGCGCTGGCGGCTTCCTCGCGCCAAACAAGTACGTCCGAACAGCGGGAATGCTTGGAGCGAAGCAAGCGCAGCCGAAGCCATGCGAGAGCACTGAGGGGAAGAGGAAGGAATGGCGGACCAAGCATGCCTGATGAAACTCACCTGCGCGCGTGTGGTTGAGGGGAGAAGAACTCTGCGCCGCGAAATCAACAAATGTGAACCGACTGGCACGCAGGGGTGCGAGACGCTAGGCTGGGCGGTGAATTCGGCGTTTCCGACATTTGGCGGTGGCAAATGAGTCCAGTCTGCCCGGACTGCCTTTGTTTATTCGACGCGTACAGGCGCGCTAAGACACCGCCGCCTGAGCAGACGCCGTGCATGCAATGGACGCGCAGCTAGTAGGGCCGAGGCGCGAGGAAGGGGTCGAAGGCGAGCCCCTACCTGCTAACGACACATGCAGTGGGCACTGTACCCTTCGTCCTGGCCCTCAACCTGTCCGAGATTTTTGGCCAACTAACGACACAGATGCATGTCAAATATAAACTTCTGTCGAATAACAACCTACTTCTCCTACTGCTGCGCGGGGGACGACTCCTTGGCCGGCGCATCCTTCTTCTCATCCTTGCCGCCGGCACCGGGGGCGTACTCCTCCTGCCCGGGCGGGTGGGGCATGTCAAACTTGGTTCTGACATTGTAGAAGACCTTGAGGAACTTGCTGCGCGCACCCTGCGCCGCGACACCCTTGTCCTGCAGATCCTGGTCAACCATGTTGACCATCTCGCGCCAGTTGGAGCGCTCAAAGTTTGGCGTATATTTCTGGATCGTCAGCTTACGCTCCAGGCTTCCAGCTGTAGTTGATACTTACGTGAAGACGCAGAACGCGGAGCCAGGTCGACACGTCGTCGAGCACTTTGCTGTCGACGTCGTCGGGGCCGGCGACACCGGCACCACCGCCGGCACCGCCGCCGCCGCCCTGCGACGCGGGCATCGGGCTGACGTTGCGGTTGCCGGGGAGGGGGCTGCGTCGTCCCGAGGGTTGCCTGTTGCCTCGCGAGGGGGCATTCAGGTTGTTGTTGCCGGGACCGCCACCAGGGAACCCGTACCCGCCGAGCTGGGCAGCCTGTGCGGCCTGGGCGACCTGGGCCTGAGCCTGAGCCATAGCGAGCATCTGCACGGCGTTCGCGTTGCCTAAGCCGTTCAGGCCGCCGAGGTTGACGTTCGCGAGGTTCATGGTCAGCGAGTTGATTGCGTTCGGGTCGCTCAGGCCGAGGTTGCTGTAGTCGCCGCCAGAGCGAGCACCCGGAGCGCCGCTCCAGCCACCGAACGCGCCACCGGCACCAGGGAAGCCGCCTAATCCGTCGTCATCACCACCGGCACCGCCGTACGAAGCAGCAGAGACGTTGCGGCTCTGAGGAGCAGCGCTCTGGTTCGACGGGCGGCGGTACTTGCGGGCGTCGTCGAGCTGGATCCGGTTAGCAGCGGCAGCAGCACCCGCGGCCATCTGCAGGTTGGCGAGCGACAGTGCCGAGTTGATCTCTCCGCCCTTGTTGTCGAACATCGGGTTGAGCGGGGTGTTGACCATGGAAGCCCAGCTGCCAGAGGGCATGAGGGGGCTCGTAGCTCCCGCGGGCGACGCAGACGCCTGGTGGTCGCGGTGGTGGTCGCTGGGCATGCCAATCCCGACGCCGCCAGGACCGGTGGACAGGCGGGGAGTGGACGAGCGAGAGTGAGAGTAACCAGACTCGTGGGCGCCAGCGCCTCCGGTGAAATCAGTGCTCTTGGGGCGCAGATCCGGCTGCGGGCTACGGCTTCGCACGCTCATCTCGTCGAGGCCAGGCGACGAGCCCCGCTCCATGACCTGGTCAAGCTGGCTCGACCAGCGGCTGGTCTCGGTCGACGAGAGCGTGCCGGGAGCCGAGATGCGATTCTGGCGCACCTTCGGCTTGTTAACAGCAGGGTCCAGGGCAGCCTCAGGCGCGAGATAGTTGTTAACGGTTGGCGAAAGGGCAGAGGCGGGCGTCTTCAAGCCCATGCCGGCCAGCTTGGCGTCCATCTGCGAGTGCATGGAGGCAGGTCCGGCGGGGCTGGGCGACAGCATCGCAGTCATGGGGTCGGCCTGAGCCATGTGGTGCAGAACGCTCAGGAAGAAGCGGATCTGGACCGGCGTCGAGTGCTGCAGGAGCGAGTAGAGAGCCGCAGTGCGCTCAGCCTCGGACAGAACGCGGAACCCTGGGAATAGTCAGACAATATTCATACCAGGCTCATCAATGTCGCACTCACATTGTTCGATGGCGCCCAGCTCCTCCGTAAAGTTTTGGTCGGTGCTGGCGGCGGCCATCTCCTCCTGTAGGGCGTCAGCGTTCATCCTGCGGCAAAGATCATTGTGTACTCACAAGAGTGGCCTCCCAGGAGGCGAGGTGCTTGAACCACTGGTCGATCTGCTCGGCCTCGGGCGTGCGAGCAGAGTCGCGGTTGTGGCCGTGGGTGGGAGGGAGGAATTCGGACGAAGGGCGGCCGGCGCTGCTGACGGCGCGGCCCTGCTGAGGAGGGCGAGGAGACAGGCTGTCGCGTCCGCTGGGAAGGCCACCCAGGCCGCCCATCACAGAGGTCGACACATGACGAGGCTGGGACATGCCCGAGGTTGGTGATGTCGCCTGAGCGAGACCGAACCCACGTGCAGCCGAGCTGTTGCCGGAGGTGGTGGGAGGACCAAGCGATTGGCGAGTCAACTTGGCCGGGTTGGCCGGGTTAACGGGTGCCGGTGCAGGCGACGGCGAGGGGGACCGGTGGGGGCGAAGAGTGGACGAGGCCATGGTGAGCCGACGCCAGAGGGGTCACGGAAGAGGGGAGGAAGGGAAGAGAAGTGAAAGAGCCTGTTATTGTCAGATGGTTGGGAATCCCGCGATTAGAGAAAGGGAGACGTGTCAGTCGGGGCAGAAGTGGAGGAGCAACGGAAATCGCGGCGCGCGCGCGCGAATGCGTCGAGGATCAATCCTCGATGCAGTTGCAAGGTCGTCCGCGACGCGCCCGCCCATCGGTTTGAAGCAGGTGGTGACAGCGGTACATGGCCCGGACGCGTTTGCCGTGCTGGCAGGGCCTGGTGCGTTGCTCGGACCATGCGCGGATTGGGGGTGGCAAAGGCGATACGCGCGAAACGTTTTGCGTTGTGGGGGAAGGTGAAAGGCGTGTGTCGGAGTGCGAGGAGACTTACCTCGAGCGTCAAGCTGTAGAGGGCAGTGGAGAGACAAAAGAGTGTGCAAGGGGAGCTGCGGGGATGTGGAAGAGAGAAGAGATCAGGAGACGCGCCGAGACCGGACGGCTGGGACAACTAGGAGCACGGCGGGCAGAGCGGTGAGGAGGCAGGGGAAGGAGAGGGAAAGACTAGCGCCAGCGCCAGGCAGACACACCAGACACACCAGGCGGCGGCCAGGTGGGCCAGGGAAGGGATCAAACGGTCCGATCCTTGCATCCCCTGGAATACGAGAGGTGGGGACCATTTGCTCCTGGGCGCGTGGCCATTGCTGCGCGACCTTAATGGCCTTAATGGAGTTAGTCGTTTCATTACAAAACATGCGGTTAATTCAGTTTCCTGCAGTATGGACATCTGGCCGCCTACCTAGGCCTGCCTGCGGATCTGCGCATTGGAGCGTCTGGCCGGTACGCAGAGACATGCAGGGCTCGATCTAGGCTCTGGGCCTCCGAGCCCCAGTCTGCAGCCTGGATGCATACACTCTGACTGTCCGCCCTGCTAATGCACTGCACCTACCAAGCAATTAGCCGCTCAGTAGATAGCCGCCCGTCCAGCCGAAACGGTATCACCTCCACTCCAACACCTGCCCAAGATACCACCAGACATCGTCGCGAGTGCATGTCTATCTTCATATCCACGTCCGTCTAAGGAAGAGCGCTCTACGGAATTATCATTTTGGGTCCCGGTGCGTATGGGCTGCCGGGTCTGCGACATGATCGTCGCCTGCTTAGGGCTTCCTGCCACCGGAGGCAATGCTGTGGATCGTCAGTGGCACTTTCTCAACTTTACTGTCTTTCCGCCGACATCTTCTTCTTTCGACTCTTCCTCCTCTTCTCTCGATTCCACTCACTATGCTTTAACGGCGTCCCCGAACGAGATCATGCACACAGACTGCCAGATGCCGAGGCCGATGCGAGGAGTAACGCCGCGATAGAGGCCCTTGATGCCGTTGGTCTCGTAGATGTACTTGAGGGTGTTGGCAATGGTCTTCTTGCCGGTGCGGTTGGGGTCCTTGATGGCGGACTGCATCTCGACACGGACGACCTCGATGGGCTGGTTCCAAGTGGAGAGAGCACCACCAATGGTCGCCGAGAAGATCTTGTCCATGGCGCCGAGCTTCTTGTCGTCGCTAATGCCCTTGGCCTTGCGGATCATGGTCTCACCGAGACGGGCAAAACCGAAGCGGGAACCCCAGTTGGTGGCCTGGCGGACGGCGACAGCGTTGACACCCTTGTTGATGCCCTTGATACCCTCGCGCTTGTAGATGTCGGCGAAGACCTTGAAGGTCGACTCGGGCTTGCCGCCGGCCTCGACCTGCTTGTGACGCGTGATCTCAACAGTCTTCATGCAGGTGCAGAAACCCATGGTGGCGTACGCCTGCGCAATACCACCACCAATACCACCGAGCATACCGGCAGCGGCGGGCGAGACGCCGAGGTCACGGATGGAGACCTTCTCGATCTCGGACGAGGTGAACATGAGCACAGCGCCCTTGGTGGATCCCTCAATCCAAGCCTGAAACAGTCAGCGTTGCATGAACGAACAGCGGCTGCCTGCACCGCACGCATGCAATCTCTTGCTACCGCAATGCGACCGGGCGTTGAATGCATTGTGCGTGCGATCAGGAGCAGCGTGCATGGAGCGTTTGTGGAAAGTCAGGCGCCATGGCCCGACCCAAGCCGAAGGTTGCCGGCTCTCCGTCTAGCCGGACAATTTGGCTGGGACCCTCCGAAAACCGGCTACGGTGAAGCGATGGGAATGCTCTTGGAATGGGATGCAGGCAGCTGCTGTCGGCGCGTACTCACCCAAGGGATGAGGCCCTGGTAGAAGCCAAAGAAGCCACCACGAGACCAAACGGTGCGGAAGGCCTGGGCCATGGACTGGGATCGGTTGGCGGCCATCTGGGTCTTGAGGACCTCGAGGGGCTGGCCGAGGGTGGTGACCTCGAACTGTGACGCGTCAGAGGATGCCGATCACGAAGCAAGGGGAGCAACGTACGAGGTTCATGGTCGCGCCGACGGCGATGTTAGACCAGCTGAAACCCTTCTCAGCGGGAGCCATTGTGATTGATGATTAAAGTCGGGAGAGGTTGAGATGAACAAAGAGATCAAGGTGATGGGAAAGCGACGTAGGCGGAGACGCGCGATGGAGAACCAATGAGCACACGGGGGACGCGGTGGAAGAGGTCAGCCGGTGGACGAGCTGGGGTACAGATAAGAGTGGTGAGCGGGGGGTGTCTGGGGTACGACGGTGACAGGTCTGGGGAGTTAAATATGGGAAGGTGGATGACCAAAAGCGGACGAGCGGACGAGTAGTGAGTCAGACGATAATCGTTCCCCCAGCCCGGCGCACCAGGTCCCCAGGTCCCCAGGCCGAGCTGCGATTACTGGCACGTCCTCGCCCTGGGGCACCCAGTGGATTTGGCTCACTTGGCGCGCGCGCTCCTGGCCGCCAGCCAGCGCTCACCCGCCTGGCCCGCCTCGGTATGCCGCCTGGCCGCCTGGTCCAGATCGATTGGGTCCGTCGTCGTGGCTGCCTCCACCGACCTCCACCGATCGACCAAGTACCCCCACGGGCCAGGGGGCAAGACGCGAGGAGAGACCTGCAAGCGTGAGGGGTGCGCGACGAACGCGCCCAATCAGATCGGGCGTTGATGCCGCCCACACCGTTCCTGTGCAGACTTTCTCAAGACCCCATCTGCCAGCTGAGCGCTCAGCGCTGAGCACCTGGGTGAGCACCTGAGCGGATCGTCCATCCGGTGATGATTTCGAAGATCGGTCTGCATTCCCATCACTTTATTTTCTAATGGTGCCAGCCGATAACAGCTACCAGCCGCCGGTACCGGAGCGGAGCACGCCGACTGCTCACATGGTCTTCATAGATAACAAACATATGTCGGTGCTGACGTAGGTACCCATGCTACCATGCAACCTGGTTGTATATGTCCACTACGCTGCCTTGTCAATTCTTTGTCCACAAGGAGGACGAGGTCTCCTCCAGGACCGAAAGATGACCCTCCCCCAAGTGATCATTTGCACGCGTTGCAGTGTACCCAAGTCAGTGACAGCTAAGCGCCGCAGCTCTGCCCCACTCTGCTCCGCCATCCATATGCAAGTGTGCTTCATTCTAAGTGTGACCCGGTCATAAGTGCATCCCGGCATAAGAGTACACAGCGCCCTACTACGAAACCAAGTTGCAAACAGCCGTTTACTTCCTGCAATAGTCAGCTCGGATCCTTCCCACAAAGAAAAGCTGGTCTCATCAACCTCGCTCAGAAATACTCACTTAGCCTCCTCAGCGGCAGCCTTCTTGTCGGCGGCACGCTTGGCACGGATACCAGCGTAACGGGCGTCCGAGCGAGCCTTGCGGAGAGTGGTGTAGGCCTCGAAGCTCTTCTCCTCCTCGGTGATGGCGCGGGGCTTCTCGGCGGTGTAGGTGTTGACGATGGCGGGGAGCTCACGGGTGATGTGAGCGGTGAGGTCCTCACCCTGGGCGTCACCGGCCTTGGGCTTGCCGTGAACGCGGGGGAAGACAACGAGGCGCTCCTTGTAGGCCTGGAGACGCTCAACGTTGACCTTCTGGCCCTCCTCGGACTTGGAGCGGCGGCGGTGGTCGACAACGATGCCGAGACCCTTAGCCTGCTTCCTGGGGATACCAGCGAGCTTCAGCTCAGAGATGGTGAATCCACGGCCCTCACGGACGCGGATGTTGTAGCGCTGGGTGGGGCAACGAACAACCGAGCGGAGACGCTGGAGGGGAGCAGCGCCCGAGGCGAGAGCCTTCTTGGAACGAGCAACACGGCGCGACTTCTTCTTGCCGGGCTGGTCGAACCAGGTCTTAACCCGCCTCTGCCAGTCCTTGCGGAAGTGGTTCTTCTGGAGCTGGTTGTTGTGCTTAACCATTTTCTGTTGGGTTGAACGAAAGTCGTAGAGAGAGAAACCGAGAGGAACAAGCAGCGAGAATGTCGAAAGTCAAAATTGGTGGTCGGGTGAGGTCAGGCGGAGAATTTGTAGAACGTCCAAAGTTTCCAGCAGATCCAGCCAAACATCACACGATCGCAGTCCAACACAGCCAGTAACGATATCCAGAGCATTCCCATCATGCCAGATCGTGCGCATCGAGGTGACAAAGTCGCGGCACAGCAAAAGACATCCGAGTCGAGGTCGCACAAGAGCACCAAAGGTCCAGATAATTTCGGCAGAACGAGAGAACGAGAGTCGATAGGGGCATCGGGGTAACGAGAGAGCAGCGCATTGTTCGTGTTCGGTATCGAGAATCGCAGCGTCAGCACCACATCCTCGTTGCTCGCTGTCGGCGGTCACTCACGAATTAGACTTGCGGGTTGAGAAGAACGTCGACTGATGCAGCTCACTGAGTACCACCACAGAGCTCGACTGCAGCTGGAGGCGGGAGCAATTGGGCGAAATTGTGAGCTGCGAACTCCAGTTTGGGCTTCATAACGCCGAAACCATGCTTTGTGGCAGCAGCCACAGGTGCTCATCACGTGATTCTGAAATCTCGCTCTCGCACCAGTGCCCGCTCTCTGGTGTACAAAAGCTGCGCGCGTCTGCATCTCGTCTTCTTCTTCTTAACGCAAAAACAAATCTACTTAAAAGCACTTACGCAGCCCAGGCCTCCTTCGTTCGCGGAGTCGATGGCGACACGGCGCAGTAAGCCGTCATACCGTAGATGAGATCTAAGAGTCTACGGACTCGCAGAACGGCCTTGGGTGGGTTGTTGGCCTGATCGGTGGCCAGGGACCCAAAGCCGGTTTGACATTCACAGCACAACGATGTATCATTGCTTGAACGTTTTGGTGGCACAGTTCGCGCTCCTTTGCAGACGAGAACGGGCTGACGCGGTGGTATGCATGTGCAGGGTATAGGTAATGTTACATGTGTTGGTTCCTCTTCAGGCCTCTCAGCTCAGCTGCTCGTATCCATCTGCTCATCGCCGGCTGACGCTCCATTGACAGCAGGAGCTGGCTCCTTCTCTTCCACTTCTTCCACTGTTGCTGCAGCTGGCTCCTTCCCTTCCACTGTTGCGGCTGCCGTGGCCTTGAGCTTCTTGATCTTCTCCGCGACTTCTCGGTTCTTCCTGAAAGTTAGCTCCATTGTCGGACCTGTCTACCCACGCCCGGAGCTTCTCAACCTGGGACTTCCTCTCTGAGACCTGCTTCTCCATGAGCATGACGAGAGTCTCTTCAGCCTGAACACCTCGGAGCTGATTGGCCGACACGATCATGGTAGCCGCCAAGTTGCTCAAATGTTGGATGTACTGCTATCAGCTATGCCACCACGGCCACGAGCTCTGAGATACGAACCTGATCGCCCTCGCTCGCTCGCCCGGCCGCCTCAAGTTCGCCTGGAATACGCGCCGTCCCGGTCAAGACATCGATGAACGCGAGAAGCGTGTGCAGGAAGCTGTGCAGGAGCGTAGGAAGTGCGGATCGTTCGCTGTCGCCTCCTTGCGAGACGGGGTCAGCTACAAGAGCGGGCAGACCGATGTCTCGAGCATTCGGGATGTGGGGAGTTGCCTGATGTCAGCTGAATGACAAGCAAGTATGCTCGTTGTCAATGTGCAGATGAGCGAGGAAAATGCGATAGATAGCATAGTGGGCAGCCCTGGTATGCGTTTACTACTCGATCCATGTAACTCCTGCGGCGGTCCAAAGTCACGAGGGCGCGTTGAACGTTTTGGATATACACTCACAGTGTACTGCTGGCCAAAGGCCATCCATCTTCCATCCTCGAGGATCCAGTCAGTCCGCGGAGGGTCCTGTTCCTTCTGCAGTCGCTCGCGCTCCTCTCCGCCCTCATCCTTCGATCGGAGCTCCGCTAACCGCTCGACGGCCTCGGGGGTGAAGGCCTTGTAGTATTCCGGTGGTGGCGGGAAAAGGGTGTTGGTAATAGGTACGCCTTCGGCCATGGTGGGGGTGGATGACGGATGATGTGTTGCAAAGATCAACAAAGGGTGCGGTTCCGATGACGATCGATCGTTGACAGCCGTGCCTGAATTCACAACCGGTCAGTGGCAGAAGCTGGTGTCGGCACTGGCGGCACTTGCTCAGCCGCCTCTTCGTCTCCACATTTATGATCATACATAGTGTTACATGTTATATCTATAAGCCCTTCTAAATAGCCTTGGAAAGCACCTCCACGGCCGCCTCCGCGCTCTGCTGGATCACTTCAGCCTCCAGCTCGCCCACACCCTTGCCCGGATTCTTCTTCACACCCTGAAGGATGTATGCCAAACCACCAGCAAGCTCAGGAACAGCAAGAGCTTTGTCAAACGACTCCTCGACAGCCTCGAGATCGATGTCCTTGGCCTTGAACCCCTTAGGCAAAGTCAACAGAGGGCTTGTTCCCTGGATAGCAATCATGAGGTTGCGCATCAGCTGGTCGAGGAACTGCCTCGTCTGCTTGGAGAGATCGGTGAAGTCAGCGCCCTTCAGGATCGTGACGTCGACGCTGCCGCGGCCCATTAGGTATGCAATGGACTTGGCGACGTTCGTGATGCGGTCCGTCTTCACGGTGCCCTCGCTGAGCTCGCGCAAGAGATCCCAGAGAGCGTATTGAAGCGTGAAGCGGTGGTCGTATGAGTTTTCGCAAAGGTTGTTGAGCACGAGGGTATAGTACGGGTTATATTGGCCCTCCATACCACAGCAGTGCAGAGCGACACGAACAAACTCGCGCTCCTGGACGTTCGTAAGACGGAAGGCGTTCAGACGGTCGCAGGCATGCACGTAGTCTTCCGAGGTGAGGAGTACGACGAAGACACTGCGGCGCACGTCGGTGTTCATGCCCTGCTTGCGAGCGAGGTCTAGCAGAACTTCCTCATCCTCCGCCTCGGCAGCCGTCTTCTTCTGCTTCTTCTTCGTGTCGAATGAGAGCGATGATGCCTGCTCCACGAGCGGGTTCCCGGACCAACCGGCACCAACGAGCCACCACTTTCCGCGAGAATCAGCCGAGAGGAGGTCGTTGAGCCCTACTCGGAGAGGCTCAGGAGCAAGGAGACGTCGCTTCTTACCCATGCCTCCCAAGAAACGACGCATGCGGGCAACGTCCTCGCGCTCGGCACCGAGACCCTTCGTCTTGCCACCGCGCAGCGCGACGAGGGTTTCAACCATAAACTTGGCACGAGTCGTCATCTCCTTTTCCTTCCCTCGGGTCTGCTCCTGAACGAGCGTGACAATGTCCTTGAGCGAGGCGGGGTCGTCAGCACGGAGTTGAGATCCGGCACACTTGACGATTTTCATGAGGCCCTCAACTCCGCGCTCAGACATGGTGTCTCCGCTGGTGCCGATAAAGCCACGGATGAGATCGTAGATCAGACCAGCTCCGATGACACCGGCGTTGTACAGCTCCGCAATAAGGGTCAAAAGGTTGAATGCCTCACGAGAGGGGTCGTTCTCGTTCTCCGCAGCCTCCTCGGCGGTAGGCGCGGCTTGCTGAACGAGCTCGTGGTACTTCTTGACAAGCGTCTGGACAAAGTGGGCACCAAACTCCAGTCCGACAGCGCGATGCAGGGCACCCACGAGGGTCGCGTACAGCACCACGAAAGAGTCGAGCAGATTCGTCTTAGAGCCGATCATATCGATGATCTGTTTCGTAAGAGTGGACGTGACGTCTGGGGGTCAGCTACGGCGATATTCCCGCCAGCTCACCGTTGCGGCTGAACTCTCCGAACAGTTTCTCAACATCGGCTAGAATGCCCTCCATGTTGGCTTCACTCAGCCTGACGTCAGTACGATCACTTCATCGAGACTCACTTGTTGAGAAGACCCTGGGCCTTGCGCTCAAGCTTCATGCGCTCGGCGACCTTGGCTCCATCGGCAGCAGCCTTCTCTCCGAGCTGAGCAGCTCGCAGGTGAGGTGGAATGTAGCGGCCAGCGGGTGCAGCAGGTGCCGGCGTAGGTGTCTCAACAATCTCCTTGCCTTCAGCCGGCGCCTCTGACTCGTCATCGTCGTCGCTGTCGCCCGAGACATCGTCTTCGGCGACCTGCTCGTCGTCAGACTCCTCCAGATCAACCTCCCCGTCGTCGCCGCCATCGTCGCTCTCTTCCTCATCCACTCCGCTTTCGTCATCCTCATCTTCACTTTCACCATCCTCTTCGTCGTCACCCTCACTCTCACTGAGATCAACCTCAGCGTCGCTATCGATGCCGTGCCACTCGTCGTAGCCTTCCAGATCGCTGTCACTGTCGAGCTGCAAGTCATCCTTCCGAAGCTTTCCTTGCTCCATTTTGCCGGTGAAGTCCAGGAGGTCTGCAAGTTAGCTCGGAAAGTCTCCTTATCTCACCATCGAGACCGTCGCTGAGGTCACCATCGCCACCCTTCTCCTTCTTGAGCATGTACTCGAGCCATTCGATTTCGCGGTCCTCGACATCGCCGTCGTCTTCAGGAAGCACGAGCTCCTTCTTCGACTTCTTCTGCTTCTTGGCTTCGGCCTTGTCCTTCACGAGTTGGGCGAGGACGGTGGTACCCTGGGCACCCTTTGCCTTCTTCTTCGGAACCTGCTCTTCGTCGGATTCGAGTTCGGGGGAAGCGCGCCGCTTCCCCTTCAGCTTTGAGGAAGATTCAGCCGGTTCATGCCTCTCCTGCTGTCTTGGAGGGTTACGGGGCTGGGGCGGTCCCTTGCGTGCGGCCTTCCTCGCCTCCTTGCGTGCGCGGACAGAGTTGGACCGACCGGAAGAGCCTTTGGGTCAGACAGAGACACACACTACATACTCACCGTAAGCCGCCGTGACCTCGTCCATCAGTGCAGACGGAAGTTTCGGCCCTCCATATCTGGGACCTTTGTTGTGCTTTCCGCGAAACGGCATCGCTGATAATGTTGTTGTTGCGATAACGTAGATGGTCCGTCGATAAATGACGCGCGTTTCAACTTTTGTGACGATCACGTGACAGCACCTTGCAATCGAGGGACCACGACAATAGAGTTCAGTTACATGATTCTGGTCTCGTTACTTGCACAACCTCCACTTCACGGCGAGTAGGAATGGCGAGTGACCGACACGCGTGCTGAACACTTTCTGTCCCTTCTGATCAAACTTTCTTTCATTTCTCGCTCTCCATCAATTCCAACATGGTCGACGCGGCAGGTCCGTCTCTGATCCCTGTTGCGGTGCGCCGCACCAGCATGTCGCTGAATTCGCCTGCGGCTAGTCCCACAGCTACCCGACACCGACGGCACGCTAGTGGAATGAGCTCTTACAGTCAACAGAGCACTGATGAAGGTGGGCGGATCAACTCTATACGCGCGCGGTTGTCTGACCACCACAGCGTCCGGCAGCTACACGCCAACCAAGAACCGCCGCCGGCAACGGACATCCACCATGAATACCGATCCTCCGCACTCCCCACCTGTCACTCTGTCACGGCGATCTTCCATCGTTTCTTCCCCTGTCGCGAACGGGACTGCGAACGGAACCGGGCGCTCTGACGTGTCAGTGTACGGCGACCTCGATGGAACATCGGATTCTGGTGGCCTGGATCCAAGTGAGTGTCCTTCTCCCGTCTGACGGTTCCTGACCTCGCAGTACGCGCTCCTACCCGATCCTCTTTGAACAAGCAACGAGACCGGACGAGCAAGCTACCTCTCGAACTGCGACGGAGATCTGGTACGCCCAGCATGTCTAACGGTGATGGGCGAGACGAGCGCCTCGGGTTGAGCCGTGAGTTGTGTTGCGGAGCGTACCCAACTGACTAGCAGGTATTCCGCGAGCATCGGTAGCGCACGCCGTGCAGATGCACGGAGCCAGCTCGCGGACCGGGACGAGTCCGGGCGACTCGAGCGAGATCCTGAGCGCGGACGATTTCTCAAAGTCGCCAACACTGGTTCTTGCCGAGTTATCGCCTGACCCCACGGGGAATGGTCCTGTGCCAACACCAGGACCGGGGCGAACGTCGTTCGGGCCAGCCCAACTCGGCCCGGCGAAGCCGCGACGTTCAATCGGCGCTACGGGGAAGAGCTCGGCGATGATCGAGGAGCTGCAGGACGAGCTAGCGCACACCAAGCAGCACCTTGAGCGGGCGAAGACGGAGGTACGCAACTGCCGGCGGGAGATCGGCACCCTGACGCGGCGGAGCGAAGACCTGCGCGAGACGCGCGATCGTATGCGCGGCGAGGCCGAAACGCTCAACAATGTCATAGCCCGCAAGGAGCGGATGATCAGCGGTACGTGCTTACTGAATGCCACTGGACGTGGGAGTGGTCCATGACGTGTCGTGGCGCATGGCGTTCAGGGCGGGCGTCACCTTCCCTCTGCACCTGCTACACTTCTAGACGTGTCGCACCAATGGCTGACACTGTTCACAGAGATTCTGGCGCGAGCGCGAACGGCCGAAGCGAGCGTCACACAACATGCGGCGGAGCGCAAAGACCTGGAGGCGAGGGTCCGCAAGGCTGAGACGGAGGCGACGACGGGTCTGGCCGAAGCGACCATGCAGCGCATGAAGGCTGAGTCAGAGTGCGACGCGCTGCGCGATATGGTCAAGTCGCTCAAGGACGCATGGACTCGCGAGGTCGCCGGATACAGGGCCGAAGTCGAGCGCGTGCGTGAGGAGACTCGCGCCGAGCGCGAGCAGATGACCAAGAAGGAGGCCGCGCTTACCATACTCGTCAAGGAGCACAAGTGAGTCTCAGCTCGATAAGCGATCCTTCAGCTGACATTCCAGGGCGAACCGCGAGACCGTAGTCTCCCTCGTCGAAGAGGTGAATGCGAGGAACGCAGAGGCCGCCAAGCTCTTCGAAGGCAAGGTGCAGCTCCTCCGAGATGAGGTCAAGCGAAGCTCGCAGGAAACTGCCGACGCGCGCGCACTCGCGACGCAGCTTGCGAGCGAACTCGCCCGCATCCGACGGCTCGCAAAGCTGCCTGTCCGCGGCGAGCTGACCGCTATTGCGGCTGGCGACGCTGGCGACGCGGACGAGCCGTCTGACGAGGCAGAGCCCGAGCCCTCTTCGGCGTCACCGACCGAATCCACAATGTCGACAGCTCCAACATCAGAACCCTCTGAACCCGCCGAGCCTGCCTCGCTGGACGAGCCCGCTCCGCAATGTAACGACCCCAACGACACACACGAACCCCACGGCGCGCCGCGAGCATAGGACACCGTTCCTTGTCAAATGATGTATTAGATGCTGTATGCATTACACCTGTGTACTCTTGATAAGCTTATGCTCGTCGTTCCTGCTTCTGGGCCTTCTTCTGCTTCTCCGCCTTTGCCCTTGCGGCGTCTGCCCTGTCACTGTCAGCTATCAGTGGCACACTCCTAACTCACCTCTGCTTCTCGAGCGCAGCGCGATCGCGGTCCTTCTTCTCTTGCGCGCTCCGCTTCGCCTCATCCCTCGCCATCTGCGCCTTCATCGCGACCTTTTCGCGATTCAGGTTTTCCCACTGCAGCGGGTCGTCAATCTCGACCTTGCGGTGCTTCTTCTTCTTGCGGCTGTCGCGCATAAGCGCGGCCTCGACGAGTTTCCGCCGCTCCTCGGCCGCCTTCTTCGCCTCGGACTCGGCCTGCGCCTGCCCTCGTGGCGGGGCGTTGGCGTCGCGCTCCATCTCCTCGGGCCCGCCCTCGACGTAGGCGTACTGCCGCAGCAGGGCGGCTTTGCGTGCTGCCTTGAGCTCCTCCTCCGTCAGAGAGGCCATGATCGCCTCATGGTCCGGCGGTGTTGGGGACTGGTCCTCCTCCTCGGCCGCGGCCGCGGCGGCTTCCTCTTCAGCCTTGAGACGCTCCCACTCCCCGACCATGGCTTCGAGCGCCTCGTCCACACCCGTCTCTGGAAGCTCGCCCTGGATGTCAGTTGGAAAGAGATGAAACTCAACTCACCCCCTCAACAACACCCTCGAGCATGCCCCGCACGCCCTCCAGCTTCTCGTCCTTCTCCATGTCCTCTTCGACGAAGCGGGCCATGAACTCGACGTCGTCGGAAGGCACGGACAGGCTCAGCGCCTCGAGCTGCGCCGTGATGAAGCGCTCTAGCGCCTGGCCGGAGGATTCGCCTTCCGACATGGTGCTGATATGCTGTTGATTTAGAGACGTGGTTTCGAAGCCAGGATCTGGTCCGAGCTTGGGATCGGCAGTCGTTTCAGAGTGGTTTCGCGGTTGTGCTTGCTGCTGCGCTTGCGCTAGTGCTTATCGTAAGAGGATTACTTGTCGTGGAGAATGTTGAGCTGGTCGCTGCTCCTCTTTCGTTCTAGCTGGATAAGGACTGAATGTCCCGAGAATCTCGAGGCGGCGGTGATCAGAGAGCTTGGCGGACTCGACTCGACAGCGAAATCGAAAGTGACGACACTCGAATCACATGTGTCCGCAGATGAGTGAGATCGCCGCTGGACTGGGTGGGCGGAAGTAATTTTGTTGTGGCCTCCACTCACACCTCCACCTCCACTTCGCTACTCTGCCCTGTTCTGCTCAGCCGTGGGAAACCAATCAAGTCGACCGTTGATAGATCCTCAGTGGGATCTGCCATGAGAAATCATGTAGGAGAAAAGAAACGAGAACATGATACACGGTGGAAGATTTGTCAAGCCAGTTGAAACGGGCGGCGTTGATTGCAGCGAAAGCCTAATCGGCCGGAGGAGCCGGAGGAAGGTGATGACCACGTTTGAGATATGACAAGGTTGTAGGCAACACGGTGAAACGGGAATAGCAGAGAGGGCATCAGCTGATGGCCACCGTTTCGTCGTGCACCACCCTTCCGGGTGACCGCTGTGGTGGGTTGCGGCCAGTCGAGGGAACGCCGACAGTCTTCGACCACATTTGAAATTCTTGCCGAAGCGCCGACGGATGCCCCGGACACTAAGCAGGCTTGCATCGTGACCACGTTAGTCCCTGGTAAGCATGTTGTCTGTGCTTCTCAAGGTGACAAGCAGTGGTGTCGTAATCCAGTACACTGTGGCCGACTGTCTCTTGGGACAGTCGTTGGGTTGCAGGGTCTACTCAGGGCGGGGTGTGACCGGGGTCACGACTGGGTTAGGGCTGGGTGAATAGACGTGAATGGGGTCCAGGGTGTAGGCTTTCTGTGCTGAATCGGTCCTGATTGACGTACGACATGTGAAACCAAGGATATTCTGCAGGGCGTGAGGCAGCTGGGCGTCTTTCGAGCGGCTTCGCTTCTCTGTATACTTTCATGAATGAAGTCGCTTGACTGCTTGATGTGCGCGGACAGGAGTACGAGCAAACTCAATGTCTGCAGACGAGTAGGATTAGAGTGGGTGTGACGCCGTGGTATGCTCGGACATGTCCTGAATGCGGCGCACGCTACGGCTCGCACGGGCCGATGAATGCACAGACCGCGCCGTGCGGTGGGCTCGCCGAAGCTCGTCTGGCCGTATGGCCTGTCTCGGTCGTGGCCGCAAGTGTCTGTGCTATGTCGCGCCAGTGTTCCAGCGCAGTGTCCTCGTCGACCTCGTTACGCTGCGTGCTGCATTTGGTAGAGAGCCCCGTCCCTTCCATCAAGCACACCTGTTCCTGCTATGTGTTGTTCCTGCGTGCCTCTGTGGCCCTCTATGCCCACTTATCCTGCCGGCTGTAGGCAGTAGTGTAACCTCACAAAGTTCGCTGCCGATAAGGCAAGCGTGCGCAATCCACCCATCGGGCGAGATGACAGCAGCCTAAGTTCTGGCCAGCTCCGCCATGTCCGAATAAGCTTCAGTCTCTGCCTATGCACGCCAGAGACACCTGCCAGCCCTAAATGACAATCGACACCCTGCCCGCAGACTTGGGGTGCATGTCCAGGCTGTCGGGCTCAGGATCCAGCCCATAGCCCATGGCTCCAGTGACACTCTGGTATTGTTTCGCTGCGCCTGAGTTTGCGCCTGAGGACGCCTCATGCCTCGGAACCGGCGCCCTCCGTGCGGCGTACCCTGCCCTGCGGCCTGTGCATGACGTCCAGACCACCCAGAAGCGGGCACACCGCAACGAGGCAGCGAGCGGCGCACGATCCGAGCTCACATATTAGCTCAAGCAACGCAGAGACGGCGTGCCTCTCGCCTCTTCTGTGCTATCTGCACGCTCCTGTTCTCTCTTGCTTCGCAAACACGCACACTCGCTCGCCTTTGCAACATTACTCATACCCTTCTTCCTTCGTTTCCTTCTCGCCCCTTCCTGCGGACCGACCGGTGCGACCGACAGTCATCCCCATTCCTCCTGTTCCTTCTGTGCGACAACGGCTTCCTACCGACGCTCACTCTCTTCATCTTCATCTTTCCTCTACCATCCCTCTGGACTGCGCACCACACAGCGAGACAATGTCAACCATGTCCGCAGTGCACGCCCCCGCCCCTCACTCCCCGCCGCTCGAGTACTCTTCCCCTCCCTCTTCCCCGCCGACAAGCAGCATCCTCTCTTTCCTCCCCGACTTGCCAACCTTGTCGAACTTGCCCAAGTTGGGCCGCACGCGGGACACAAGGTGCAAGTCGCCGCCGCCGACGCCGTCGTCCTCGTCCCGGTATGCACCGCTCAGCCACCCCTTAAGCTCGACCGTCTCGCCGTCGACGACAGAGCGTGAGCGCGAGCGCGACGTTGAGTGCGGCGACTGTCTCCCCCTCCCTCTTTCTACTGGACGGTCGAAGTTATCCCGCTCTGGTGTTGGACGATACGTTCGCACACTGCAAATCTCGCTCCGGTCGCCGGCCCGCAACCCAATCTTCCTCCGCGACGAGCTTGACATGATCACGATCCTCCTCGTCATGTTCAACATCTTCGTGTGGACGCGATACTTCTTTGCTTAAGCGAACCGGCGATGAGTGGTCATCGACGAAGGACCCAAAGGACGGGTCCGAGACAGCTTTGATCTCCTGCCGTTGACACTTCGACAAGGCCGGGGCACACATCCCACCTTACCTCTGCACCAAAACACACCCCTGCCAGATCCAACGATCTGGCTCTGCTCGCCATCACACTCCGCTCGCCCCAGAGGCTCGACCACTTGTACATATCCCCTATTCTCATTCTGGACACTCTCGGCCCTTGATACCACGAACACTACCTCTTTCCTGTACTTTACTGTCAAACAAGCCCCCGCGGCAAGGACCTTTGCGAACACTTCCCCCTTGCCAACCTACACTGCGCTCCATCAAGTAACATCCCACCCATCAATACTCTACTCTACCCCATAGAAATAATGTACCAATCTGCAGCAACTCCAGCGCAACACTCACAACTCTCACGAAACAGACACACGCACGCACGTAAGGGAGCTTGGACCGTACCGATCGTCAAGCAGTGGAAGGCAACGTAAAAGCAAGACGGCGAAATTGCTTCAGCCCTATGCGTCAGCTTCTCTGCGCCGTGGTGTTTGAAAGTCTGATCAACCCGTTGTTCACCGTTGTTCTGGGATAGGGTTTGGATCCAGGGCCCAGCTATCTTGTCGTTGAAGGCCTTTGCACCCCAGACCAGAATTACGAGAGCGATCACGGAACCGCGACCAAACTCTATTCCCGACCTTTGCGACTGGCCCGACAGGTTGGCCGCCTGGTGCACGCCTCGTTGGCCTGACCAAGCCAGCCAGCCAGTACGACACAAAGGTGCAGCGGTCAGTTCCAGCCCTCGCTCTGGTTTCGCTAGCCTCGTTCCTCCTTTGTGTTCTGGACGACCACTGTCTCCCCTGTTGTTGCGGGTACAGGCTGTTGCTGAAACGGCTCCACGCCCACGAGTGTCCACGAGTGCGGGGCACTGGGTGCACTGACAAGCCGCCGGTGAGGATCTGGAATCTCTGGCGAAACGAAGGCTGGCAGCATACAACCATACCTCATGAAGCATGTTAGACGGTGCGACAAGTGGGTCCGCGCGATCATGTGATGCCATATGTTTAAATCTAGAGGCTAGCTATGCGGCCGTAGAGTACAACAACAGTTGCTTAATTCCAAAAAACGTAGACAAGATCGTGATACAGTGTCCAGGCTTGGGAGACATCTTCGTCTGGGGAGAGTGTTCAAGGTGGGAGGGGGAGAGCGGGCAGCGGCCGCAATCCGTCAATCCTCGCCTTCCGCTTCGCCTCGAGCACCTCGCGCGCCTTTGCTGCGCGCCACTCGCACCCGTCCTCGAACTCGCACCACGCGCAGCGGCGCGTGTGCTCCAGCGGGACACCTTGCGGCTCCCGCTCGCCGCGCCAGTATCCCAGCGCCCAGGCCAGGTGCTCCGCGAGAGCCTTGGGATCGTGGGGGAATGTGAGACGACCAATGATTGCACCAGAGGTGCCGTCTTCGTCTTCCTCGGGCTCGAGCTGAGACTGGGGAAGAGGCGACTTGAGTGTTTCAGGCGACTCCTGCGACGAGATGACGGGCACCTCCACTGTCTGGGTGGGGACCATAGGGGCGGGCTCCTGCGTCAAGCTCATCTCGATCGCGAGCGCCAGCTCATCATCCTCGCGGTCTTGCTCTGAGTCCTGGTCGAAAAGCGAAGCCGTGCTGTCGTTGCGCTGCAGTGAACTCGCAGACTGGCAGGGTTGCGTCTCTGTGGGAGCAGTAATCGGCGGGTCTAAGATTGCCGACACTTGTGACTCGGTCATGTGCGAAGCTGGCGGGTCGGACACGTCCAGCAAACTGAGGTGGAACGCCTTCTGGATGTCCGTGTCCTCGCCCGTCGGTGTCTGCTGGCGGCGCGACCTTCCTGATCTCCTCCGCTTGCCCGCCCACCCCTTTTTCCTCCTCTTCCTCGAGCGATACTTTTTGTCGTGTCCCGCTCTACGAAACACTAGCTGCAGCTCGTCCCCGCTCGCTTTGTCGTTCTTCCCCTTGCCCAGGTCGAGGCCGAGCTCCTGCACGTACTGCTCCCAGCAGTCCGCCAGCTGCAGAAGGCACTTGGCGTCGCTCGCCCCCCACCTGAGTCCATTGCCGACGATAATGGCATTGGCCTGACTAAGGAAGCCTTCACTGAACGGCGCACCAGCGTTGAGGCCGAGGTGGTCAAAGATCTTGGCGAAGCCACCGGTCGTGCTCGTAGGGAGAATGGAGTCGGCTGTAGCGTCGGGATTCGGCGCGGTCATCATGAGCGCATCCAGGAGCTCCTTGTACAGCATGACCTGATACTGTCCAGCACGCGTGTCCTCAAACTTGGGCAACGTACCAGAAGCGCGCGTCTTGGAGTCACTGATGATGAGACGGTGTGTTGGGGGGCGAGTGCCGCCAAAGAAATCGTTGAGCGTCGACTGCCGCTTGACCTTGCCTGGCGTACTAGGCGTGCTGGTTTCGATCGGCTTCCGCTCAATCTCGTCAATGATGCCGGACACGTACACGTCGCCGACAAAACCACAGATCGGCATCTCTCGGCACTTGCCCAGGCTGATGAGTGCCTCGAGCGAGGAGAGCATGTTGAGCATGCGGATTGCCCATGTCTCCTCGACGCTGGTGCTACGCACAACGACCTCTTCGGGGTGAATCTCGCGCTCAAGCCGCTTGTGGATCTTTTCGCCGCGCTTCAGTATGCGGTCCTTGTCCTCGACCTTGACCTGGTCGACCTGGATGGCCGCGCCCTTGGGTGTTTTGATGACCTTCCTCCGCGCCGCCGGCGGCAGGAACGGTAACGTGCGCTGGCGGCTGATGTCAGTTCCCCGCGCTGAGCAGTGTAACTCACTAGTCGAACTGGACCTCACACCAGAGCGTACCGACGAGATCGGTGACGGACAGCGAGCCCCGTTTCCGGAACTCCTCGAACGGCGACAGACCAACGGCCAGGTCCTCAATGTCGGTAATCGGTTTCGGGTCGGCAGGCACGGCCTTGCCGCTCTCGACGGCCTGGAGCGTCTCCTCCAGCGCCGCGTCGTACTCAATTTCAGAGCCGAAGTCGTCGTCGCTCATGTCATGGCTGTGTGCGATGGGGTGCGTTCTGAAGCGAAGATGTCTGTTGTTGCCGCTGATCGCGGTTGACTGGACTGGCGCCAGTGAGGTCATGACTGAATGGGAGGCTCCGGGGTTTATCCGGATGGAACACGTGAGACACGCGACTGCGAAACCTTTCACAAAATGGCACTGTCAGCCGACCGACCCCTTTCACGCCCACCACTGAGAACCATATGCTCCGCTCCACCAGACGCCATGCACAGGACCAGGTTTGTCTGATTGATGCCAAAGTAAGCAATAAGACTGCGGCTGAGATTGAAATAGATATGAAGGAGAACTCCACAGAGCACCGACAGAGCGATGTGAGCAAAGTGCTATCGCCATTCAGGCTGCCTGTCCCAAGGAATGGCGAAAGCAGTTTACCCTCCGACGTCCTCACTGCTCCCAGATTGCAGCATCGCTCCTTGGCTGATTGAAGACGAAGTAGGCGATCGCGGTCAGCTCAACAGTTGCATGCAGCGCCGCATCAGGGGTAATCCGCCTGCAAACTAACGACGGCCCACATGAGCCGAACGCGCTCGGCCGACAGCAATATGACTGATCGAGGGTCACTCGATCGACAGCAGCAGTGGCTTTCGCAGCACACGTATTCACGTGTTGGACAGAACATTGCATAGACCTCTACAAACAAAGCAAAGGGAAGAAGTCATATGTCAGTAGAAAACAGTCAGTGAAAAAATCAGATGGGCAGCACAACGTGGCAACAAGATGCTTCGTTTGGCACTCCGGCCGCGCCGCAGCGCACATCACAAACCGCGAAGGGTATATGTGGATGAATTATGGTGACAGGGTATCCATCCCCAATGCGATAAGCTATACACGAGAAGGAGTCCGTAAGAGCGAGAGAAACAGAGCGACTGGTCACTCGCTTTACTTCTTCTTGTCGGCACCACCCTTGGACTTGGCGGTACCACGGAGCTTCTTCTGCCTGTTCTTCCTCTCCTTGCGGAGCTTGCGGCCGGCCTTGTCGACCTTGGTGACGAGACCGTTCTGATTGTCAGCTAATGTCGAAGACGCCTACAGCAGAAAACTCACGCGGATCAGGCGGTACTTGGGCTCGAACTTCTTCTGGGACTCCTCGTCGTCGTAGACGAGACCGAAGCCCTGCGAAGAGCCACCACCGAACTTGGTGCGGAGACCGAAGACGACAACGCGCTCCTTCTCGGACTTGTAGAGCTGGGCGAGGCGCTCAGCGAGGTCGTCGCGAGAGATGTTGGCACGGGTGGGGTGGGTGACAGTGACAACGAACTGCTTGCGGTTAAGCAGGCGGTTGGTGATGAACTTCGAAGTCCTGATGGTGACGGGTCCGGTGGGGTCCTGTCATGTCAGCTTGTGGGGCACGAGAGGCTAGCTGCGAAGGAATCACAGCTCTCGAGACGCGGTGCAGAAATTTGATCCACGACTTGACGACTCCAGAAACTTGCGACGGGCGATGCAGACGGCGCACAGCATCGGAACGGACTCGCTTCATCCTCCAAGCGCTCCAGCAGTCAAATGCCGCAGACGAAAGCCTTCAATGTCGGTCGACTGGGCGTCCTTCAAACTGCTCTTCGTCCTGGCACAAGACCACCTGCACAACACATGTTACGCCGATACCGTCGCCCGTGCTGTCGCACCTTCCGTCGCCCGTTGCAAGTCGTAGTCGTTGTCGCCGAGTCGAGGGTCACACTGCCGCCGCTGTCGAGCGGACTCACCATGGTGGGCGTCACTTTTGTTGTCTTGAGGTGGAGAATGCAAGATCTCGATAGTGAGGTCGTCCGTAGCCACGGTCACAGCGCAGACTGGCTGCTTGAGTTTCGGCGGGATCAAATTGCGTGTCGCTCAGTGTCCCTCCACAGTTTCGCTTTCGGCCACGTGATCGGGAAAACGTCAGTTCGGCGATATGTAAGTGGCACTGGAGTATGTGGTCGTATCTAGGCATGTCACTCGTGGGAAAGCCTGAGTTTAGGAAGGGCGACCTCAGACCGCCAATCCGTCTTACCATGGTAGATTCGGCGCCTTGCCGTGGCACATCTCCAGACCAGCCCTCACGCACGGCCTGTCAGCACACACAACCTAAACCGTCGATGCTCAGTGTCCGCTCGGGAATGGCCAAGTGCGTGTCGTCCAGTGCATTCCAGTCATGACTATAAGAGTTACAAAAGAGATGCTATGTGTCAAAAGAGGTTACAAGCCGCCAATGTGTGGCGTTATTCTAAGTTGTGGAATGTACTATGCACAAGTGTATGATGAAACAGTGATGAAATGTGGGAATGTCTGTTGATGCTTTGATGTGCCTCCCCCTTCTCTTCTCTGCTCGCTGACCGACCTCGGCCTGACGGCCTCGGTCTCGGTGTCTCACTCATCCTCCTCATCGACCGCCTCGCGCATGAGGTCGCCCCACACGCTCGCGGCCATCGAGTCGAGGACGTCGCTGTGGTCCTCGCTCTCGCTCTGTGCCGTGCTCGCGACCGAGGCGCTATGGCTATGTCTCGACGCGATGGTACCGCTGCGCGAGATCCCGCCCAGCGTGCCGGTGGAGAGGGGGCGGAGCGAGTCGTCCCACGCCTGCGAGTGGGACAGCGAGTGCTGGTGTCCGTGGGCTGATCCCGTGGATCCTCCGGTGGATCCAAAGGAAACATCCGCACTCGGACTGTGCGATGCGGAATTGCTCTGTGAATGCTCCGACTCGGTCGGCGACTCGGGGAGCACGCCGAGCGGGTCCCGCGCATACACTGGGTTCGAGCCTGTGTCCGTGTCGACGTAGATGGCGGGGATCTGGTGGCTGAGCCGCTGTTCTGCCTCGCGCTGCTTGGCCCGCCGCTCCTCCTGGTGCGCGACGAAGCGGCGGCGCCAGTAGATTGTGCGGATTAACCCGCGCACGCGGTCGAGCGAGACGAGGTCGTGCACCCGCTCCAGCTTGGCGCGGCGCACCAGCAGCTCGTCGACGCGCAGCGCGGCCTCGTCGTTGATCAGCTTGTAGTGCGCCAGCATCAGGAGCATCTGTGTGAAACTGATGCCGCGCCCGGGCTCCTCGCTCATCCGCGCCTCGGTCCAGAGGCGCACGTACTGTCTGCGCCGGGCGCGGACTTTCTGGAAGTCCACCGTCGACATTTCGTAACGCAGCTTGGACAGGTCGACGAGCCGATCCCCGCAGTCAATGATCCGCGACTTGTCGTTGTAGCGCTCTGGGTCGGGTGCCGCCTCGCGCAGAAGATTCGGCACACTGAACGCCGGGTCGTACATGCGCACTTCAAAGACTCCCTCGAGCTTGGAGAAGAACTTGGCAAAGTCCTTCCGCTTGATGTAGCCCGTGCGCGCCGTGTCGACCTCGGCCCACGCCTTCTTAAACGATCCTGAATGTCAGCTACAATCTCGGCACAGGTAGCTTACGGATCTGTTCTCGGCTCAGATTGCTCTTGCCACGCCGCTGGAACACGTATTCGAAACTCTGAACAACCACACCAGTGAACATGTTCAAGAAGATGTACCTGATGTCAGTTGAGTGGAAAAACTTGGTAACTCACATGCTGAGGAGGTTCCAGAAGATGAAGAGGACGTACGCCCAGCCGACGGACCCGCAGTCCGAGTACAGGTAGTTGTCACTGTCGGTGCAGCGGGGATACTCGATGGTGCTGTTGTCAGTTGCCGCCCTCGTTATCTTAACTTACTAGTCGTGCATGTGCGCGTTCCATCCCTCGCCCGTGGACATGAACGCGAGCATGAGGAGGGCGTTGCCAAACGAGTGGTAGTTCTGGAACCGCGACTCGGCATTGACGCCGACCTTGGTCACGCCAAAGATCTCAATCATGACAATGGCCATGAAGATAAAGAAGACGGCCCAGAGGAGGAACAGGTTGCCGATGGCGGGGAGGGACGCGACGGACGTCTTGAACAGCTGGTTCAGCGAGTCGAGGCGCTGCACGAGCTTCAGCGAGATTGCGACCAGGAACAGCTTTTGCACCTGCCGCGTCGCATTGCTCGAGTTCAGGTCGGTAGCCTGGTCCTGCAGCGCGGGGATGGTCGTCACAAACGAGCCGACAATGGTGATGAAGTCGAACCAGTTCCACCCGTTGCTCCGCCAACTCTTCCACCCGAGACCGATGAAGCGCACAATGAGGTCGATCGCGTAGATGACTGTCAGGGCGAGGAAGACAATGTCAAACTGGATCTCGTTCATGATGTTCTCGCTCCAGTCCTGCGTCATGAGCAGGCCAATATGCACAAAGTAGATGAATGTGTAGAACCGCGTCCAGTATCCGCGCTTCTGGGTCGCGCGGTCGTAGCACCAGCGCCGGATCCGGTTTGACGGCTTGTGTTTCGGCAGCTGAGAGGGCGACTGTTGGCGGATGAAATTCGCCAGGTCGACCCACTGCTTCTGCTCCGTCGTCAGGAGGGCTGTGCCGCTGCGCGCGGAAAAGTTCAAAATGATGATGGACAGGAACACGGTCAGGATGACGATACCGCCGAGGAGGTTGAAGATGACGAAGAAGATGGCGTTCCATTGCGAATGGTTTGTCTGCGGCTGCTGGTCGATACCGACGATTGCCATGACGGACGCCATGACGTCTGTCCAGCCCTCGAGCGAGACAATCTCAAACAGAATGAGCACCGACTGTCTAAAGTCGTCAAACGCCCAGATACTCCCGCCAAAGGACGGGTTCGCCCACACGCGCGGCGCGAGAAAGTTGAGCTCGCCGACCGTGTTCTGCTCATACTCGCCCGTACACTGGTAGCGCCACCCGACGTCGCCCGTCGTGTCGTTGCAGCCGGACAGCCGCTTCATGAAGATGTTGAGGCCCCACACGGCGAACGGAATGAGGTAGAGCACCATGAGCACGCTCGCGTCGAGGATACGGATGAAGCCGGCGAGGAACACGGCGAAGAAGGTGTCGCGCAGGCGCGAGAAGAGCGTGATCAGCCGCAGGGCCCGCATCGCCTTGAAGGCGCGCGTCGGCCGGCTCCACCCCGAAATGGTGATGACTCCACTGACACTGTTAATGACAATGCAGACGAGGAGGAAGAAGTCGACCACGTTCCAGATACTCAGGAGGTACGCGTTGGGGGCAAAGATGAAGCCGTCCGCGATGACCTTGACGAGGAACTCGGCGATGAACACGACCGCCAGCGACTCCTCGGTGATGTCGAACCAGGAGCTGCGCACAAGCCCGTGCCGCTCATAGTAGGACTTGCGGTACTGCGGTGTCGCGATGGCGGCGACGACAATGGACGCGACGACGGCGCCAAACACGACAAAGCGGAACACAAAATTCCACGTTGGCTTCTCGGCTTGACCAAAGATGCGCTGTCCATACGCCGGGGGCGTGATCCACTGGCATAGCTTGCGAATAGGGTTGCCCTGTGAGAAGATCCACAGCGAGCGATCAAAGGAGGGGTGTGCCGCGATGAAATCCGCTTGCAGGTTGCGCTTCTCGCGGAGCGTGTCCTTGTGCTCGTCGGCGGTGGTGCCAGGGTTGATAGGCGGAAGCAGTTCGGACAGGCCGCGGTCGTCGTCGTCGTCCTCATCCGTGGTGTCTCCGTCAGAGTACGACTTGGTGCGGCGGTGTGCGCTCGCGTCGTCCTTCTTCGCCTTCTTACCCCGCAGCTTGCGCAGCGGCATCATGACGGCGTGGTCCTTCTTGTTCAGTCCCAGGAGGCGCTCGACGCTCTGCTTCGACGTCTGCTTCTCCTGATCCTCGGGGCCAGGCCCCACGTCGGCACCCACGTTCTGCTTCAGCGGCAGGATCAGGTGTGGCGGGAGCTCGGCGACCTTGACGGCCTCGTGCCGCGCTCGGAACAGACGATACGGGTTCAGGCGCTCGATGCGGGACACGTGGGTCGACTGCGGCTCTGCCTTCTTGATGAACGCCTCAATCTGGTGTTTCCGCTTCAGTTCCTCGGCGACTTGAAAGTTCTGATGTCAGCTCAGCCCGTGCCAAAAAAGCTCACCTCGTTGATCACCGCGATGAACATCTGCATAAGAATGAAGTTGGCGAACAGGAACCAGATGAAGAGGAAGATGCACACAATCCAGCCCTGGCCAAACTGCCACTCGGCCGACATGGCATTGTACAGCACGGTCGTCCAGTTCTCAGTCGAGAAGATCTGGTACATGCCGAGGAACGAGTTGTAGACCTGGGAAAAGTTGATGAGCTCGTCGTCGTCCATATCTCCCCTCAGCAGCTGGACGGCCATGAGCGCCGCCACAAAGTTCATGAGGAACAGGAAAAAGGTCATGTTCAGGAGACCGGCAAAGGAACCAAACACGTTGGTGACGAGGGGCCGCATGCGCGGAATCACCATGATGACGCGGTACCACCTGAGGAGCTGGAAAACGGTGAGCCAGGGATAGACGGTCGAGTGCCGGATGGGCGGGATCTGGATGATCGCGCACCCGATCGCGAGGAAGAGGTCAAAGTCGTTGCGCGCGTTGAAGAAGAAGGCGCCCCAGGATGGCAAGTAGGCCACAAACCGCAGACCGATCTCGAACAGCCACACAAACGTGAACCCAAGCTCCATGTCGGATAGGAGCTGGGCGCGCCATTCGCTCATGGCCGCAGACTTGCAACCCTGCGCGATCAGATCGACGACAATGAGGAGGACCCAGAACAGCTCCGATTTCTGATAAATCTTGAGTAGGCGGGAAGGTTCCTGCTTCTTCTTGGTTGCTGTCGACCACTCGGGCTGGTTCAACAGCGAGTGGTCGGCGCCGAAGGCGGAGCGCTTCGTGTCCGCGCGAATGTCCTGAAACGTGTTGACGACAACGGCAACGAGCAAGTTCATGAGCCAAAAGTTGAGCACAATGATAGCGGCGATGAAGAAGAGCGACGACGCGAAGAATTCCGCGTCCATGATCCAGTACATCGTGCCCGTCCACGTGTTGACGCCCGCGATCACGAGCACCTGCACGAGCGACTTGAAGATGTTGTCAAACGAGACATTGTCGTCCTCCTGGCTCTTGTCTTCCGTCTGGCAGATCTGGTTGATGGGGCAGATGTAACCCTTTCGCTCGATGTCGACGTTCCGCCCATCGAGCGTTAGGTACGACACCTTGGTGTACCCGCCATTCTCGTTCTCCCAGTATCCGCCACAATTGCCGAGCTGGGCATAGTTGCCTGTGCTGTTCGTCGGGTCCATGACGCAGAAGCGCCGCAGCGAGCCTCTGAAACTCTGAACTCCTATGATCGAGAAGATGGCCGCCGCGAATACAATGAACCACGAGACGTTGATGAGCAGCGGCCCGGCGCGTTTCAGCGAGTGCAAGATGGTCGCCGTTCCGCTCGTGATGACCAGCAGGCGCGTGGCGCGGAGCACACTCAGCATGCGGAAGATGTAGATGTGCCGTGTATCTGTCGTCTCCTTGTGCAGCTCGGCGAGGATGAAGCAGATCCAGAACGCAATGATGGCGACCATGTCAATACGATGCCACGAGTGCCGCATGTACGGCCGCCCCTGGTAGATGAGCCCCTGCTGGCGGATGACGGCCTCTTCGAACGGCGCCTCGGCAATGATCCGCTCATCCTTGTCGTTTTGCTTTGACGACTTGCCGTTCACGATGCCTGCGTCGGGCACGTAGCGCTGCCACGGCTCGCGGATACGCTTGCCCGGGCCAGTGTCGAGACGCTCCTCGGCCTTGGCGCGTTTGTAGCCGAATCGCCACATGCGCCGGAACGCACTCGACACGGTCGTCTCGGGGTCGAAAATGAAGCCGGTCACAATCATGCGGGCGAACATTTCCACACTGTGAGACAAGGTTAGCTTGACATGACCGAATAGTGGGATGGCCGAATGGGGGCGCTGCGTCGTGCGTGACGCCGCGGCGGCGCCCACAGAAAGTTGGACGACTCTGCGGATCCGCACCAGCAGCTCCAACACCTCCAGCTTTGAACTTACGTGAAGACGATGAAGAGGACGAACAGGGCGTAGTCCTCCCAGGTGTGGAAGAAGCCGTCGCCCGGCCGCGGATCGAAGAGCGCCGGTGCGCTCTGTATCGTGAGCACGACGGCGTACACCATGATGAGGACGAGGATCGCTGGCTCGGTCCACCTGATTGCGGTCAGTGACACTTCCTGCAATGATCGTCGCAACGGCCAAAACCATTTGGGTACTCCTTACTCACGGGTACAGCAGAACTTTGTCGAGCGCCTTTCGTATTCTGGAGCGCGAGGTGAAGAGACACAGTGTGCGGCCGCGGAGACCGCCGATTGGCAGCGTGTTGATACTGTTCGTCGGGTGCAGTTCGTCTATGGGAGTGTTTGGCCCGCTCGGGGAAGGGTCGGGACGCCCTGCGAGTCCGAGTCCGAGTCGCGGGTGGGGAGGCGCTGCATGCCGTCGTGCTCCGACCCCATGAGGTTGACGACACGCACGCTCGCGCGCTTGAGCGTGTTGCTCATCTTGCGAAACGTCGGTGAGCGCGAGATGGACGTTATGCGCAGGGGCGAAATGGCATTGCCATCGGCGTCGTAGGGCCGTTGGTGCTGGGAGTGAGAGGTGTGAGAGGTGTGAGAGGTGTGAGAGGTGTGGTGTGCGTGTGTGTGTGGATTTGAAGGTTGGGAGGGTTCCCGGCCTGTCTGGGACGACGAGCTCTGAGCTAATTGGCTTTGTGCAGACGGAGAGTACGCTAACCTGGAACGTGAATTTGGATTCCAAGGCGAAGCCGACCTTGCAGTCGTCAACCGGTCCCGGTCGTCTGGCTCACCGGCCATCTCGTCATCTCCGCTCGAGTAGTCGAGTGGTATAGAGTCCATGCTCTGTCCCGCAGGACTCGGCCCCCGCACACGCCAGGGGTCGTACGCTGATGATCCGAGGTCGTACTCGTCTGCATACGGGGGTGCATACGACTGTTGCGGCGGTAGTGGTGGAGGCGAGTAGCTGAGTTCGCGCGCATAGATGCTCGAGCTCGAGCTGGCGGCCGTAGTCGTCGGTCCATGCTGGGAGTGCTGGGAATGTTGCGAGTGGTGGGAATGCTGCGTGTGCGCAGCGTGTACTGGCGGTGGTGGTCGCGGCTCGAGGCTGTTGCCGCTCTGGCTTCGCGAACGGGCTTCTGGCGGCACGGGGGAGGGGATGCCGTGGTCGTCTGTCGAGTGCGAGTGCGAGCCTGCCTGGCCTTGGTCCCTGTTCCAAGACAGGCGGCGGTACGGTTTCTGGGCGCTGGAGCCGGTGGACGATGTGGGGGAGGGGCCGGGGGAGACAGCTGTGGACACGCCGATGGACGACAGGCCCGACATGGCCGGTGCCGGAGGGAAAGGAGTGTGGAGCTTGCCCGGCGGGTGAGGGCGCGGGCGTCTGTTTGGTTGTGCAAGGTGATGAGAAAGATGTAGATGGATGGAAAGGACAATGTTGACGGTCAGTTGTGTCGAAGTGGTGGTGGTGCGGGGGTTCGGTGTCGGTGTCGAAGTCTCGAGCCTAGCCAGGGTAAGGGATCCAGGGCGTTTTGGATGTAAATAAGGGTCTGGGTGGCCAAAGAGTGAGATTGCACCGCAGTCCAGTGTGCGCCAGCCGAACAGGTTACAGGTTCAAGCAGCTGCAGGCGGTGTCAGGAATGTATGGCTCTGCTTGGCTTGTCAGACGTGACCACCCACCATAGCCAGGTGCGCCCAAGGAGGCCAGGATCGGGTCTAGCCTGCAGACTCCAAAGCCTTTGTACGCGTAGACCGCGCAGATGTGCAGGCATCTGGATTCTGGGTATACAGGCACACCCAGGCGCAGTAGGACCGCGGCCACCGCAGCTCACTCATTGTCTCATCGCCTGCCCCACACCACCTGTTGGCCGCCCAGGAACCTCCTTTACATCCTGTTCCTATACGTTCCTCATCTGCGCCTACGCAGACACAGCTACACAGATGGAAGACGCATCACCAGGCGTTCGGTCTGGACTTCCACTCCTTCCAAGCCACGTGGAGGCACCCTCGTACCAGAGTGAGTCCGCCGAATCAGATCTGGCGGCGGCGGCGGCGGCGCTACCCCTCGATACCCTCGATTGGGCCCAGTTTCAAACTTTGGGTCTGCTCGTTTCAACCCCGCACCTAACGACCAAGGCCGGCCTAAGCCCTTCGTCGCTCCGGGCCGCCGAACCGACACTAATCAAGCTAATCAAGGCCACGCTCCTATTTGGACCGACTCCAGTGAACATGAGATGACGACGAGTAGATACACTGAACGCAACTGAACGCATAGATGACGCATAATATATTGACATACACATATAACACAAATATACACACATAACGATATAGATACGGATAACGAAATAGATACAGATACGGATAGTAGACTACACGGTTGGAAACGACGCTGACGATCTGCGTCGTTCTCAGAATCCCATATGCATGATGTAAAAACGATGATAGTAATGAGCAAGATAAAGTTGTAAGGAGTGGTCTAGTTAACAGGTTGTTTTGGGGGGGTGGACCGTCTCTGAGCGAGACATTCCCTAATACACACGCGGGCTGTGTTTGCGATTGATTGATGATGGATGAATTGTTGATGTGATGTTTATGTTTATACTGTGTTTGATTTGTTTCGATACCCCTTGAGACATTGTTCGTTTCGGAAGAGAGAAGTGGGCGCTGCGAGCGGCTTAGACAGCCTTCTCGTCGAGGAAGCCCGACTGGGCGGGGGAGATGTCCGAGTGGCTGTCAAACTCGTCCTTGTCGTCGATGATGTCGTGGACGGGCTCATCGACGATGGTCTCGGGCGCCGGCCAGATCTTGTTCAGGAGGAGATAGACGGGGATGACGATCGCGTACGCGACAAGGTTCGAGACCATGTAGACGTACTTGATGTTGCCGATCTCGGTCGTCGGGTCGATCGCGTGCACCATGCCCGGCATGTTGGGGGCGACGGTGCAGGCGAGCGCAACGTACGCGCGCCAGTTCCAGCCCTTGGTGTAGCGGTAGATGCCGAAGGGCTTGTACATCTCGTAGATGTTGAACTTCTTCTTCTTGACGACGTAAAAGTCGATGACCATGAGCATGGCGATGGGCGCGAGGACGATCGAGTACGACGACATGAAGGCGAGGAAGTTCTCGGCGCTCGCGAGGATCTTCCAGGGAACGAAGGCCCAGACTCCGACAGTGACAGCGACGAGCTGGCCGCGCTTGATGTTAACATGCTTCGGCGCAAGAGAGCAAAGGTCGTTGGCGGCGGAGATCGAGTTGGCAGTGATGTTGTTGGTGACGTTGGACAGGGCCCAGGCGAGCGAGCCGAGGAACATGGCGGCGCGGCCACCGGGCGAGGTGTTCCACTTGGCCAGAATGTCGTACGGCTGGTACAGGTCCTCATTGTAGACCGCATAGGCACAGGTGGCGCTGATAGCAGCACAGAGCGAAACGGTCGTGTTGATCAGGGGGAAGGCGAAGATCTGGATCCAGTTGGAGCGGGGCGAACGGCAGTAGCGCGAGAAGTCGCCAATGTTGAGCGAGAGGGTGGCCCAGGTGCCCTGCACGGCAGTGGCGGACGTGCAGAACGCGATGAAGCGGAGCTTGCCGGCGGGGGCGCGGTTGCGGCTAGCGCGGAGAATGGGGCCGGCCTGGGGTCCAGCAATCTTGACGGCCTGCAAAGGTTAGCGATACGTCATGGAAAGAGAGATAGCAGAGATAAGTGTGTGAATTGCATCACTGCCACGATTCCGCGGTCGGACGTTCCTGGCGACCGAGGAGATTGATAACGAATACTCACCCAGATAAGAGTTCCGATAGCGACGACGGGCACAACGGCGGCCTTGATGTTGAAGACCAGCTTCAGCTTGGAGGGGTGAATGAAGATGAACGGCAGCTGGATGACCCAGAAAATGAAGAACGACAGGAAGTCGGAGGTCGTGGCACCCTGGCTGGCAGGCACGGCGTTCGGCAGGCGCGCGTACGAGGGCCAGATGGCGATGATCATGAGCTGGACGAACTGGCCGCCAGACCAAGAGTTGATCGCGAGCCAGAACATGGCGATAATGCATCGCGACTTGTCTTGTCAGCCACTGCCCGGACACTGGATGCGATGGACGGATAGTGGGTGCGGGCCTCGAAAATGGTGGCGTCGCACCCCGAATCCGGCCGCTGCCACGCCGCGGATCCCAGTACTCACAAAGACGACAAACTTGCTTCCCCAGTAGCCAAAGGTCGCGCGCGAGGTGACGGCGAAGGGCGTGTGCGTCGTGGCTCCAATGATACCGTTTGCTGCGGTGTCAGCGTTGAACTATTGCGGTCTCGCCCCCGGGTTGGTCGTCCAGGGTGCGAAATTTTCGGTGGCAGCGACGGCCGAGCGCCGCACAGCATGCAGCATCCTAGCCTAAGCCCATGCACTACTCACCAGTGATGACAATAGCGACAAAGACGGAACCGACAAGCACGGCAAGACATGACTCCCACCAGGTCAGGCCGAGAAGAACGAAAGACGCGACCGTGGCCCAGGACGCGGGGTAGCTTGTCTTGTCAGCTTTCGTGCCTCTCGTTTTCAATCGTACATGAGATCAGAGACCCAGTAGGTGAAGAAGGTCCATCCAGTCCAGGTGCGGTGGTCAGGCGGGGAGGGGTCCATGTCTGGTGGTTAGCGTCGATTCTAGACGTTGCGACGCGTACCCTTGTTGGACCAGATGTCGGGGGGTGCGATGCACGAGTCGTGCTTGGGGATGACCCAGCTAAACTTCTTCACCATGGTTGCGCGCGTCGTGTCGGAGGTAGAGAGTGTCGGGGGGGGCGCCGTTCAGCCCTTTTTATGGATCGGAGTGGGATGGAGAGTCTTATCGGTGGTTGAGGAAGAGAGATTGTCTCTGCTGTCGCGCAAGCAGAGATACCAGAAATGTGCTCGTCTGACCGGCCCAGGCTTAAGGAGCGTTATCGGGCAGGCGGGCGGCGTTGTTGGGTGGGTCACGTGATTCTGGACTTTTGGGACCAGAAATTTGGGAAATTTTGTGCCCGCGATCCGCGAACCAGGGCGCGGCCGGGTGAACAGCCTCTTGGCGCGAGAGCTGAAGGGCAAGGAGCGCGCACTGGATCCAGGCACAAAGATCTCAGTCACCGATCAGGACCCTCTCCGTGTCCGCCGGTGCCGTCCGCCGATCCTCTTGGCTCATTGGTCCGCTCGTCGCCGGCCACCGCCGTCGCCCTTGCCTGCTCAGCTGGTGCACGTCATGCCCGCCCACAAGACCTCGGTGCGAGCCGCTAGCGGCGGACTGACATTCCCCGGCCAAGCGGAAGAGCCTCGCTTACGCGTGGTTGACTTGTTTCGCGGACTTGACCCACCGCAGTGCATATGACACGGACATCTCATCGTTGATCCGGCCGCAGTTTCTCGGGCCCAGGCTTCGCACAGATGTCGCACAGACGCACACATCAGACAGATTGTCCTATCAGCGCCCCCGTGGGGCTTGTCGTTGGGCAGATAGGCGTATCGATCCATGCTAACCATCCTGCAGCATGGCGGAGCGGAGGCAGAGGAACATGTTGCAGAGTTCCGAGGCTATCTAGCCTCATGTCCGGGGTGAACACGAGTCATGCTTGGTGTGAAGCGCCAGAAGCACATTCGCAGCCTCTCGAAAGTCGCCGGCCGGGGTGCCCCAGCGCAGAGCGTCAGTGGCGCACTGTGGCGGCGGGGATGCGCATCGCCGTCGTTCTCATCTTCTCACAGCCTCGTGTCCGGCGTTTGTGACGGACATCCTGTGTGCGTGGCGGACAGGCGTGTGGAAGAGTTAACCCGCCATTCGGAGGCGTCGGGCACGTTGTGTGCTTACACCCGCACGAGCACACGAGTGATCGCGCGATCGCGATCGCTCGAAGTTGAGGCAAAATTGCGGACCGATACTCCGACGTGCAGGCGTTGAGACAGGATGATGAGCGGACAGTGATGTGCATGTGTGCGGCCAAGACACTCCGTTGCACGACATCTATAGCGGGTCCGCGCACAGATAAGACGGCTGCCTACATGCACCAAGAAATGCGTGCCCCAGACGCCATTCTCAGCTAGTCTTTCACCCGCACAACCCGACCCGCAGTCACCTCGCAGCACCGACGACAAACAGCATGAGCATCATCGAAGTCCCGCAGAACCGCGTGTGCAACGGAGACAAGCACGGCACAAACCGCGGCGGTGAGCAGGGAGATGCTTCTAGCTGATGCCAGAGTTCTGCGTCATGGAGCTCCGCGCGCAGCTCGAAATCTTCCAGTGCAAGTATTGCCGCAAGGCTGCATAGCCCAACGCCAAACCTCTGATATCGCCTTCGACTGTGCATTCTTCCCTCAACACATGTTCATAGCATCATCCAGGATCTCCCTGGAGTAGCGTGTGAAGCCGGGTGGGTCGATAAGGCGTGCGGTGTTGACACTACCAGGCCTCTATAGTCATCCAGCGGCGAACGTTGCCCCGCATCGCTTCTCCTGCCAAGGAGGACCAGAGCCTGTCTCGCTTCTCATTAGGGCATAGCCCATTGTTTCTGCAGATCTCCCCAGCCATGCAGGCTGTTCTATGCAATGCAACCTCCCCGAAGATCAGACGTCGATCACCTGCGGCCACTGACCTGGGAGACGGAGTGCGCCGCCGCCTTTCAATATACTCACAAGACACTGTCCTTGATTAGAACTCACACACGTGTACGACGGGCAGAATCAACATTGCGCCGAAGAATGCGCCGAGAGAGCTCCGGGCCGCCGTCCCGCTGAACCCGATCGCCGAAACCTGCATGTGCCGAGAGGTTTACCGACCTCCGCAGGCCGGTTCTACCGCCTGGCCCCTCTCTCATTACCCGTCTGAAACGGTCAATGAATGCTCACATGCGTCCCCACATGCTGCACACGCTGCAGATGGGCATTTACTCTGAAATTACCAGGAACAAAAGGGACGAAGGGACGTCAGGTGAGCAGCGTCTGCGAGTGGACGGCAGTGGTGGGGCGGGGAAGAAACTAGCGAGGGCAGGCCCACATGCCGCACTCTGCCGCACGGTAGCACCGCCACTTGCCGTCACTTGACGGCCTCTGGCTGGAGCCCAAGCGATGGTTGGGTTGGTACATCCGTCTCCCCTCCGGAGGGGTTTCGTCGGCGGGCTCGCCGGACCGATCAAGTGTGCCTGTAAACAAACCCTACTCCCTACTCCACATGCAACCATAACGCTTCGTGTCACGACTGGTCAGCTGTCAGCAGTCAGGTTATTGCCGGGTAGCCGCGGCAGGGCAGTGTTGATCCGCGATTAATCCCCAGGTCCGCCGCTCGCCGTCTCCCCTGGGAACAGGCTGCATCGACCCGGGGCTCAAGTGGGGCAACAATGGTGCTTCATAAGCTAGCCCAACTCTGCGCGCCGAGCTAGATGCCCACCACCTCTTGCAACATGAGCGCCCCGCAAGCGCCACTGAACGCCGCGCCACTGACCACCTCACCTGCGCCGTCACACGATGACATCGACAAGGCTTCTGTGAAGCATCTAGACACGGCCCCCGAGCACGCATTCGAGGGCGAGGATGAGCGCGCCGTTGCCCTCCGGCTCGCGCGGGCCGCGGA